GAGCTTAGATTCACTATGACGCAGGAGGACAGAGAGTGCATGTGCGTCCAAGCGAGGGTTGATGTTGTTTAAGATGGCTCCGGACATTGGGACAGCAAACTGAAGTTCGTAAACAGACGGGACGTTGGGGCCTACGACGGAGATGACTTGGCCTTGGTTTATGCCGAGAGAGGATGAAGTGAGAGCCGACGCGATTCGAAGACAGCGGTTGTGGGTTTCGGACCAAGTGTGGACGGTGTTAGTGGCGTGGAGGATGGACGGACAGTCGCCATAGACGGAGGCGGCTCGATCCAAGAAGCCGAGGACGGTGAGAGGTGTTGAGTTCGAAGGGTGTGGAAGTAAGAGTTCCATACTTTGATTCTTGTTTATGTTTTGTATTGGTTGTTTTGTGGTTTGTGAAAAGGCTAGGGAGTTGTATATTTATAAAATCTTCAAAATGTTTTCAACTTCATGATCAAGGTGTGTTGGAGTTTATGTAATTTTTTTTAATTTTTGGTAACTATAATTGATCACATATGGCCCACGAAATCAGCTTGATGAAATGAAATAAACAAATCTTCTTTAATTTCTAAACTTATCAAAATACTAAATTTGGTTAATAAATAAGTAGAATTTCTCTTTTTTTTCTTTATAACCAAAATATAGTGGTGAGTGACGTGAGTATATAAAAATGGAGGTGGGCATTGAATAAAGACGGAGTTTACCAACTAACAAAACTTGGACGGACCCAAACGAACTCTCTACTTTATAAAGCTTCCAAAATTGTGACGACAAGTTCTTAGTTGAACACTTGAACTACGGTCGAAGGAGCTAACTAAAATAATGATTCGTCGTTTCAAATATTTATATTCATAGTAGAATATATATTTATATAAAATGTTTACATAAGGTTAAGATGATAGGGAAAGGGAATTATATATGCATGCATCTTGCATGGATACATCAAATCAAAGGATCGTAAATTATTTATGGATAATCAATCTAAAATATTCTTGCGTGATGTTAGTGGTATTTCACATTTGGTACTAAAAAGAGCATCTTAAATTAATTTATTTGAAAACCTAGTATTTTCTACTGTCAACGTCCACACTCATCCACATGATGTTAGTTTTGCGTTACCCATTTGTGAGGATTGGTTGAGCGACTTGTATTTTGTCACATTGATGTTTGAGTGTTGACTGTTGAGTATTGATTTATTTGTCTACAAATAACTAAGTATATATATAGATAGATATGATATGACTGGCGAAAAAAAGAAAGAAAGAAATGATGTGACTCATCCAACCAATATTTTCTAAACTAAAACTTTTTTTTTTTTTTTGATGAATACTAGACAGTTCTGGATCAAAGTCCGTAATATTTTTTAAATTAAAACTTTTGATCACTTGAAATATTAAAACAAGTATTCTAAATGAGTTAACCATTTTTTTACAGTTTTATACATATCTATACTAATATATAAAATACATATCTTAATCAACCATTGTCAACGTACACTAATTAATTAATTCTGAACTCTAAAAGTACAAGATGAATAACACATCAACACCAAACTCTAGCTTAGAATATGTAAACCAAACCGGGCCTTGTGGCCTAGTGGTAAAGGGGTCACAGCTGTGACTTCCGCCACCAGGGTTCGAGGCACGGCCACTGACAGGTTTACATAGGGGAATTGCCAGCCTCGTGGGATTAGTTCTTGGGCCTAGGAAGCCTTTGGGAGACCCGCGGTTATTAAAAAAAAAAAATATGTAAACCAACAATTTAGTGTTAGCTCTGAACTCTTTTAAATCATATATATCGTCCACCAGAAAACAAGATTATTTTTAGAAAATATGTTATTTAAAAAACAAGTTACATATGCAAAGACACAACTGTACGTACACTTGTCAACAAAATTGAATATCAATAAGTTTGTTCTTATCATAGTTCAAAAGCTGAGTGATTCCTGTGATATTGTGAGCCTGATTTTGAGTGTACACAAAATCTTTTAAACCCATAGAGATATACTGTATATGAATATTGGCCTTGGATGGTGAGATGATTAAATGTAGATAAATTTTGGGTAGTTTAGAAGTTATATCCACATTTAATGAATCTCTGCATCACCAACCTACTTGCCAATTTTGGCATCATGATGATTTTCTCATTTGAGATAAAACTTTTAGGATTTTCTTGAATAGATAGATATTTGCTTACCCACATGGTCTAGTTTCAGTCAAAAGGGTTACATATGTCATGTTCGAAAATTAAATACATATGTTCATCAAGTTCTGTAGCATCACAGATATTGAAGTCCTTTAAATTTTTTAACAACCAGTTGTACCAACCAAGAAAAATCTATTCTTGTCGGTTTAACAAGATGAGGGAAGCCTAAACGAAACAACATAAGAAATTTCCAATTAGAAAGACACGATATAATCATACGAAACAAATGTCCAGTTCATGATTATGGTATAAGCATTATACACTTTGAACGAAAATGAAAGAATTAGCAGATTACATTGAAACTGTTTACAAAAAATCAAATTTTCAGACAGATGTGATTAAATAAATATCTTCACAATGATCATGTGCTTTCATAAGAGACCTGGATTCCCTAGCATGTAACTGGTTCAAGTTGAACAATATAAAGCATAAATCAAATCCAAGAAAGAGAAGAAGAAAAAATGCACTAACTTTAGTCACAACTTTCACCGTGACTGCAAAAACAGCTTTATGCTTTAGATCGTCCTTAAACTTTTCCTTTCTCTATTAGCAATGTTGTAGGGCGCATCAATTCCACCATAGCCAAAAAAATATTATATGATATGTTGTGTTTTTATCGGTTTTGAGTCTTTGTTTTCTTTCCTAGATCATATATTTTATAGAGTCAAAATTTGTTTTTAGAGTCTTTTAGTCCTTTATCGAGTCTCTACAGGTTTTAGGTTGCTTCGGAGGAAAACGAGCTATTTTGGGATATAAACACACATTTGGAGATGCAGTTTCGTTTAGAAGTATCAGACGTTTTGCCTCAGATGGAATACTTTCCACCGTTAGATCTTTCTGCATTTTTGACACAAGTTAGATGAAGATGTTAGCTTGAGGTTCCATGTGATTTGAAGGAAATCTAACGGTGAATTCAATAGTTATACCCGAATTAGTGAAGACAGGTCATTCTGGCGAGCATTTGAAGCAGTTGCAGAGCTGAAGACCAGAAGCTCCAGATCGATCGATCCCTTTGTGGATCGATCGATCCACTTCCCTGACGGATGAGAAACGTTCCAGACACTGCTGGATCGATCGATCCTCCTTTGGATCGATCGATCCCTTCCCCAGACGTATTTTTGGCCCATATTTGACCCGAGTCACTCCAGATCCGACCCGGCTCGTCTCCTATTGTTTTAAAACCCTAAGCTCGACTTTTGAGACATTATCTTTGATATTTTTGAGTTCTAAACTTTGTTATTTGGTTTGTAAACAACTTTGGGCAAAGGAATCCATCCTCTTGACACTTGGAGAAGATTTCTAAACCCTATTCCTTTTCTATTTTATTGAATCATGTTTTCTTTCATATCTATTTGCCTTTTCTCTTTCTCTATGTGTGAGTAGTTCTCCAATTGGGTTTTAGGGTTCCAATTAGGAGATTCAATGGATTAATGGATTGATTGTGTTAGGAATTCTCATTCTCTAGGTTCTTTGATTCACATGTTCTTAATGCTAGAATAGGATTGATCACCCTGTTGTAGATTCTAGGTTTTTCTATGCATCAAAAGTGTTCGATAGAATGCCTGAAAGAATGTGGATTGAGCAATGTATTTCTAGCCAACGAAAGTTGACGTTAGGACGCATTGTGAACTTAATGAACTTGTTTGGTAATGCGAATTTGACTAGGAAATTGCATGCGAAAGTTTAGTAATCGAATAGTCAAATTTAGTGATTAATGTCCTGAAAGAGAATTGGTCTAAATGTGTTCATGTTCAAGAACGGTTCGTAACTATTGAATTCATTGTCTCATGTTTCCGTTGTTTATTGATCTCTGAAATACCCTAATGCCCAATGTCTTTAAATCTTGAAGTTAAATCGTTTAATTTATTTGCATTTTTATTTTACAAATCTGAAAACCAAACAAACTCTTCGCTTTAGCTAAGAACGAGTCTCGGAAGTCTTTAGTGTACCATTGGTTCTTGTGGATCGACCCCGTATATACTACCTTGCGGTTAAGTGTATCGGGTAATTACTCGAGCAATCATTATACACTTAATTCATCAGAAGCTTATGCTCCTATGATCCAAAGATTATAGACATTACAATTTTAATACTTCATGACTCATCAGTTGTTCAATTCTAACTCGCTTTTCACCATTTAATTTAAGCAAATTAGTGTTTTCTTAGTTGTGGATAAATGATAAATTGAAGGGTCAATTTCCTTAGTTGTGGATTAAGTTAGTGTGACTATGTTCATTTTTTCTTCTTCTTCTCTTTCTTGGATTTATTTATGTTAGTGAGCTACTAATCTGATGTTGTAGTAAGAAGCAAAATATATCATTGAGAGCATGAACGAAGCCCTCTATGAAGTTAGTTTTCATTTGCAAAATCTGTTAAAACTTAAAGTCATATATCATGGGCCTAACAATGTTAGTGGGTTTTTTTTATGATGGTTTGAAGCCTTGAAGGGTTTACTATTTATCACATGTAAAACAATGACAATAATGCTAAATTATGCATATCACAAAGAAAATACTAAGAAACAAATTAGTGAAATATTCAGCTATTATAACAATGGGAGACAGAGATCTCACCAAATAAAAGGAAACAATGGGAGACAGAGATATGGTCATATCGTCGTCACAATGATCACACGCTAAACTATTTACTGCCACAACCTTTTTTTCTCACACATGGCTTGAAACTTGTCATAGATTATGTTATTTCTGAGGTTTTGTGCTTTGATATGAGACTTGGATTCCCTATTGTAGAACTGTTTCAGGTCGAACAATTTGAGAGAGAGAAAAGAAAAAAAAATTCTTACATTTTAGCTTAAGCTGGAATGAAAATAACACATTGAAAAGGATCATCCATACACTTATACCAATGGCTTAGTGAGAAGAGCCATTTCATTACCAAAGACATAGTTGTTTATACATCAACACATCACATAAGCAGAGATATATATACTTTACAGTGTTTACACAAAACACATCAAACATGTAAATGGACTATACGCACACATGTTACATGTGTATTATCATCATTAGACATGTAAGATCATGTTCTTGAATTCTTCAAAGTCAACGTAACCATCAAGATTCTTGTCATGAACTCGAATCATTCTCCCACAATCCCAAGCCCTTGCCTCCTCCTCGAACCCTAGCCGTTCCAACACATCACGAAGCTCCTCAGCAGAAATATAACCATCTCCGTTCACATCAAACACACTAAACGCCCTCGCAATCGCTTCATCAGTATTCTTCTTCGTTCCTTTGCTATCTAAAACGGCGTCGTTGTAGAACCGAAGAAACTCGTCTATATCGAGGCTCTGTTTTCCAACGATCAGTTCAAGCTCATCGGGAGTGTGTTCGGGCCAACCGAGTTTCTCAAGAATCCAGTGGAGCTCGTGGAGGGTCACAAGCCCGTCTTGGTTCTTGTCGAGCTTCTTGAACATTCTTTGGAGATCGTCTCTGCTTATGAATGAACAATCCATTTGATCAGAGAAGGGTAGTTTTGGACCTTTTGGTAACGTTGAAGAAGTGGTGAATCTATTTCTGGAGAAAGTTTCAGTCTTTATCGTCTATAGACATTATACACGTACAGCTTCATATTTATATGATTAGTGTGTACGGAAGAGTTGAAACGGAGGAAGCTTCCTGGAAATGGGAAATGAAACGACTAATTTCCTGAATAATGACGTTTCTAGAAGTAAAGTCATTAAAATATGACATTTATCTAATTTTCTTGTGTCAAACTTTGACATATAGCTAAATTGTATATGAAAATTAGATAGCTTGTAACTCGTCTAATTATCATCTATATATGCTAATGACCTCATTTACTTTCTGATACAGAAAAAAAAATGATATATCTAACCTAAATCGCAATTTTGTACTGTCAACAAAGAAATCACAAATTTTCGTATGTGACATTGCGAAGCTTTATAAGACCATACGCAACGGTGCACTCATCGACCGGGTGTAAGTATTAAAGAAAAGAAAAATAATGGAAAAGTTGTCTCTCTCTTGTCTCTCTCTTCACACTCGGGTGTAAGTTTACACTCGGGTGTAAGACACTCTCTCTCTTTCTCTCTCTTTCTTTTTCTCTCTTTTTTCTCTCTTACTTTAAATTATAATAATAATAAAAATTTCACACTCACACCCACGCTTATCCCACTGTGGGTGCTTTAAACTAGTAATATTATTATTATATCCTGGATTTTGATAGCTAAATAGTATTAGTATGTTATTGTAAAAAACAAAAAACAGTATGTAGCTAGTAGAGTGGTGTCATAAATAAAAAGATTGTTATTAAACTCGCAGAATAATTACGAAACCCCTTAATTAAGGGGGAAAAAAAAACTTGCAGGATAACAAAGCGAATGTTAATCTTAGTTTGACATATGGAATGTTCGGTAATGTTCTCGAGTTCCGTGGCGTTAAGTCGTACGGTCCCCATTTACTTAGATATTTATCACCGGCCACATTCATTCATGCCCATCCACATTTTTCATTGGATTTTTCCCTGTGAACAAAAAAACCAAAACAAAACGATAATGCTATAGTTTTCATGTGGATTAGATAAATAAGAGAAAGCATTATCTGTTCATCTCCAACCAAATCCATTACTATTCCTAGCTCCTACCATAATTTTTCATTTTACTAATTTGTACAAATATACTTCCTCTGTCCCAAACTATAAGATGTTTCACCTGAATGTACGATAATTAAAGAATTTTTTTAATAACAAAATCTTTAATAAATGTGTATTAAAACAAGGAAAAAAAAAGAAAAAAAAATATAGTAAAAATGCAAAAAGCCAGTTTAAAGCATGGTCAACTTTATTGTTTTCTTAATCCACTTAAATAGTTATCATTAACAACTTTTTTTTTTTTGACGTATCATTAACAAGGATGTAAAATTAGGTTTTGAATGGTAAAAACAGTTTAAGCGTTGCAGATCATGCAGATCTTGCAGAAGATGCAGGACAAGTGCAGAACATGCAGAACATGTAGGACAAGTGCAGATCATGCAGATCAAGCAGTTCAGAATCATTATCTTGTGCCATCGTTAGAACTGCTGTATCGTGACACGATCCAGGTGCTCCATTCCAAACATATGTAAACAACATATTTATATCACATATTGCCATGATATTAAACGATGTTCTATCGTGTTGATTCCAATACATTCCTTGTAGTTCAGGCTTCACCTTAACACATACATGAACTCCATCTATAGCTCCAACAAATCCACTGAAATATGGCCAATATCTTCGATCCGTTTGTAGTTTTTCAGGAATTCGACGTAGTTCTTGTCTTGTTGGAGTCTTGATATAATCACAAGCAAGTAACTCTATCGCCATATCTACAATTTTAAAAATAATATAAGTAATACTAAAACAAATAATAATATACTAAATAATGTGTTGTGTGACAATAAAAAAAATATTATGTAAATATTACACATTTATGAAATATAAACAATGAAAGATAGAAATTTAGAGTTATCTACAATCAAACATAATTTACAAATTAATATGTATGAAATTATTATGCATATCTACATCATAAAAAGCATATCATTTTAAATATCATAATTTTGAATTATTCTATTTGTAAGTATATATAAAAATAAAAGTATCTATTAAAAATATATTAAAAATAAAAGTATATATCAAAAAAATAAAAGTATATTTTAAAGTACATACTAAAAATAAAATATTAATTAAACTAATACTAAATAAACTTATATGAAGCAATATAAATTTAATTACTTTAAACTAACAAACTTCTTTTACTAGAATATTGCAAAGTAAAGATGTAGTAGTAAATTAAAAAGTTAAAAATAAATATTTTTTTTTAAAAAATAGATTGATGCATGAATCTATAAATGATTAACAAAATATATATTTATGTTGTTTGGCTAATATTGTTCCTTACAATTCTACATCATATAAACGAAATTTTAATCTACATTATTGTGGACGTCGGATTCATACACTCGAATATTTGCTTATTTAGTGGGAAAGATTATTCTTGAGGACAAAAATATGATATGAAAAAGCTATGAATTGCAATGAAAATGATTATAGTCTATTTGCTAGAAAAATTGCCTCTCCTTTACATGGCTCATGGCCCTATTATTTATACTAACAAACGACATTTAACTCTCAATTAAATACAATTATTCTCTCTTAAATGTGTCCGTTTTGGTCTTCGAATTTAATGCTCAACGTTTGAATTTGAATTGATTATGATCTTCATGGGCTTCGCCCTTTAGCCCAAAAGCCCCGAACTGAAATGATCTTCAACTTCGACTGCGTATCCTTCTCGTGGTGAGACCACTCCGATCCCTCTTCGTGGTATAACCACCTCGACTAAACTTTTGGGCTTATACGTCTATCGGGCCTTGTCCTCTATGGGCTTCTGTCCTGCCTATGTGACAATCTTTGGTTGGTCCCGAACCACCCATGCGGGATCCAACACCAACAATTATTGCATGAAAAAATAATAAATAAACATAACTAATGACATCAATAAATTTAACATAAACATCAAAACAAAATTAGGATTAAAAAAATTAATGTATACCTGTAGATAAGGCTCTCTTTGATTTTCAACGTTGCTATTTCCACTTGAACCACTTCTTATAACACTGTCATGTAAGACATATTTTTTTAGATTAATAGTTTTACCAATTTTATTATTAATATGCAAATATTTAAAATTATAGGAATTATTTTTTTAGAAGAAAACTCATCTATCTATTTAAATAAAATTTAAAAATTGATTTATACTAAAATAACATACATAAAGTTGATTTACTAATTTGTTTAGTCTCTATATTTTAAAACCTTGAAGAAAAAATTAGGATAGAGATATAAACTACACAATTATAACAATTTATAAAAGATATTTATACTATACATAAATAAATAAATACAATAATATTTATTTTAGTTTTGTAAAAAAAAAAAAAAGCTACATTCTACAAAAAAAAAAGCAACGTAAAAAATAAAGAAAGAGAGAGAACAAGACACTCACCTTTTTTTGTAATGTGATGTAATGGGTGAAGTACAAAAGAGCGTGTTTGTGTTTTTATAGAAGAATGATACTAATATTTATTTTGATTTTCGTTTTTTGTTTATTAAAAATTGATGATCTGCTGTTGGACCACTTCAATTGACGTATGGGAGAAAATTCTTTAATTTGACCTGCTTTTATCACTAAAAGGCAAAAAATATTTCTCTACATGCAGACGGCCCACTTTTCTACTTTTTTCCCTGATTGGTAAATTAAATACAGTTCACCTGTCCCACACGTTGGAATGCCAAATTTCTGTTCTAACAATCAAAGCCTTAGTCTTTTGAAATACCTTGACCAAAATACTTTTTTATTTATTTATTAAATTAAAATACATTAAATAGTTACCTAAAAATCTGAAAACATCTTATAAAATGGAAAAAAGAAATAAAGCTGAAACATCTTATAATTTGGGACAGTAATAAACAAAAGCCTGAGCCCAATTTATAAATTTGGGGCTTGTTCTTTAAGGGCCTGAAATGAAATAATCAATTATGACAAAACATAAAAGCTCTCTTCCCGATTTCGCGGTTTATGACTGTAATAAACTTACTGTCACTCTACAGTGAGTCGGAATGTGAGCTACGGCGACATGTTCGATGAGAGAACTTAATTCCTTTTCTAAATTTAGGGTTTCTCTTAATCGAAATTTTCCTTTTTGATGATATTCTTCGAAAGATCTCTCTCTCATTAGCTTACACTGAGAAAGTTTCTGGAATTTGTAAGTGATCCCATTCCGTTCTACTTGCATTTTCTTCTTCTTTTTTCTGAAATTTTGATTGCTTGTTTTTTTTTTTTCTTTCTAAATTTCTACTTCTGCATACTCCAATTTGGCCGCAACCAGAATTTGTAAGTTTTAAATGTGATTTGAAGTGATTAAGATGAGAAATATGATGAATTCTGCTGCTGCAATGAGAGCTGTGAAGGAGGAGTTTATTGTGATGGACTTTGATGATAATGATGAAGATGTTCGTTGTGGTAAAGTGAAAGAAGAGTATATGATGGATGCTGAGCAAATTAATTCTTCTACAGATTCTGGCAAAACTAATCCTTCCAACATGCAACAGATTGTTTCTGCTGTTGCTTCTGATGATGATGATGATGATGATGATGATTGGGGTACCAAAATTGATAATCAGTATATGAAGTTGTTGGATAGTTTCAGAGAAGATGGAAGTTCAAATCTGAGTGACAATCCACTAAGGTCTATTAGGTATGAAGTAGATAATGGAGGATACGACAAGCGGGAATTTAAAGCTAATAAGCGGAGTAGAGAAGATCGAAACACTATTCGTGTGACCAAGAAGAATGTTGAGCCTAAGCCTCCTCATGTTCAAGCGGGGTTCAGATTAAGGCGAAGAGAGAGTCTTGTGAGTGAGAAGAGTGTTGAAGCAATGCTTATTACAAGTCATGTGAAAAGAAACTCGAAACATAGTTTCGATGCTAGCGAGAAGGAGAATTTGGAGGATCTCATGGTATTGGATGAGGGTTACAGATCTTATCTCACATGGTTAGTGGAGAATTCGAAAAGTTCAAGAACCAATCCTGAAAAAGAGAGACAAGTAAAATGTGAGGAGGATTATACAGTGTCTTTGTCCGATTCTGATTCTGATATTATTGTGGTTGGAGATCGTCCGTTTCTGGGTGAAGAGGATTCTCCGTTTGTGCCATCAAAAAGTTATAAAGTGGTTGTAAGTATAACCTTCATTCACCTTTGCTTTTGTTTCAAGTCCCTCTTTTCTTTTCAAATTTGAATCTTTGACATTGTCTTTGTTGGTATGTTACAAGGATTTGGATGAAGAGAGCAGTGATCAACGCAATTCTTGGTTTAGGAAGGAGATAATGAATGTTTTGAAGCAGCCATACACTGTAACAGAGCTCAAGGAACTTCACAATGAAGCATCGGTGCATAGAGTGTCAAGCAGACATGTAGAACTACGAGATGGAACAGAGTTTAGCTTTCCAACGAAGAAAAAGACACCTTCATATCTCGATGGGTATCCAGGTAAGTTACTAGACAGAAGTTGGCAAACATGTTCTTGGAAGTTTATGCTTTGCTTAGCAATCTTCTTGAAACGATATCATTAAATATATACATTGATATGCTAAAATTGAAAAGGCTAGCTTCTGAATCCCAAACAACAGCAAACTTCGAGATTAATCTCTTAGAATGTTAGGGAAAGTGTTCTTTACCTTTATATTAAGTTTTGCTTTGGTTTGATTCCACAGACTTCAAAAAGCAGTACCTTGAATCTTTACGTGAAGATGATGAGCATAAAGCTCTGAACCTGTTGCGCGGGTTTATCTTTTATTTAACGGTAAGTGAGCTGGTTTATGTGGTATATCAATCGCTCTGAAGAGTAGAGATACTTTGTTACTTATATGCAATTCGTTTATCCTGAAAACTTGTTCTTCTTGCCACATAGAGTTGTCCACTGGGTCACTAGTTGATGTTGTTGTTTCTCAGAAAGTGGTACGTGATGATGCATTCAAACCATGGCTCGATCAAGAATGTTTGAAGATCAGATGTTTCTGACAAAAGGGTATCAGCACTTAGAGTTCTGACAGAAGACTACTAATTCCGTTGTCATGGAAGACTAATAATTAAGATATGCAAGACCTTTTTTCATGAAATAAGTTTCGACAAGACTTGCTTTTATTTGTGTAACATTAGCCTCACCATTGTGTAGTAGTTCATGACTCAAGACTGGCCCAGTGGCTTCAGGTTCTCTGTAATGTGATTATCTCTTCCATGTCCTTATGTGCATTAAAGAAAGCTTCCAAGCGGACTTATTAGAAAGAAAAGAAAAGTCAACAAAAAAGAACTGTATTCCAATTTACTTTACCGTGTTTACCCTTAATCCAGTTTAAAACCTGTGACCCAATAACTCAATCAAACCTTCTCAATGAGTTAGAGGGTGTTGTCAAGTCTCTTAAATTAACCTTCTAAAATTGATTAGGGGAAAAAGAGGATTAGAGGAAACTGGAACAAATCAATCTTGTAATTAGTTGATAAAACGAATCAGACCACAAATAAATCTCGCGACGAATATTGTTATTTAGAGAAGGAAAAGTGACTTACCATTACGTTTCAAGATACCAAATTAAATCACACAACCTGTTACATCCAAAGTAGCAAAAGTAGAACCAAAGTTAGCACATAGAACTCAGATGAAGCAGAACCAAAACATTTATTATCCCCAGTCTAGTAAGGAATAACCATCCTCCACCTCTGCTTCCTTCGTAACCTCCACCCTCGCTGTATCCTCCTTCGCGCCTGCCACCACCACCACCTTCTCATGAGTAACCGCCACGACCTCCATAGCCACAACCACCTCCTCTTGAGTGACCGCCACCACTGCTGCTGTATCCTCCTTCGCGTCTGCCGCCACCACCACCTCCTCTTGAGTAACCGCCACTACTGCCGCTGTATCCTCCTTCGCGTCTGCCGCCACAACCTCCACCAACTCCACCAACTCCGCCACAACCGCCTCCGCCACCACTTCCTCGTAACTGAGCCTTGTTCACAGTGATGCTGCGACCATTGAGCTCTTGTCCGTCCATTCCCACAATCACATCATGGATTTCTCATCCTCGAATGTGACGAATCTGAATCCCCTTGATCTTACCTTTGTACTCACCAAAACAAACTGATGCTTCTTACTGCATTAGAGCTACTGGTGTGATTAGATTGTATATTGAAATCGGTGATTCGCTGTCACTGGAGATAGATTGCACGGTGGCTGGATCATTGTCATCACTGGCTTCATACTCAGTAGTGCCAAGGGTTATAAAATCGAGGCCTTCCATTCCAAAAACTTCACTGTCAGTAGAACGCCTATTGAATACCATTGGCTCAGACTCGGAAAGGATGTTGTGAAGTGAACTAAAGTAACGCCCACGGGCATTTTTCTGTGATGGTTCGCTTGGTCTTTTTCTCTTTCTTCCTTTGCTTTGGTTCTTGGGGTGGTGGAGCTTGCATTTTGATCCTTGAGAGCATGATCCAGTGGCTTCGAAAACCGGGCAGTTGTAGGAATGCTTCTTCCGACACTGTGACCATTATGTAGAGACAATCCGCAATCTTACTTCATCATGTGTTTGCGAATTGAGATGGAGAAAAAAAATATGTGACATAAAGCCAGAGAGGGATCTCTATCCCTTATACTCCTTATTGTATAGTCAACTTAATATGCTACTGAAGTCATCAAAAGAATTAGATAGGATCAAGGGCACTAAGAGAGTCACTAATAGTGCAAAGGAAAGGTGGATATGCATGTCAAAACGGAATGGATGCCAATTGCAAACCACGCAATGTATTTTAAGTGGAATCCTTACCTCGTCTCCATCGGAACAGTATCCCTTTAAAAACCCATCACATATAGGGGCGCTCGGATTGACATGCACATGCCTATATGGACATGCCTCATTGTTGCATAGGCCTGCATTGTAGGAATTAGTATTGTGCGTAACGCAATGGGATCTTAGTGCAATGAATTCTTACCTTGCAGATAATAAGAACAATCAGGCATCCTTTCTGGAATGACCTGTGGAAGAAATAAGTTATCCAGTTAGAGATTTCTGTTAAGCACAATTATGCAGCAATGACTTAGTAAGAAAACCTTGTGAGTCAATTTGCAATTTGCATTGGCACACAATCCATTCAAAAATTTGGTGCAAACAGCAATTTTCGAGGGGTCATGAACATAGGGACATTTTCCGTCATCTTTGTTGCATTTCCCAAATCTTGTGAAAAACTGGCAGTACTTCTTCTTTTTAGCCAACCGCAACCGGACATTGTGCAGGCTCCATCTCACTTTCTCATTTGCCAACACACGAGTTCGTTTCTTTGGATCTCTGACAAGCTGGTTACCATTTCCGAACCGAACATATCTGCAAAATAGATTAAAACGTTCAATTGAGGCTCCAGAATGTGGAGTAAATAAATAAATAAAATGCAGTGAGAATTACGTACTCTTCATTGCCGATCACCAATCTCTTTGGGATAATCGGTATTTTCACACCCTTCCCATTTTCAGAAGGTCCAGAGCACGGTGAATCAACATCTAACAAAACGTTTATGTTTAAGCTCACCAGATATACATAAGGGTAAGACTTATACAGCTAGAGAGTTCTCAACTCCGATCAAAACATTTGTTGAGAATAATCAATCACCTAAAGGGTGTGACCAGGATATAATGCATGTGTGTGTGTCTGTGTCAGTTTTTATATATTCATTTTACATCAACGATATAAAACTATAGCATTCATGTTTTTAACTTTAGGATATCCTACCAGATATTCTCTGAAGAGTTCGTCTTGAAGAGTCCATTTTATAACGAAGGGAGCCAAACCTGAAAACGCGCTCCCCTGGAAACCAGATTATAAAAATCTTAAGGTTTGCTGGAAACAGAGTCATCCGGCCATCTCAAAAAACGGCAAGAAGATAAATTCAAGAGAAATGGAGTTGAAGCTTTGTAAGAACTAAGAACTGGTCAGAGGAGGCCTCCTAAAAAATATAATATTTCGTCCAAAATAACTGGTCATGGATATAGTGAACCAACTTACGTGCCAGATGGTTTCTGCTCGCCATACTATTATTATTTTGTCCAGAATGCTTTTCACTTTCTTTCTTTGAGAATGCAGCCACAGCCAATGTGGCCTCCTGTACAAATACGAAAAAAAGATATAGTTGTTGACACCACATTCAATTGTCCTAAAGCAGCAATTATTTATAGACTTAGGCCAAAGACACTGAGGAAACTAACCTCATTAGCTTTTCTCGAGTCTCTCTCAATGGACTTGGACCATTTTAAATGCGACCCACCAACACTTAAAACCTTAGATTTTCTGAGGGAATACCCATTAGTTGATCTTGTGTAAACTGTATGTCTCTTCCTCATCATTGACAACTTTCGGCTGAAGATAGAATGCCCTGTCATCATGTTTGCAAACACACAAAAAAAAGAGTTGCAGCTCAAGGAAAATGAGCACCTTTAGATGCTAACATACCTAATGTTGGGAAAAGAACCATTTCGGAAAGCAGACACTGAATTCATTAATCTTCTCCAGTATGTCACTCTTTTCCAGGGAACAAGTTGCGGCAAAATATTCTGATATCGCATGTGAGCTATGGGCATTCTTGGCTGCGGATCATTTTGCGTCCAAACCAGAGAAAACTTTGATTGCTTAAATGGTCGCATGACAGCTGACAATAAAAAAAGAAGACGAGTAACTTCATATCTTGCTTTTGTTATGATAAGAAAAACCACAAAAAGACAAAACAAGTATACATAGAAAGGGATTCTGATATGCATGTTACTGTAGGAAAACACTGGATAGTTTATTCTCAAAGAAAATAAAAGGACTAAGCCAGAGCAAACAAGTTATTCCTTTTCTTTTTCAGCGAATAAAACATCTATTGTTCAGAATCTCCTAATGAAACATGCATATCAGCATCAATTTGAACAGTCCTGATAATATGCTCAACAAGCGCTAACAGATATTTACTTTGCTTTACATACCAGAGTCAGAGAATGCTGAGCTAGATGATCTTTCCGAAACTATGTTTGCAGCTGATCGTGTATCTAATGCATCATCAGGTAAGGAAATTGACTGATTGCAACGGCTCTCTGAATTCCTTACTAGCTGATTTTTACTTCGCTTAAAGTACCCATCAGAGGAAGGAATCTGGTTCTGACTTACACCATGAATATCTGAAGCTGCAACCAACTGATTTGCCTTTCTCTTGACATATACCATTCTCTTCAAATTCGCAGAATCCAAGTCAGACGGATTTCTCTTCTGCTGGCAATCTGAAGCGTAACCCATCTGAATTAGTGTATCAAATGTCTTCAATGTATCCCCACCAGAATGTGGAAAATTAGCTTCTCCAGATGTAGCAGAATCCATGATAGACTCAGGTAAACCGGTGGTGAGATGATCCGTGCTGTAAGATAACACACATTTTCCTGACGAAGTAGCGATGGCATTTGATACTTTGGAAGTGCTGCTGTCTGAGGGAGGCTTTGACTGCCTCTCAAGAGTAGGTATTTCCCCTGTTTTAACAAGTGAAGAAGCATTATCTACATCAACCATATTGGAAGGTCCCGTGCTTTTGTCTTCCACAGTGAAATGGTTCAACTGGATAGCAGATGGAGGCATTCCCAGGGCAGTACCAGGAGACTGTGAGGGTTTTCGAAGAAGACTATTCCCTTTACGTACGTAACTATTACTAGATTGGGCAGTCACTTTGGGAAACTTCTGTTGTGTAGACAACGTCGAAGACAAAGGCTTGGCAGCTACAAAAGAAGAGGGAGAAGTATCGGACTTTCGATGCCAAGTGTGACGCTTTGTGATATGAATTGGAGGGTTAGCATCTTTCTTCGTGTCAGACACAAAAAGCAGGGAACTGGGATAATTTTTCTGAGTAGAGTAATTGGGTTTCTTTTTCCTCTTTTCTATTTCATACTTAGAATTCATAGATGTCTTACTTTGAAGATCCCGGTGTGGCACAGAGACTACTTGCTCTTTAACATGGGTCGATGCAAATTTAACATCTGCATGTGAGTATGATCTGGACACAAGAACACCTGAATCACCAGGAATTTCAGTTCCAGAAACTTTTCCATCAGATGACAATGCTTCGCCATCAAATATATCAGTCTTAGCACTATTGCGCAAGTCTTTTTCTTGAGAGCCCACATCAGAAGTTATATCAGTCAGTTTCACGATTGGATCACCAATTGGCTTCATAACTAAATCACAATGCGCCAAAGAGCTATCTGGCTGGGTTAACTCATGGGAGCTCATAATTTGCTCTTGTAAAGTATCTAAAAGACTATCTCCATTTTGACTCACTTTAACTCTGTTGGTTTCATCAACCATAGCAGCAACATGAATTTCACTCCGTAACTGCCTGAAGCTCAGCCTTGGTGAGCTTGATAAAGAATTACATGGAAACACGGAATCCCCACTACCAGCAACAATATCAGTTTCCGGAGTTCTGTGCTTAGAAGTTCCACCAGAAGACTCTGTTTTCTCTTTAGATTTGCTAGTTTCATCAACCATAGAAGCAACGTGAATTTCACTCCGTAACGGTCTGTACAGCCTTGGCGAGCTGGATAGAGAATCACATGGAAACACTGAATCTTTCCTAACAGCAACAATACCACCAGAAGGCTTGGATTTCTCTTCACCTTTGCTAGTTTCATCAACCATAGCAGCAACATGAACTTCACTCCGTAGCTGCCTGAAGTTCCGCCTTCCTGAGCTGGATAAAGAATCACATAATAACACAGAGTCCCCACTACCAGCAATAATATTAGTACCCCGAGTTCTTGACTTAGAAGTTCCTCCAGGAAGCTTTGCTTTCTCTTCTTGAGTATCTACCTCAACGCTTTCAGTACAATTATTTTCCTTATGCTTGATGTCATCTTGAGAATTACTGCAGTTAGCTTGGATACATATTTTGTTTTGTATCTCCTCATTCACTGCCACCAAGGGAGAAATATGACAAGGACCAACAGAACTATCAGATACTAAGCAAGAACTGACCTTTGAAGGATCCTTTTCAAGATTTTTATCTATAAAGAGACTCCGGACAGAACCAATGACACCAGATGATCCATATCCAAAACGATCTTCAGGAGACAACTTGCATACTGTTGTACATGGTTGAATTTCGTGGAGACCAGATACAGTATCAGTAACCGTTTCATTACCAGACATGCCATTAATTCCAATTGCAAGATTTGTTTCAGTTACGAGCGCAGACAAGTTAGGTAATTTATCACAAAATGTGGCAGATCTTTGGCTAACATCTCGCTCAACAAGACTCTCTCTCGCACAATCAGTAAGATCTTTGCTAAGAGAAACATTTGGCTCCAATAAATAAGCTTTCAAACCTCTACGATCAGAACCACTAAACTGATCTACAGAAGGAATTTCTGCAGGATGATAAGATTTCAAAACCTCATCAGGGACAAGTCTCTCGGTGCTTACATTTTCCATACACACCTCAGATGGTACTGCCATAGCTAAATCAGATTCATCACTGTGCGAACAGCCATCAGTCCTCTCCACAGACAGCACATTTGATGATCCCTTTACTCCAACCTTTGTCAGAGATGAAGAAGTGTCATTTACAAAAGTCTGTTTACCTTCATCACTATCCATATTGTCAGCCATTTCTGCAGCAACATTAAGAGGCGTAGTTTCCATGTATTCTTTTCCGCTAACATTCTCAACAGCTGCATTGACTGTGTTTTTGCAGTGAGGAAGATTTTTACTTTCCATCTGGAAAACTACACTCTTACCAGGTGACGTGGCCATAGTATTAATATATGTCCCAACGGTAAAACTGTTAGCATTAGCAAGATCCCCTGAGGCACTATTATTTGCATTAGCAAGATCCGATGAAACATTAGCAATGTCCAGAGAGGCATTTTCAGGAGACAAGGAATCTAGATTCTTATTAATCCTCTTGTTGTCATCTTCAATACCACCGATATCTGACTTCGCCAACACCTTATCACCAGGGTCGTCTCTATTAAAATAGATGGATGCATCTAGACATAACTTCTGAAAATCCTTTCCTCCGTAACCCAAAGATCCATCAGATGAATTAATGGATTTTCTTTCTTCAAACCCAGTACTTACTTCCATCATTGGTATATTCCTTGATGGTATACAATCCATGTCGTCATCTTCACAATCCATGTCCTCAGAACACCCAGAAAGATCATCGGCTGTTGGCCATGATACAGGCAATTTACCAGGAGATATATTGATTTTTGCCTTTGTCTTCACGATTTCATCCATCTCCATGACCTTCGGCATAAGCGCTTCGCCCGCATTACAATCAGTGCTCGTTCTGTCCAACACATCTTCATGAGACTTCAGTGTACTTTGGTTTCCATCAATAACACCTTCCTCAGTGGAGCAAGCCTCCATATTGCTACCATGCTTGACATTAATGTCATCCTTGGCCTCTTTCAAAGTCTCACAAAAACTAGAGATCTTTTCTGCAGCATGTACAGGACTACGAATTTTTGCTTCAGCATCATGAGTTGAAGCTTCAGGACCTGTATCAGTAAGTTTGACTTTGCTGTCTTGAACAAATCTGACCTTGTTTAGCTTGCCAGCGGAATCACTGGAAGACGGGGTTGAGTGACTGTCAGGTTGTTTTTCAGATGCAGTAGTTTGCCTTGTAGACCGTCTGAAGCCCTCAGAAACCGAAACCTCCTCAAATGACAACTGGGTTCCCAGCTTTCCATTTTTTTCAGTTACTGAAGCTTTCTCATTTTTATCAGAAAGCAATGCTCTTCTAGCTTTAATAGACCTAGGTGTCACAGACGCGCCCGAACGGATACCTGCACTTGTAGGTGATGCTACGGGCTTAGCTACCAGAGCATTCGATTTAAATGATATATCAAGGTCCACTGGACTTCTCCCCCTTTGCTTCTCCACCAGTCCACGATCAGAATGACCCATGTGTTCCTTACCCCTGTATGAGTTAGAGTATAACCTTTTCCCATTGTGATGATTATGTTGCCGAGACCAATCATTCTCTCTACTGTTTTGATAGGATCTTGGAGTTTCAAGCCTTAGAAGAGCACTCTTCTTCTGGATTTGTTTCCTAGGTGTTCGATTCAACTCACTGCTCTCCTCTCTCCTTCCACGATCAAAATATTGTTCAATCTCAGAATGATAGTAATCATCTTTTTTCTGGGGATGTAGAGTCCTCCCTTCATTACGTGCTTCATCCCACCTCTGGTTTCTAGCCCCTTCACGGCTTGCTGATGACCTAGTCACATCTCGACTTACTGTAAGACCATATCTGTCACTGCCATAGCCAACACTAGAAGATAAAACCCTATTTCCCTCATCTAAACCCCTAACAAATCTATCGGATTCTGATTTTAACTGACCACGGGCTTGATAATTCCCCTCTGTCCTAGTGGCTCCAGATTCTTTTCTAGCATATCCAAGATTACGAAACTCATCTCTAGACCTAGAACTACCATCTAAACCACGATTAACACCTGAAGACTCCCTCGACAAGTTGCGGCTGTAGTCATACTGATAGTTACGGCTTGGACCAGAATCAATTCGACCCGGAGCAGCATCCCCTGTCCATGAATCAAGTCGCTTTTCATTGAACCCAACCCAATCAGACTGAGCTATATCTCTGGATTCTTTACATTGAATACTCGATGACAACGGCTGCGATATTCTTTGAGGCTCATAACTAACTTGCTGAGGAATGTATTGAGGATGCTGCTGCTGCTGCAACGGCGGTTGCTGATGCTGTTGCTGGAGCGGTGACGGATGATGCTGGTAGTAGTTTGAAGAAGGCTGATTAACCGCCGGATTAGGCGGAAGATCTTGACGATGATGAGAGTATTGGTGGTGGTAATCTTGACGTTGACCATTGCTCTGGGTTGATCGAGCGTATAAATTAGGGCTCTCAGGATGAGATTGACGAGGAGGAGGAGGAGGTAACGGCGGTGGCGGCGGAAGGAGAGGAGCAGAAGGAGGATGAAGATGAGGAGAGTAAGGAGAATTCCATGGATCGTAGGTAGGATTGTAATGAGAAGAATCCATGGCTGATTTGAATTTTAACCCTTAAGAAATTCCAGATCTTTTGAACCGCCGCGTCTTCTTCTTCTTCTTCGTCTTCGTCTTCTGATGAAAACGCACGCAACACGAAAACGGCGATAAAAATAGAATTATACACACGAATCAATTTACTGATGAAAAAAAAACACACGAATCAATTTACTTGTTGAATCGTGGCGATTTTCGGTAACCGGATTTTATATCTTCTTTTCGCAGCTCTCTTTTTTTCCCTAATCTTATTGGGCCATTGGATTTTATTATGGGCCGTAGTGTATATAAGATTCGGTTCTTCAGCTTGATTACAATCGTTGGTAAGAGTGAGATTAACGATTAATTTTATGTTTGTTTTGTTATTTTTTTTTGTTAAAATTTTGTTATTTTGAAATTTAAAACAATGATTTCTTTAGATATTTTAGTCGCTAATTTTATTTTATCGTTATTGTGTCACCATCTAGATTCAAATCTAATGCATGCCATTGACAAAAAAAAAATAACTAGATGTTACATTTGGGTAAACAAAAACTCTAATGACTAATGAGTAGAAAATGGGTACATTATCAAAGAATTAGTTATCACAGAATTTATTTCATCCGGTCTTGTTCCTTTACTCAATGGGAACTTGAATATGACATGAAGATACTTATGTCATCTCTTACCACAGAATATGGATTGACTCAGTCACACATGCATGGTTTGTCTCACACATTATAGAGTTATGATAAGATTGCTAAAATCCTTAAGATTGTGATAGGCACTCTAAAGAATACGAAAAGTAATTATTATTTTGAAAATTTTATTCAAGAAAAAATCATTTATAATTCTCTAAAAAACTTATATACAAGATAATGTTATTCTATTGATAACAGTGAGACACGTTCGAGCATTACAAGACAAGAAAATTCACTTCGATCCATTATTAGGATCAAGGAATACAAATTACATGTCTCTGATGCCCCAAACAAAGTAATGAAATTGCATAGAACACCCCAAACTATTGAAAGCTATGATTATATCCCCAAAACCAAGGGAGGGAGGAGGGCCAATAATACCCACAAATCCACCTCTCATCCACCACCCATGAGGCCATGAAAGTGAAAAGAAACACCTGTTCTTAAATATACACTTACACTCACGCACAACAGAATCCATTTTCGTCACCATCTCACATTGGAGAGTATTGCAATTGTGATTTGTTGTAGTGAACAAAAAATGGCTCAGTTGAAGCTTGATGAACGGCTTGTCCTATCTTTAAGATACTCCTCCACGGAGATTCCTTGCTCCATGCTTCCCATGGAAAGAGAGTCATCTTCCATGTCGAGGAATGCTAGGTTTAGATGTGACTGCAGATTAGACCTCCGCAATTTCTCGTCTTTTAGTAGCTTTGAATCTTCTAAATGGTTACTAACTTGTAGCTTTGCCCATTTTAGTATCTCTACGTCACCTTTAAGAAGCTTTAAGACCTGCATTTCCAAAAGACATATCGTGTTAATAACCGCTATGACACTCCTGTAAAGTCAAGATATGCATAGTGTTAACTTGTTTGATATAGTAGCCATCTCTAAAATGATGGAATTGGCAATAACATGGAGGATTAAGAATTGACTAACCATTCCCATCGTTGGCCTAGATTGAGGGTTATGTCTTATACAAAGAGTGGCTGCTAACGCCATCCTCTCCATCTGGTCGCCATTGTTGTCATCTTCCAAACTAGAGTCCAATAGCTGCGAATATTCTTTATCATCCAGAATTGGCTTCGCCTGCACGTGTACATGCATGTCTGTTTAGCAATAACAAAGAAAGTTTAGACATTTCAATGTAAGAACTTTTTGCCGGTAGTATCCACATACCCACATAACAAGACTGTCTTGAGCCTTTGGAGATTCGCTATTAATCGGTTTTCTTCCAGAAAGAAGCTCAAGGAGTACAACACCGTATGCATAGACATCTATCTTATTGTTCATCTTACCATACATAAAGTACTCTGGAGCTAAATAGCTGCACCAAGAAACGTAGAACATTCTCAAGATTGTTACTTAAACAACTTTCACGCAACATCAACAGAGTTTGATTTTTTATTTCTCACCCGAAGGTGCCTGCCACATCGGAGCATATTATCTGAGTTGTGGATTCTGACGCCCACTTTGCAAGCCCAAAATCAGAAACCTGTGAACAAGGTTTCCCTTATTAGTATCTCACGAATTTTTCTTCGATGTGACAAGGAAACTAAGAGAAAGTTACCTGTGGCTCAAAATCATCAGACAACAATATATTTGATGACTTAACATCTCTGTGAATGACAGGTTGTGGAGCACTGTTATGCAGATAGTCCAACGCCTCAGCTACTCCCACGGCCACCTTATATCTCTCGTTCCAACGAAATGCAACCAGGTCTTTTTTGTTGCCTAATTTCAAACCTTGATTGTTAGAGACAGAACATAAGAAAGTCTGCAAGTGGGTAAATGGTCAGAGGCATACCGTGAAGATTCTCTTCAAGGCTTCCTCTTGAGAGATAATTGTATACCAGTAACAGGTTATTGTTTTCAAAGCAATAACCTATAAGAGAAATAACGTTCTTATGGTGTAAGGTTGTGATAATGTCAATCTCTGCCACAAAATCCTTCAAGACACATTCGGTCTGTTTGAGAATTTTCACTGCAACCTCTCTTCCATTGGGCAGATAACCTCTAAAAACCCGGCTGCTGCCTCCTTTTCCGATGAAATTATCTGAAAGGACATTGCTTTTCTTATTTAGACAAAAGCAAATGACAAGAGTCTTAAGAAATTTTAAAAAAAAAAAACTGTAGCTGAAGTATGAGAAGAGAGGAACGTACCAGCACTGAAATTGGATGTCACCGACACAAGTTCCTTGTACTTAAAAAACTGGCAAGATGTGGAGATCCTTGCCTGAAGACCCTCTACATTCTCTGGAAATCTACCTGAGCTATGATCAAGAGAACATTTCACGATCATAGAATCATCAGGAACAATTGCTCGGCTTTCAGCGTTTGAGCTAGACAACTTATCATAATCTTCAGATTCAGAAGAATCAAAACCAATCTGCTTTGTGTCTGTACTTCCAACAACAGAATTGGTCCTAGAGGGCAGCTTCAACACCCACTGAACAACTGGTATCTTTCTGAAAGAAGAACTTCGCGGAGCAGAAGCTAATACATCTGAAGAAGCTACACGACAAAGCAAAGGCCAACCTGGTCTAAACTCAGGCAGTTCCTTTACCAGCATTGTAATGAATGGGGTCAAATCTTCTGGAAATTTTGCAGGCACAAGTGCCATTGCCTTGTGGAAATCAGCATTATCATCTTGATCACCATCACAACTAGAAGATCGAGATAAATTTCCAGGAGAAGGCAGAGAATTCATATCACGAACCGAGCAATTCCCAAGGCATGCATACACTAAAGACCGCCGTAGACTCTGGCCATTGGAATGATCCTCCTCCGCCTCTTCCTCTTCCACCTCAGAATGGTTTACTACTTTGGTATTCTTTCTCAATGTGACAGGCATCTGAAAGAAACTAGACAAAGTATTCCTACGAGAATCACTTTTACCTATGACAAACCAATACCCAAGAAAGAAGAGTTCAAAACACTAATCCACACACATAATAATCACATACAAAAGAAACTCATAGAAAAAGGCCAAACCTTTAGAATAATGAATGATCGATGAGGAACCATCTTTCTGAAACATGACTTTCCCGTTGTCAACGGCCAGAACCAAGCAATCTTTTGATACTTTCCTGGCTAAGTACTTAGCCACTGAAACAGATGAATGAATTGTATGGAAACGTCTGGAGATCCCAACTACAAGTTTGGACGCAGAACACAATTTTGCTTCTCTAACTAGAATCTTTCTAGTAGTAGAAGAACCCCGGGATAATTTCAGCTTCAATTCCACCTATGAAAAGGAATTCAATCATCAGCTAAAGCAGGGTAAAAAAGAGCATGAAAGTTTTCCACTTCTAACATCATACCTGTTTCAATTTGCATAAACCTTCATAGACTTGAAGAACAGAGTCAAAGTTTTTAACAAGGGAGATAAGCGAAGAGTTGTCTGCTCGATCAACGATCTCTACACAAATGACGAATCCAGAGTAAACATTCAAACCCATTTCAAAAAATCTTAGCTTTTTCGTTAATCACGGACTCAAAAACCCAGAGAAACAAAAATGTGTTACCATTGCCGAGTACATGAAGAGCGATTACAGTATCACCCGGTTCAGCAACCTTAACCAAAGCCCAATCAAGCAGCTCATTGCTCGACTCATCGAACTTCACGCCCACAATAACAGTGCCTCCTCCTCCTGGAACGACGCCGTTTTCCGTCATCTCTCACTTGTCCAGTTTCCTCAAAAATGTTTTGTCTGAATTTCAGGTGAATACGTTGTAGTGTGATGATTCCTGGAGACACAAAATCATGCAACGCTCACAAAAGAGAGTCTGCTATTCTCTCCCTTCGCTCTCTTGCGGCTTTGATTTTGGTTTTGCAGCTTCTGAGAGAGAGAGAAGAGTAAGAATAGAGGAGCATAAAGCCAAAATCAAAAAAGAAGAAGGGAGGAGCAGACATATGAGAATTTTCATTTCGTTGCCATTTGATAGATAAATACATAATTTAATACTAGTATTTAGTCTTCACAGTACACTCTCTCATTAAATATCAACCTAACAAATTATCAAAAAAAAAAATATTTGCTTTTTTTGGCTCATTTTAATTAAATTTAAAATACATTCATGAAATAAACATTATTTATTTACTTTCAAAACGTTATTTATAACCCTTTGGATTATTTTATATATAAACTTTTATGCAAATAAACAATAATTTGTTTTATCTGAATTTATGTTATCATAAGAATAAGATCATTCATATATATATATATATATATATATATTAACTTAAAACTTTGGTACCAATCAGTAGAATAAAAAATCTACGTATTAAATACGGCAAATATGGTCAACCGTTATCGATTAATAGAATGTTGTGCCATGTACAAAACCATAAATGAGGGGCAATAAGATAACAAATTATCATAAAGACTTTTCATAGTTATATGATTTTATTCCTTTGTCTATTGTGTATGTATTTTAATAGGGTAGGTTGACAATTCAAAGATACTTATTAGAAAATGTAGGCCACCAAAGCCACACTTACTATATTATTTACATATTCAACGGTTGATGCACATACCTTATCGTTATTTTTATTCCATTTTGACTAATCTTTTCTCACGTCAATCTTCTTTATTTAATCATACAATTCATTTTTATTCGATATATTCTTCACATGTTTTTGTTTTTCTGCAAAAGATGAATTGTATAACACTTTTTAACGTGTAATGTTTTTGTTCCAGCCTACACTAGCATGTATATATTCAATGATTTCAATTTATATTGAATTCGATTATAACGTGTGTTAAAATTTGATACTTTTCTTATCCACCTTGTTGGTTTGGCATGTCAAATCGATCTTTCTGACCATTCCATAATATTGAACACATTCATGTTTTACATATATTTCTATACCTAACGAATTCCATAAATCGATCACCGAATTGTTGGTGCATGCATTTATTTTGTTTTTACGTGTCATTCGAAGTGATTCTTGTACTTTTTTAAGGGTTTCAATGTATATAAATTTTGTAAAAAAACAAAGAAAAAGAAAACTGAATAGGGAAGTTAATGTTCGGTGGTCACAGAATGGGCTAATAGAACCAACCACACAACATGACAGCTCTGTCGGCGACTTTGACATATGTAATCCCACTCACGTGAAAATCCCACTCACGTGAAAATCCCAATCGACCGAACATGATACCGTACACGTGTCCTTTCTTGACGTCATCATAAATTAAATCAAAAGTTAGAATAACAGACTACCTGCCGTTTTTAGTAGCTACGTATCCCAAAAGCGACACGCCGTCTAAAAGTTCCAATTAGTCCACTCAACAGTCAACACCATTCCAATTTCCCAAATACAAACACTTTGTTCCAATCTTGAATATGAAAATATCTCATCACAAGAATAATACTACAAGCCATTATAATCATCAATTGAGAACTTGAATTAAACACCTCAAAATTTGCAAATAAGCTAGCTTCTCTATCCATCGAATGTTAGTCCATCAAACTATTGCATCTACTACACACTTTTTTCTAGAGTCCCATATTCATCTCTGTTCTAGTGAAGTACCAACTGAGGTCACAAAAATTGTTTACCCTCCACCCTATCATTGATTGACATCATCTGCTCTCGTATTATATCCCAGGAAGAAACTGACTTGTCTGTTTTGTTTCTTTCGGGATTTTTTAGAACCAATTTGAGACACTGAAGTCTCGTAGCTTCCTGAGATGTTTCTCCATGTCTTCTCGGGTCTTGCTCCACTCTTCCCTCTCTATTACCGTTGTTGGGTCATCTCTTTCACCCTGTACGAAAGGAAAATATATAGACATGGAGAGAATATGAGTAAAGCTAGATGAAGGAATACAAATGTCTGCCAGATGAAATGGATCTGGAAATGGGAAGCTACCACGTGTATGATCTTAAAGGAGGTTCCATTATCTCGTATCACGAGCAAGTCATCCTTCCTATCTCTTTTTCTTCCTCCTGGAACTGTCACCTGAAACGATCTAAGACTTTAATATGGGAAGGAAGATTGTCTTCACAGCTTTGAGCTATCCACAGTATTTCAAGAACTCAACTCAAGCTATATGATTCAGAACTAGAGGCAAATATAGCACTAATATAAACCAGCATTGTATTAGTGTAATAACATGAAACATATTCGTCTAAGGGAATATGTCAAAACATCAAAAACACCCAATTGGCTACGGTCTATGTTGAGGATTGTGCTCAGGCTCGGAATGAGAACTTGAGCTTAAATAACTTGAAAGGTAAGAATTGGTCATACCAGAACTCTGGCTCTGGTGATTGACTTTGTCTTGGAATCAATAACATAGATCTCTTCAAGATCTAGCACAAATTCTGGGTCGTTTGTCCTTCTGTTCCGGTAATGCTTTGTCAAGAAAACCTGCATAACGAATAAACATGATGAAGAAAAGTTGTACCAGAAACTGCAACTACTAAAGTAAACTAAGTAGTTTCGTGTTGATGTCATTCTTAATGCATTATATGACATATTTCCCGGTGCGGTTTCCAAAAATGTTGCCAAATCAAAACTAAGTGCTTCCTTGTTAATACATGTTGCTCAAGAATCCCTGCATCAAAGACCTGATTTAACATCAATGAATGAAACATAGTCCAATATGTACCTTAGATATCTCCCTCTCAGATTTGTACAGTGGATCCCGGGGAGCATCAATAGGTGGTTCAGTGACATTGTAACATCCATAATCACTCATTGCACACCGAATATACTGTACTTGTAACATAAATTAAGAAAGACTCATTACCACCAAACCACAATCATCAAAGCCGGAAAGGAAAGTGACTAAAGAACACCCAGCTGCTACATTCTGACTTTCTAATCATACTAAGTGGTGAAGAAAGCTCTGACCATCTACGGCACTTCTATAAGTGTGAGTAGAAGTTCCAAACAATAGCAAACTTGGCAGATAATTCATAATTTATACAATTACCAGGTCGAGTGAAAGTGAATGGGATCAATTAGCAATTGAGCACACTAAGAAAGTCCCATAACAAAGCATAAGCATTACAAAAAACAACAACCGGTAAAGATAAATGACTGACCTTTTGAGGCATTGGTGCAAGAACTCTCGGAATTGAGTAAATATCTGTATCAGGAGGAGTTACATACATCTGCAGCCACAAACAAAACACAATGTCTAGTTGAAAAAATACTGGGAATTCAAAATTGAATCAGAGAACTCAACACACCTCTCTGAAATCATAAACATCGTTATCTGGATCAGGAGGTTTTCTGATAAAGAAATCACAGTCCATTAAGCTGATTTTATGAAACTCATCTTCGTTTATCCGATAATCCACCACCATCTCCGAATCCCATCCCTGTGTCGATATAAAACTCTTACTCTGAACAAAAGCGATATCTCCATCACCACCACCGCCTGCAGCCGCCATCGCGGCGGCCAAGGGGTCATACTCGACGTCATAGTCCTTCTTGTTGTCAACTTCCTCTACCTCCTCATCATCCATGTCGTACTCGTCCGGTCCACCTCCATCAGCATCGACGTCGTCTACTTTAACGATGATACCACGTCCGCGGCGGGATTTGAGTGTTAAAGGAGCGAAACCGCCGTCCGTTCTGAATGACGCAAATAGCCGCTGCGTGGCGGAGGAAGACGGTGGTTTTGAGGTGAATGAGAGTAGAGATAAGGAAGGAGAAGCGGCGGTTGACGCCATGGGAAGCGGATAAAGCTCAAGAGTGTTCTAACTGTGGATTAGATATTTCGAGAAATAATACATTAAAAAAAAAAAAAAAACTATGTAATAAAATTAATAATCCTTTTTTTGTGAATAAAACAACAAACATAATTAAGAGCGTCATTTTTGGTATCCCGCGCAACTTTCTTCTTCTCTCAGTTTCAGTCTCTCTCTATTCATCGATTCCACTCTCTTGATTGGTGTTGAGATCGAACCATCTCGAACCCAGGGGTCAGTACATAGTGGATCACTGAACCGACCCGACCCGAATTATTAATGTCGGAAGTGAAGGAGATAAGTGGGGGTTCTATTGGTGGCGAATCGTTGGGAGCATCGCCGAAGGTTTTGACGGCCGGTGATCGGAAATTACTCAAGGTGGAGCTTCGACCTGGGGATACGACGTATGTTTCGTGGAAGAAGCTTATGAGGGATGTTGGTAAGGTCAATGGTTCATCGGCTTCGGTTCCCGATCCGCCTCCTAATGCTAACCCTAACCTCGAGTCTCGAATTGCACCGGTGAGTTTGATGTTGTAGGAATTGGTAATCGGATATATATAGGTGTAGGCATTTGTGTGCGGGTTTCGTTTGCTGCTATTGGATTAAGCATTGTCTTGTTTCTGGGAGTTGTAGCTTCTTGTTAGGGTTTATTCAGGAGTTTTACTAAATTGACCGATTTTCAGATTCGTTTGTTGGGGAAAATGCTTGAAATGGATATGGGGAAGGAGGAATTCTGTTGTCATTGCTCTCTGATGTCTAATGTCTAGAGTTTAATAAGCAAACTCCTTAAAATGGAGAAAGTCTACAACTTGATATATGATCTTTGGCTTGGTTTCTAATTGCTAGGTACAATAGACTAACTTCCTCGTTATCAATGTGAATATGCCATCAATTATACTTGATCTGGAAAGGAATTTGGTTCAATTAGTTGCAATAAAAAGTGTAGATGTATGCGTTAAGAATATAGAGAACGTTCAATAAGCAGAATTAGGCAGTTAAAGCATATAATAGTCGATTTTCATTTCACAAAGGTAGAGTATGCTTGCAGCTTCCTCACAATCTATTTCATACAATATGAGTTAAAAATCATTGTCGACAGCTGTATTTTATAATATGCAATGTAGGGGCATCCAGCAGAGATTGAAACGAATGAACAACCTCATTCTAACCATTTCAACGCTGTTATTGAGAAGATAGAGAGGCTCTATAAGGTATGCTACTCTTTGTTAAAACACTTTTCTTTTGGTAGGTTATTATATGTTTGATTTTTCACATTCACAACATTTTGCATACCATGCAATATCACTGTTGCATTCACACATCTCTGAAAAGTGTATGCTTACTTCAGAGAATAAATCTCAGGGAAACGATAGCAGTGATGGGGAAGAGTTAGACGGTGCTCCTGATGATGATGAGTATGACACTGAAGATTCATTTATTGATGATGCTGAACTGGTTAGTACTGATATCTTTCATATATTTTTGATAACTGAGAAATCATATCCTTGTTTTCTCACTCTACTCCTTGCAGGATGAGTATTTTGAAGTTGATAATTCAACAGTTAAACATGATGGATTTTATGTATATAGAGGCAAACTGGAGCGAATGTGAGTTTTCTTCCTCTTTTCATTATCTGATGTCTCTTAACTCGTTGGTTGCTTTGTCACTTTTCAATCACTCAGATCATGTTTAGAATAGGCAATATGTCGTAAGTTTTTGAAAAACAAACATATGAAATCACCTTGCTTTTTTCTTGCTATTTGGGTATATGTAGTCTCTCCAAATGGTAGAATATGGTTGGCAGTCTTGCTACTACTGCCTTAGCTAATGTCTGTAAGGTGTTTTGGTATGGTAAAGTCCATCTTTTCAACTTTTCTGATAAAAACCGTTCATATAGATGTAGGTTCTGCACTTTTGATAGGATAGAGTTTTCTCAATTCACCTAATCATGCTATATTTCATTTACGAGTTATCTAATCCCTGATTCATTTTCACAACAGGGAACCTTCAACAACATCTGACCAGCAACCCAAAAAACGGCGACGAAAAGATTCAACAAAACCCTGTGGTGATGCAGTTGACGTATCCGATAAACACACCAAGTTGTCTATAACAGCTAGGCGAAAGGTAGCATCATTTATTGCAAATAACTACTAATTTATTTCGGAGTTTGAGTCCGATGACTGATTATATGAATGGGAAAGTCCAGGATCAATCAACTGCTTCTGGGTCCTCTTTGAAGAGAAAGTATAATGTCGCAAGGAAAACACAGGAGTCACCTTTGCCTTTTGGAGCGCAAGCTGCGAATACTTCAGTATCTCTGGATGATGTGAAGCATTCTGATAGAGCAAATCATCAGTCTAAGAATGATACAAGTCACAAGTCAAGGGAAACTGGATCCTCTAGTGCCCTTCATCCGAAATACAGCAACAAAAGCTTACATCAACAATCTAAGTCCCTGCCAGGAAAATCTCCCACCAATGTTTTTGCAGAGGCAACAGTAGTCCTTCAGAAAGAAAACAATGGTATGCATCAGCTGGCAAATGCAATGGGAAGCAGACAATCTAGTCAAGCGTCTGTAAGTACATTCCAACTGTGTCTTCAGTTACATAAAATACACTCAGTTAGTAGTTTTCTTTCTCTAGGTTTCATTTCGGTTCTGTGTTATTTTTTCTGGTCAATCTTTGCTTCCATGCATTTTTCTTACCACAAAGTTTACATCAGACTTGCTTTATAAATCTGCAATAACCTGTCTCTACTCAGAAAAAAGATGGTTCTAATGTGAAGTCTAAAACCTCGATCCTTGAGAAAGCCATAAGGGAATTGGAGAAGGTGGTTGCGGAATGTGAGTTTTAATATTTTTCAAGTGGATGACCAACTAGAATAGCATTTGGTGATTTTCAACTTACAATAATTTATGATTGATAAGCAGCAAGGCCTCCTGCTATCACTGAAAATCAAGAAGCTGATACCTCATCCCAGGCAGTGAAGAGGAGATTGCCCAGGGATGTTAAATTGAAACTTGCTAAAGTTGCTAGGATTGCGGTACTAGAGCTTTTCCATTTGTTCTTCTCTTTTTTTGAAACTTGAAATGGTATGAGAAAAAACTAATATGCCTTTTGTGGCAGCAGGCAAGCCAGGGAAAACATTCAACAGAGTTAATCAACCGTCTTATGAGCATTGTTGGTCACCTAATCCAGCTTAGGTCACTTAAGGTAAAATTTTCTGTCTCCTGTATCCTAGTCTGTTTGTTAATAAAGCAGACTTGTTAGGATTTTCTTTAAGTTGTTTAAATAGTTAGACCAGTTAAAAAACTCTTCTGTTTCAGGTAAAAGCAAACAAAATATGGTTTCTTACTCTTCGTAATGCTTATTGTTGCAGAGGAACTTGAAAATCATGATTGATATGGGAGATTCTGCAACCCGAGAAAAGGATACTAGGTTCCAGCAAATCAACAATGAAGTTCTTGATATGATAAAAGCGAAAGTTTCTTTGATGGAATCACAGGTTCTCTCTCTCTCTCTCTCTTCTAATCTTAAGTTGCTTAATAGGCATTTCTTTCATCCATGGCTTTTCTATTTTATTACATTCTTGGAAGTGTCATTAACTTTTATGAAATCTGGAGCTCTCTCTGATAATGGTTTCCTGTAGATTAAGCTCTTCATTCCTTTGTTTTCGATGTTCTCTGTGGGTCAATCTGCCTTTGTAGCGTATTTTCCTCCTATTGATTTGTTGAGGCACCTGTGATACTTATGATATTTCTTGCACTATCATTTTTTGTTCCATAGGCAATCAAACCAGAAGGTGGAACATCAGACGATTTTCAGGACTCAGTAGAAAAGCCATCTTTGAAGAAGTTTGTCATGGATGCAGCATTGGAGGATAAATTGTGTGATCTATATGACATCTTTATTGACGTAATTATAATTTACTTTTGATAATCTGCCATGCCAATTCTTTTAGACTGTAGAATTAGAGTCAAAACGGTTTTGTTCCTGTTTTTTGGTATACTAGGGATTGGATGATGAAGATCAAGGTCCACAAAAAAGAAAGCTATATGTCAATGTAAGCTCTTCTCCATTTCCGAAATTTATTCTGGTTTATTTCTTTCCAAGCTTGTCTCGTGTCTTAAATCACCAAAGTTAGACGTAGCCAAAAGCTCAAGGTGGTTTATTAGAGCTTGATGAATATTGTTTTGGAATTATTCATGCTCCAGCTGGCTGAACTCTGGCCAAATAGATTGATGGATAATCATGGGATCAAACGTGCGATTTGCCGGGCAAAGGAGAGACGAAAAGCATTGAATGGAAACCTTGCGAAAGAGATGGTACTTATAAGAATTTTCTCAGCTCTTTACCTCATTGCATTAACATTTTCGCAATTTGCTTTGCTTGATTATATTCTGCTTTGTTAAAGGATCGTAGGAAGCAGTTGGTACCAAGAATAGACTGGACTGCTCAGCCCAACACCGAATTAGTGGTTCAGAGACAACACAGTGGAGAGAAGAAAATGATTGTTGATCCAAATGCAACCAGCACTTCCGTGGTCACCAGTCAAACTATGGTTGACAGATCAAATCAGCAGCATGAGAAGCTAAAGGGAAGCTCAAGCTCTTGCAAACCTATAGAGGAAACAAGAGTGGTCAAGAGAAAGACAGAGGCCGTAATGGCAGAGAAACAAGTTGTTCTTGCCCTGAAGAAGCCCGAACATCCACAGACACGTGTTATCCCAGCTCCTCAGAATCTGAACATCCCACAAACAACTCCGGACCTGAACTTGCCAAGTTGACATCACGATTGACGGAGCTCTTAGAAACACATAGAAACGCCGGAGACTATAACCTCCGGCCTCTTCCTTGCATTTTCAGGTGGCACGGCATTAGTCCTGGCGATGCGGATGCTTGGTTTTAAGCTACGAAGCATGGTTTATAAAGTTGTCTGTATTCTAGTTTTTGCTCCTATTAAGTTAGTTACTCTATTTACGTGTCCTTTTTAAGTCTAATGTGTAAAGTTATGATTTTACTAGCAACTCTTTACTTTTGAGTAAAAAAACAGAGCAGCTTTTAGTACTGAATTTTGGGTAACATAGTTGAAAACTGGATCCCGGACCTTGAACGATAATGTAAAATTGATGAAATACATCAAAATGACTAACATAATGTAAAATGCTTCTATATATTAATCCTTTTGACACAATATGAATAATCTATTTAAATTAATATAATTATTACTAGTAAAACAAACAAAAACCCCTTTCAACAGTATAAATACGCATCATTACTTCATAGATTCTCAACACTCTCATTCTCCACAATTTCATTCTCTAGAATCAACGTAATTTACCATGGCACACGCCGATCCCTTTTCAACGTCGACAATGCTCAATGCTTCACACCATCTCCGTTTTGCCGCCGCAAGAGAACCCATCTCAGAAGGGTATCCGGCGGTTGCTCCTCCTCATCCACGTGGCTTCTCCGTCAAGTTTCCTCCTCCGGGATTCACCCCATCTCCGTCACCTTTAACTAACTCATTCTTCACCGCCTTAACTCCAAAAATGGATGTTCTACGTAATGAATAATAACGAAGATCAAGATGCGGCTCCGTTCAAAGAGATGATCTTAAAGTTAGACCAAAGAGAGCTTCAAACGATGGCGTCATTGCTGACATCAGATTCCGATTACTTCTTGATGATCGCAAGAAACAAGAACGGCTCCAAACGCAACAGAAACTTCTGGGGATAACAGATGACGTGGACACTTTATTCGCCGCCACTATCTTGCGCCGCTTCCTCCACATCATCACCGACAAGTACGCATCGTACGTGGCGAGACGGGGGATAGCAGTTTTCAATAAGAAGAAGAAAGAAGCAATTTACGAGCGCATTCTCCATTACGCGCTATACATAGCGCGTGACAAACACGGTTGCCTCGCGCTCAACGACATCATAACCGACGCGGACGATCTTTACTACAAAAACAAGCTCTTTGACGTAATCGCGCACAAAGCTATTTTACTAAGCAACGATGCTTATGGGAACTTTGTGATACAACAGGTGCTTAAACTGAATGACTTGCGTTGCAAGAACAACATCGTCGCTAGTCTACGTGGCCACTTTGTTGATCTCTCGATTCAGAGATATGGAAGCTACATTGTGAACCTGCTTTTGGAGACGGAGGAGTCAATGGTTGTGGTGGTGGAGGAGCTTTTGGAAGGAGATATGTTGATGAGGTTGACGAGGAATGTGTATGGGAATTTCGTGGTGTGCAAGGCACTGAGAGTCACGCAGAAGGAGATGGTTAGGACTGATCTGTATTGGGGTTTGGTGCATAAGCTCAAGCCTTTTCACAATCCCTTGCGTAGGTCTCGTGGAAGCAATTCTTGGACTCAATTCGTTAGTGTTGGAATATTGAGAGAAAGAAGAAACAGAGTGCAAGAGACATTTGTCTCTTCTCTTGTAAAGAAGACAAGAACGAAAATAACTCTTTTGATTAAACTGAAACTTGTTGTTTTTTTTACATGACGATACAATGAGTTTAAATAGAAAACAACTAGACACAACACATGAAGAGTTGTGTCTCTTCGTACTTGTGACTTTTGAGTGAAACAACACAAACTTATAACCGTTAACTGAAAACTCAATTATCAACCAACAGTTAGCTCGTTTGAAACTAGTTAGTGCTGTTATATTATTACGACATGCTGAAAGTAATCGTTTCTTAGTTAACTATTTTAAGGAGATTGTCATTGATGATGGTAAATAAACCAAATTCAGTTCAAAAGTGGTGAAAATTCACAGAGTAAAGGAAAAGAGAGATAGATAGTATATACGATACATAGAATTCTCTCTTTCATGTTATTAGAACAAGTTTGAAAGCTGAATCACTCGCACTAGTTTCTCAGATCGTACAATAGATCACCTGAAATTTCATTACAGAATCCTAAATCCTTCAAGAATGCTGATTGATCAGATTCCTAGAAGGCTGTAATTACAAGAGTCTGATCCTTAATGAAGTGGGGAAATTCATGGAAGCCTCATAATGCATCAAGCAATACCATCTAATAAACCAACATGGCTCAAGAAACATTTTGTAGAGAGAAATCAAACGTTTGCATAGATTTGGGACTGGTATTATTAGTATAAAGAAATCAAACGTTTGCATAGAGAAAAATATACAAAATAAAGAATTGTGAGGCATTTTTGGGACTGGTATTATTAGTAATAGATTATTAAATTTGTCTTTTAAAATATTAAATTTTATTGCAAACAAACAAATAACAAAATTTATTAAAATCTCAAAATAAGGCCTTAATGTCTGGAGAGAACTCGGGTGATCAGGATGCGACAATGACCGATATCGGCGAGAAGGGAAGGCCACCGGGGGAGCCGCCAGATATGTCGGTTTCATGGGTAAAGAAAGTGACGGGAAGTATGGTAGGAGGAAGACCGGTACCGGAGATGATTCTGAATGATGAGTTTGTATCGGAGAGAGTGACTTTGGAGTTCCCGAACGGTGAAGATGGTGAGCCAGTCATAACGATTGGATCAGAGGTGTTGGATGTGATGAATGGGATGTGGAAGCAGTGCATGCTCGTTAAAGTCCTTGGGCGCAATGTTCCGCTGGCGGCTCTAAGCAGAAGGCTTAAGGAGATGTGGAAACCGCAGGGGGCTATGTACGTGATGGATTTACCAAGGCAATTCTTTATGATACGTTTTGAGTTGGAGGAGGAGTATCTCACGGCGTTGACCGGAGGGCCTTGGAGGGTGTTTGGAAGCTACTTGATGGTGAAGGCGTGGAGTCCGGAATTTGATCCTTCAAGAGATGAGATAACCACGACTCCGGTGTGGGTTCGTCTCTCGAACATACCAGTCAATTTTTATCACAAGTCAATTCTACTAGGAATTGCACGGGGATTGGGCAAACCAGTTCGGGTTGATTTAACAACTCTCAATTTTGAGAGGGCAAGATTTGCCAGAGTCTGTGTTGAAGTGGACTTGAAGAAACCGCTGAAGGGTTCGGTGATGATCAATGGTGAACGCTACTATGTGTCCTATGAAGGCCTTACGAACATCTGTTCGTTATGTGGATTATACGGACACTTAGTAGATACGTGCCCAAGGAGGGAACCAGAGAAAGTGGTCGAAACTACAAACTCTGTGGTGGCCGTGATAACTACCGAACCTAAGGAGGTAAGAGATGGGTTCACGGTGGTGCGGCGCACGGGGAGGAGAGCAGAGTAACCGGAAAAAAAAGCGATATTAACGGCGAGAAATCAGGGACAGAATTTGGGTCGTAATCTAAAAGATATTTCGGGAAACAAGAATATTCAGAATAATTTGGGAAACAATAATATTCAGAATATTGAGGTAACGAATCGTTTTGGAAGGTTAGAGGAGGATACGGCAACCCTCGAATTAAGGGAGGTTGCGGTGATCGGGGAAGCGAATAAGGAAAATGTTTTCTTTGGGAGGAAGGTTGCAGATACGAAGAGTGGGGAACAAGGCAAGTCAAAGAACGTTGGGCCTGAGGATAAAGGTAAAGGCGGCCCACAGGAGAAACGAAATTGGATACCCAAGTCAGCTAATAATGCTGGGCTGAAATTAAAGAATAGGCCCAATAAGCCAACTCGTGGGCTGGTTTTTGGTTTGTCAAAAGAAGAGCTGGTGTTATCTAAATCCGGGAAGAGGCTAAGGATAGAGTCGGGTCGTGTGGGCAGACCTGGAGGAATTTTCATTAAGGATGGTGAAGGAGAAGCGAGAGGAGAGACTTCTAACGCTACTTATGCAAATGAGTTATTCACTTCTGGTTCAAAACCGGATGACGCAACAAGCAACAGAGAGATGGTTATGTATGGTGAGCCACAGGTCGGAGTGGTGGCCTCTACTCATGCATAACGTTTTTCCCCGGCATTTCAAAGTCGAGAATACATAATAATGATGAATTGCTTATTATGGAATTGCCGGGGGGCGAATAAACCCAATTTTCGAAGATCTATTCGGTATATTCTTAAGAAGTTTTCCACTGACATATTAGCTCTCTTTGAGACTCACGCAAGTGGGGGCAGAGCTGATCGTATATGTCATGGATTGGGCTTTGAGAACTCCTTTCGGGTTGAAGCGGTGGGTCAGAGTGGTGGTATATGGTTGCTCTGGAGAACAGGAGTCGGGGATGTCTCCATTGTAGAGTCAACGGACCAATTCATACATGCCAAAGTCGTGAATGGTTTGGAGACTATACATTTAATCGTGGTATACGCGGCGCCTACAGTAAGTAGAAGAAGCGGACTGTGGGGCAAGCTTAGACAAGTTATTGGAGGGATCAGTGATTCCCTTATAATTGGAGGTGACTTTAATACAATCCTCAGATTAGATGAGAGGACCGGAGGAAATGGGAGACTTTCTCTTGATTCTCTAGCTTTTGGTGATTGGATTAATGAGTCAATGCTGATTGACATGGGTTTTCGAGGAAGCAAGTTTACTTGGCGCCGAGGAAAAGTTCAAAACACTTTCATTGCAAAGAGACTTGATCGGGTGTTGTGTAATGCTCAAGCAAGGCTATGGTGGCAAGAGGCAATTGTCACACACCTTCCATTCTTAGCCTCTGATCATGCACCATTGTATGTTCAATTAAGTCCGGAAGTGAGGGGAAATCCGAGGAGGAGGCCTTTTAGATTTGAGGCAGCGTGGTTGAAACATCAAGGGTTTAATGAGCTGCTTACTAATTCATGGCAAAGTGAGCTGACAACTCAAGAAGCTTTAAGGGGTTTGCAGGTTAAGCTTCAGAAATGGAATAAAGAGGTTTTCGGGGATGTACACATGAAGAAAGAGTTACTGCTCAACAAAATTAAGGAAGTACAGGATCTTTTGGATTTGAACCAATCGGAAATATTGCTCCAAACGGAGGAGACCTTGATAAAAGAGTTTGAAGAAGTCTTGGAGCAAGAAGAAATTATATGGTTTCAAAAATCAAGGGAGAAGGTGATAGCTTTGGGAGATAGAAATACCAGTTTCTTTCATACATCTACAATAATACGAAGACGGAGGAATCGAATTGAGATGTTGAAGAATGATGAAGGAACATGGATTTCAAATGCTCAAGAATTGGAGAACCATGCCATTGAATACTATAAGAGGCTATATTCTTTGGAAAATGTTGATGAGGCTACGGTTAATTTGCTACCAACGGGTTTTGCGAGACTGACTGGGAGTGAGTTAACAGAGTTAGACAAACCGTTCACTGCCACAGAAATTGAGGGATCGATGTGGTGTATGAGCAGATTCAAGGCCCCGGGGCCAGATGCCTACCAGCCTGTTTTTTACCAAACATGTTGGGAAGTAGTTGGCCCGTCGGTGGTCAGATTTGTGCTGAATTTTTTTGAGTCTGGAATCTTACCGGCTGAGACAAATGACGCATTGTTGGTCCTTATTGCGAAAGTAGCGCAGCCGGAGAAGATTACACAGTTTCGTCCCATTAGTTTATGTAATGTTCTCTTTAAAATCATTACAAAAATAATGGTTTTGCGCTTGAAGAAGGTGATGCCAAAGCTTATTGGGCCGGCTCAAGCTAGCTTTATTCCCGGAAGGCTGAGCACGGATAATATAGTGCTAGTACAAGAGGCGGTTCACTCTATGCGACGCAAGCAGGGAAGGAAAGGTTGGATGCTCTTAAAGCTTGATCTTGAGAAAGCATATGATCGTATACGTTGGGATTTTTTGGAAGATACTCTCAAGACGGTGGGTATTTCGGAGAAATGGATTAGATGGATTATGCAATGTGTTTCGGGTCCCTCTATGTCTGTTTTGTGGAATGGAGAAAAGACGACATCGTTTACACCTTCGAGAGTGCTTCGTCAAGGCGATCCGTTGTCACCGTATCTATTCGTGTTATGTTTAGAGCGGTTGTGTCATTTGATCGAACTAGCGGTGGATACTAAAGAATGGAAACCAATTAGTCTCTCTCGCGGAGGGCCACGGTTATCTCATGTTTGTTTCGCGGATGATTTGATTCTGTTTGCTGAGGCATCGGTGAGCCAAGTTCGGGTTATCCGCAAGGTGTTGGAGAAGTTTTGTCTAGCTTCGGGTCAAAAGGTGAGCTTGGAAAAATCAAAAATATTTTTTTCAAGTAACGTTCATCGGGATCTTGCTAACCAAATCAGTGGTGTGAGTGGGATTAATTCAACAACGAATTTGGGCAAATATCTTGGTATGCCGGTTCTTCACAAGAGAATAAATAAAAACACGTTTAGAGAGGTGCTGGAAAGGGTGTCTTCTCGTTTATCAGGCTAGAAGGGAAGATTTCTTAGCTTTGCGGGTCGCTTAACACTCACGAAATCAGTGTTGTCTTCGATCCCGGTACACTCGATGAGTACGATTGCATTACCTAAGTCGACTTTGGGACAGCTAGACAGAGTCTCTCGTTCCTTTTTATGGGGGAGCACCACAGAGAAAAGGAAGCTACATTTAGTTGCTTGGGACAGAGTTTGTTTACCAAAACATGAAGGAGGGTTAGGGGTTCGGTCCTCAAATGACATGAACAAGGCTCTCTTAGCAAAAGTTGGGTGGCGTTTGCTTCATGACAAAACCAGTTTGTGGGCAAGAGTGTTAAGATCAAAATATAAAGTTGGTGATGTTCATGATCAATCGTGGTTAGTAGTGAAGAGTGGTTGGTCATCAACTTGGAGAAGCATCGGAATTGGGTTACGTGAAGGTGTATTACCAGAACTGCGATTCATACTGGGAGATGGGAAGGAGATTCGTTTTTGGAGTGATAGATGGTTAACAAAGACGCCGCTGGTGGAGATGATACATGGAGCATTACCGGAGGGGTCTGCGGATATTAGAGTCAAGGACCTTTGGAGAGAAGGAACTGGCTGGCTATTATCGAGGATTACTCCCTATGTTACGGAGACGGTGAGGCTGCAGCTTGCGGCTGTGGTTTTAGATAACGTAACAGGGGCGGCGGATCGTTTATCATGGGGAGGAACTGCCGACGGGTCTTTTACAGTGAAATCGGCCTACGCTGCGTTAACAAGAGATAAGTCACAGAAACAGAGCATGGGAAGTTTCTTTGAAAAAGTATGGAAGATGATGGCGCCTGAAAGAGTGAGACTATTTACTTGGTTAACAACTCATCAGGTACTAATGACTAATGTGGAGAGAAACCGACGGCATATGAGTGACACGAGTATATGTCCGGTGTGTAGTAGTGGAGAGGAGACAATCATGCACGTGTTGAGGGACTGTCCGTCAATTGCTGGGATTTGGCAGCGACTGGTGCCTGCATCCAAGATGGTCATGTTTTTCCAAAAATCATTACTGGAATGGCTTTATTGGAACTTAAAAGACGGAACAGAGCGGCACGGAGTGCCGTGGTCTACTTTATTTGCTATGATTATATGGTGGGCATGGAAATGGCGTTGTGGAGAGGTTTTTGGTGGTATGGGTCGTTGCCGAGATAGAGTCAAATTTATTACAGAGCTGGCAAAGGAGGTGTATGTAGCTCATTCGGCGATTTTGAGTGAACAAAACAAGGCTGCACGGGTGGTGAGACTTGTAAGCTGGACACCGCCGCATGTGGGATGGGTTAAGCTAAACACGGATGGTGCGTCTCATGGTAATCCGGGGTTAGCAACGGCAGGAGGAGTCTTACGTGATGGTGACGGGAACTGGAAAGGTGGGTTTGCGTTGAATATAGGGATATGTTCAGCACCTTTAGCAGAGTTGTGGGGAGTTTACTACGGGCTGTATATTGCGTGGGAGAGAGGAATCACGCGGTTGGAGCTCGAAGTAGATTCAGAGATAGTGGTGGGTTTTCTAAGGTCAGGGATTAGTGATGCTCATCCACTGTCATTCCTAGTACGTTTGTGCTACGGCTTTATTTCAAGGGACTGGATAGTCCGGATTTCTCACGTGTATAGAGAAGCTAACCGTCTTGCGGATGGGTTAGCTAACTATGCGTTCACGCTTCCTTTAGGTTTTCATTCTTTTGATGTTAGTCCTGATGTTATTCGTTTAATTTTGTTGGAGGATATTAGTGGGTCTTTGCACCCACGAAGTGTTCGTTTGTAAAATTTTAATTTAGTTGAATAAAAATGTGGGAGACATGCCTCCCTCAGCTTACCAAAAAAAAAAATCTCAAAATGATATGACAACATATGATTAATTTCAAATTTTCTGATATCTATTGTAAAATTTTGTAAGCAAATTCCCCCGACAAATTTTATAGTGAGGAAACTGTGGGAATTGCATTTTAAAAGAAAAAGTGAAAAACTATCCAATATTTTGAATTCCCCCGACAAATTCACTAATTTCTACCTTCGATAATCTTTTGGATTTTTTTTTTTTTTTTAACGCAATATTTTGGATTATTATCATTAAAAAAAGTTATAGAAAAATAAAGTAATTGTAGATAATTATTTTCGATGAAAATTCTGTCCGTATTATTATTTGCATCTCGAGGTTCTTATACGATTGAATAAAACATTTTTTTTTTTTTTAATCATAACTTTCCCAAAATCGTCTCTTCCATCGCTAGCTGTACCGGTTTCAATCTCAAATCCCGGGAAATTGAAATTTGTTTCTCTGTCGGAGAATCATCATCGACTTCTCTGCTACTTCTTCTCTCCGCGCTCTCATCGTCGTCGTCGATCCTCTTCACCTTTGCCGATCTCATTTCTCCTTTCATTTCAATCCTGAAAAAATCGATGTGGTACTGATCTACGATTGTGCTCCGTTGGTAGCCTTATGAATTAGGGTTTTTCTTACGCATCTTTGTATGCGTTGATTTGGATCGTGTTCGGAAAACTTCTGGACACTCTCTTCGCTGCTAGATTTCGGATCACCTTTTTGCGAAAATGGCAGCGCCAAGGCCGACGGGAGGTCAGGATCTGTTCGATACGTATTTCAGGAGGGCAGATTTGGATGGAGATGGTCATATTAGTGGAGCTGAGGCTGTCGCTTTCTTCCAGGGCTCGAATTTGCCTAAACATGTCCTTGCTCAGGTTCTTCTTCGAAATCTGCATCTATTTCCTTCTTTTGGTTTCAGTATTTGTTTGGATTATTGGGAAACGGTGGAGAATAGTTCTTACAGGTTTTGAATTGGATCTTTGATCTGTGGGATCGTTGGTAGTGAATGTGACGTATTTTGTCAAATTTGTTCTTTGCCGGGTGTTTAATAGGACCTCTCTTTTCATTTCTGGAGCTTGTAGTCAAGTTGATGTGATTCTAATGGAGAATCTTCTTCGATCTTGACATATTCTGAGCTAAGAACGCTAAAATGTGTTTTCTATTCACTGTACTGTTATCAGAGTGGCACATCTGGTGATACGATTGAGCTAGTATCAGTCTATCAGATCAGGCATTGTGTTTATGCAGATATGCAGATATGAATAGTTTTATGCGTTTTTGCTTTTAATTGGAGAGTGAAATTTGAATGAAAATAAGAGAAGCAATCTAGATGTGTCTACTTCTCTGTATCGTGCATAAGCCAAGAATATTGCATGCAATGAGGGGAATTCTGCGTATTTGAATTTTAACATGCTTTTCTGGAATTTAGAAAACATCTCCAGATTAGTTCGGATATAAGCTCTTTTTGAGCGCCTATTATACAATTATTCTTTGGATTGTTAAGGCTATAACTTGTTATTATTATCTTGTAGGTATGGTCCTATGCAGATTCAAAAAAAGCTGGCTACCTTGGCCGAGCGGAGTTTTATAATGCTCTAAAGTTGGTTACAGTGGCACAAAGTAGACGGGAGTTGACTGCTGAGATAGTAAAGGCTGCAATTTATAGTCCTGCTTCCGCCAATATCCCTGCACCCAAAATAAATCTTGCTGCAACACCCTCTCCACAGCCTAGGGGAGTTTTGCCTGCTACACAAGCTCAGGGAGTTACATCAATGCCATCAGTAGCGGCTGGTGTGAGAGGGCCTCAAATGGGTGGAACTGTAAGCACTAATAACCAACAAGTAGCCCCAGGCCAGCAGAACCAGTTTACTGGGCTGCCTCCATCTCAGACACAGCAAAACTTTCAAAGCCCGGGAATGCCAGCTGGAGGGACTAATGCACCTCGTCCTGCAAACCAACCTATGCCATCTGATTGGCTCAGCGGCAGAAGTGTTGGCCCCTCTGGCAACGTGAATTCTCAAATTCCTTCGAGTCAGAGTACATATGGTTTGACAGCACCTAATTCAACTGCCAACCATGTACCAAAACCACATTTTACACCTGCAGTAATAAGCTCTACAACAGCCAGACCCCAAGAGTCAGCGCCTGTGCACAATCCCCAAGAATCATCTGCTACTTTCGGTGTTCGTGTTTCAGATGTTCCATCCAAGCAATTGGTGGCCAAGGATCCCAAGGAACTGGCTGCATCAGGAAACGGGTTTGCCTCTGACTCACTTTTCGGAGATGTCTTTTCAGTTACTTCCACCCAGCCAAAACAACATACTACAGGAACTGCAACAACAATGGGAATCTCATCTGTTCCTGCTGGAACTGTTGCGGGCCCTGAGATCACACAGTCTGTAGTTAGGCAAAGTTCAATCCCACAACCGGGTGCATTGAGCCAGCATGCTGTTGGTGTTCAGAATCAGCTTACTGGACAATCAGGGCAACCATATGCTCCCTCAGGTGCGGCTTCTGGTCCACCTGGCTCTACTGTTGGAGTTGGAATTTCAGCTTCCAGTCAGTTGTCCCAGCGACCGCCCCACCCCCACCCCCACCCCCAACCACAACCCCGGCCCCAGGTCCAGTCCCAACCCCCTTGGCCAAAAATGACTCCAGCTGATGTCCAGAAATATACCAAGGTTTTTGTGCAAGTTGACACTGATAGGGACGGAAAGATCACAGGGAACCAGGCTCGGAATCTGTTCTTAAGTTGGAGGCTTCCAAGAGGTAGGCTACATTTACTTTTTTGTTGCTTTCTCCATTAACAGTGGTTTAGTTTCAATTTGAGCTTGTTACAATGGTGAAAGGGGATTATAATTTAGTGGCAGTTCTGAATATTTCTTTGGACTTCGGATATTGATTAACTGCCGTTTCTACTTCATCTTGAATATTTCATGTTGTGGTCCGCGTGTAAACTATACTATATGTCGATAGAGATGTCATGTTCTTCTAGCACAATTTGTTGAATTCTCCATGGGGAATATTGAAGAATGTTTTATGAGTCTCATGCTGGTCCTGTGTGTTACAGAGGCTTTGAAGCAGGTATGGGATTTATCTGATCAAGATAATGACAGCATGCTCTCCTTGCGGGAGTTCTGTATTGCGGTTTATCTAATGGAGCGTTACAGAGAGGGCCGACCTCTTCCCCCAATGTTCCCAAGCTCTATAATTCATAGTGAGAGCATGTTTACCTCTCCTGGTCAGTCTGTGGCACCACATGGCAATGCATCCTGGGGACATCCACAAGGTATTCGATTGCACATACTGCATTACTTACCTTTTTTTTTTCCCTAAACTAGGTAAATTCATTTATGTACCAAATATTGTAGGTTTCCAACAGCAACCACATCCTGGGGCCTTGAGGCCACCAGCTGGTCCCAAAGGAAAGCCTCCGAGGCCAGTGCCTCTATCTCCTAGTGATGGAATGGTCCAGCCCACTCAGCCAAAGCGTAAAATGCCTGTGTTGGAAAAACCGCTGGTGGATCAACTTAGCAAAGAGGAGCAGGATTCGCTCAACTCAAAGTTTGAAGAAGCAACTGCTGTTGATAAAAAGGTACTCTCTGGTTTCTCTCTGATCTTAATTTGTTAATGTGGTGAATTCCGTTGGTTATCGTTTGAGTTTTTTTCTTTTTCTTTTTGGCATTTTCTATCTGAAGATATCTTTTGCCCCCTTTCATACGGCATTCATATGAAATATTTGTGGATTTGCGTAGCCATAGTCAAGATTAGAAGATAATCTTTCAACTGATGATTGGCAGTGGCAGTCAATGTTAATTTCATTGGCATGGAAGATATTAAACAGCAATTGTGAACTAAGAATAATTTATTTGTTTCTACCTTGTTTTGAGTTTCCCTTCTCTATCACATATCCTCCGTACATTTCCCGCATAATTGATCAGTTATCCATGTAATATTTACTGGCGTAACTAAAACTTATGTGTGATTGCCTTTCATTTTTTTTAATTCTTGTGTTTTGGTGTTTAGGTGGATGAACTCGAAAAAGAAATAGCTGATTCCAAGCAGAAAATTGATTTCTTCCGTGCTAAGATGCAAGAACTTGTAAGTATCTCTGCTTCTTCAGCTTGGTGTTTTCTTTCAACATGTTGTCTGGAATCCCCTTATTTGATAACCAGAAGTAGAGGCAAAAATTGCTCAAACTATGATCGTATATATGTGTGTTGTTTGATCTTGCCTTTTTTGAAGTAATTTTCAAAAGTTCTAGGAATGTAGTTGTCTTCAGGTTTCTCCTTTATACTAACAATCAGTTTGTTTCTCTAACCTTTTCCCTTTGGTTCCGTGGGTTACAGGTTTTATACAAGAGCAGATGTGACAACCGATACAATGAGATCGCAGAGAGAGTCTCGGGTGATAAACGTGAGGTATACAGTTTCTGTTACTGAGCCTCTTTTATGATGGTAGTAGAGATCCAGTTTGATTACCTAACATAATCAACATGTACTCCAGCTTGAATCTCTAGCAAAAAAATACGAGGAGAAATACAAGAAGGCTGGCAATGTAGGCTCTAAATTGACTATTGAAGAGGCCACGTTCCGTGATATACAGGTAGTTTATAAGTATCATCCTAGCAAAAATGCTTTTGAATTGTCTGCATGTTGGATGTCTCCTTCAAAAAAATGATAAACCTTCCTTTAAATTGCAGGAGAAGAAAATGGAATTGTACCAGGCAATAGTCAAATTTGAAGAAGGCAAACTTGACGATAGTGTTGTTAAGGTAAGCCACATGTGCTATCTGGTTGATTGAATGTGATTCGTAGTTGTATTTTGCTGAAGATTGTCTTGTAGGAGCGCACTGAACACATCCAATCAGGCCTTGAGGAACTGATTAAAAATTTGAATGAGCGCTGCAAACAATATGGAGTACGTGGGAAACCCACTTCTCTGGTTGAGCTTCCTTTTGGTATAGATTTACTACTTCTCCTCTCTGGTTAAAAATCACGTTTAGAATTATATTCCTGTGATCAGTGGCAGGAGTGGTTTACCATATCTTTTTCTGTTTAACTTTAGAATCTAGCAATATTCTTATTTAAAAATTTGATTAAACGTTGATGCTTATGTACTAGAGGAAACTCAGTATATTTGGCTTTTTTTTTTTTTAATTTTTTGGCTAGTTGACAAAAGAACGTCTACCTGTACAACTGTGTATATGTATTCCTTTGTTTATATTCATGGAATTTCCTCTCTTTTACAGGTTGGCAGCCTGGAATCCAGGAAGGTGCTGCTGATTGGGATGAAGATTGGGATAAGCTAGAGGAGGAAGGTATACTTGCTGTGTATAGATTTTGATTTTGTTGTCAGATGAGATTATTGTGGAAGCATGGCTTTAGATATAATATCAATATCTTGTGTCTTTATATTTTTTTTTTTGGTGACCTATCTTCCAAAATAGGCTATGGATTTTGCAGTTGAACACTTGAAATTGACATCTTATTTTCTCTTCACTTCCAGGGTTTACCTTCGTCAAGGAGCTTACACTTGATATTCAAAATGTCATAGCCCCACCAAAGGAAAAATCATCAGCGTGGAAGAAAGAAGTTGCTGTCTCTTCAAAAGAAGGTGAAGATGTTTCATCCTCAGATGCTGACTCTAAAACGGGGAAAAAGCAAGGCAGTGGTGAAGAGGCTTCTGAGAAGGAACCAACATCTGAGCAGTCAGAGGGTAAAACATCCAATGTTGATGCAAGAGATAAAAACGGATCTCTGGATGACTCTAATGTTAGAAAGGGCATTGAAGCTGATAGTTCACCCCGAACTAAAGAGAAGAGGTATGTTTTTTTGTGCTAGACCTAATGTGTTTTGGATTGCATCCTTCTTAACTGTAGAATTCATGTGTTTCCGTGAAAAGTACTGCAAATAGGGTATAATATGGTCCTACATGGAAGAATGCATCTCGGTGATTTACATTGTCTCTGTTAATTTTCCAGTGAAAATGGCCATGATGATGGTGAATCTACTGCTTCTGCTGGTAAAACTGTAAATTATGACTCTCATGACGAGACAGATTCAGTTTCAAGCTTGAACCCTGACGGAAAGGTAAACCATTTTGCACACCCCGAAGTTTGGGGTTTGTTACGTTTGATAATATATGTTTTATTAAACTTTGTATATCTACATGAAAGAATCGTTAATTTTTATGTAACTATTTTTTTGTTTTGTTTTAAGCAGGACAAGGATCATGAGAAGTATGGCAGTGGTTTTGGCTTTGGCTTTGGATTTGATGACTTCAGTATTAAGCCTATAAAAACTGGTTCGACCATTTCAAATGACTTCCTCCCTCCTCCTAAGTTATCTATATTTGCTGATTCCGTCCCAAGCACACCGGCAAATGCAAGCGACGTTTCCCCTACAAAACCTTCTTTGTTTGCTGACTCAGTTCCGAGCACTCCAGCGACGAACAATGCCTCTTACTCAGGCCAGAAATCATTCTTTGATGACTCTGTCCCAAGCACTCCTGCTTATCCAGGCAACTTGTTTGCCGAAAAGAAATCCTTCTTTGACGACTCTGTCCCGAGCACTCCTGCTTACCCAGGCAACTTGTTTGCCGAGAAGAAATCCTTTTTCGATGACTCTGTCCCGAGCACTCCTGCTTATAGCACGTCTGATTTTAGTGGGAAGCCATTTGCATCAGAGACTCCTCGTTCAGACAACTTGTTCCCTGGAAGAAGCCCCTTTATGTTCGACTCTGTCCCAAGTACACCCGCACACGATGACTTCTCTAACAACAGCTTCTCCCGCTTCGATTCATTCAACAACAACGATGCTTTCTCTCTATCACGCACAGACTCGATGCGCAGCACAAGCGAGCCTGACCCATTCGCATCCAGGTTTGATTCTTTCAACTATCAAAGATATGATTCCTTCAATGCACAAAGCTTTGATTCCTCTAGCAACAACAACGCATCGGAGACACCTAAAGCCTCATTGACGAGATTCGACTCAATCGGAAGCACCAGAGACTCTGATTACAGTCACGGGTTTGGGTTCGATGACCATGACCCTTTCGGTTCTACAGGACCATTCAAAACAACGACAACTACAGCAGAGACACCACGGAGTTCTGATAATTGGAATGCATTCTAGCCACAAGCCCACGTGTGATATGAAATATGATCACATATCATACACTTTGCTGCTTCTATAGTTTGAATTACCAGTCGAAGAGTTATATGTATCTTCATTTCTTTGGTTTCACCTGCTTGCTTCATTTTTTATTGTTAGTATATAATAGTCTTTTTGCCATTTTATAAGGATTTAACGAAGAGTGTCCTTTGTTGCTCTCTGAGTAGTATTTCTTTTTCCTTGTTTCTTTGTTTGTTAACTTGAATAATGAATTCTTATTTGTCCCTGTGAAACTTCCTATTGTATCTTTGTATACATTTCAGATGTTTGATATATTAGATTGATTGGTAATTTTGGGAATAATCCGTATTTATCAAAAGTTTGATTTGTACTTTCTATTTTGTAAATTGATAAGTTAAGCAAGATTTATCAACATATCTCAAAATCTAATCAAGTGTTACAATGTCATACTGTTGTTAATAGTAATTATGCCAGTATTATATGTAATAATGTAGTTAAGAGCATATGTATTGAATTTAAGAATTCTGGTGAAGCTATTCAAAATTTATTTGATAAAATTAGTGATCTATATAAATTTGTTTTCAGAAAATAATCACTTTCCTTATCTTTTTTGGTCACAAAATACAAATGTCCTTCCAAACAAATCCCAAAAGGGCAAAAAAAAAAAAAAAAAGAGATGAAGAGTGAGAGGCGCGTGGAGTGCACGCTCAGCTCAAGTGTCAATCCAGTCACAATCAAAGTGGAAGAAGCACAAGTTTTAATTCAACCTCTTCGACCATGAAGAAGAGGACGAATCCACGAGGTCCACCAAATTCCTGCAAACTTCCAAAACTCCATCTCAAAATATCCACATTATCCGCCATTACCCTGAACCGTTTTTCTCTCATGTTCCTATGCTTTTACCCTTGCCACGTACCTATCATGAGTCGCCTTTCTCCGGCCACCGGAATCTCTTCCCGCCTCCACTGCTCCGTTGATTTGAGTTCCGATGGACGATTACTTCCCTTCGGATTCAGATTTCGGAGAAACGATGTCCCGTTTAAACGCCGCTTGAGATTTGTGATCAGAGCGCAGCTCTCTGAGGCTTTTTCTCCTGATTTAGGTTTGGATTCTCAGGTTACTTACTTACTTCTCTCGACTTCCTTGCTTCTTTTTATTCACTTTGTTCGATCAATCAACTTTGAGAGACAGAGTTTGCGAGTAGATTCTTGCCTTTATCCATCTTTTGCGTAGCTGATTTAATTGTTCTTAGGATCTTTAGATTATCGAATCATTTCATGATTTAAGCTAAACATTTGCTGATCAGAGTTGCTTATCTAGTATTTCGTAGGAAATTAGCTGTTTCACATTACTTTCTATCAATTGAACTGATACGGAAACAGTTGATTTGCTTAGTTTTGCATTCTGGAGTTTTTTTTTTTTTTTTTTTTGGTTATGAACTGGTCGACTGACTTCATTCACTTTGATATTTAAGGCTGTGAAATCTCGCGATACATCAAACTTGCCTTGGATTGGTCCAGTTCCAGGGGACATTGCTGAGGTTGAGGCATATTGTCGAATTTTTAGATCAGCTGAGCGACTACATGGAGCCTTGATGGAGACACTGTGCAACCCTTTGACTGGTGAATGTCGTGTACCGTATGATTTCTCACCCGAGGAAAAACCTTTGTTGGAGGACAAAATAGTATCAGTGCTTGGTTGTATATTATCTCTTTTAAACAAAGGAAGAAAAGAAATTCTCTCTGGGAGGTCATCTTCTATGAGTTCATTTAATTTGGATGATGTAGGGGTTGCCGAGGAATCGCTTCCACCACTTGCTGTTTTCAGGGGTGAAATGAAACGCTGTTGTGAAAGCTTACACATTGCCCTTGAGAATTATCTGACACCGGATGATGAAAGAAGTGGAATTGTCTGGAGAAAATTACAGAAGCTTAAGAATGTCTGCTACGACGCAGGTTTTCCACGCAGTGATAACTATCCTTGCCAAACACTATTTGCGAATTGGGACCCTATTTATTCGTCAAATACAAAAGAGGATATTGATTCCTACGAGTCTGAGATTGCATTTTGGAGGGGAGGACAAGTAACCCAAGAAGGATTGAAGTGGTTAATCGAAAATGGATTTAAAACAATTGTTGACCTGAGAGCTGAACACGTGAAGGATACATTCTACCAGGCGGCACTTGATGATGCAATTTCCCTTGGGAAAATTACAGTGGTGCAAATTCCAATTGAAGTCAGGATGGCTCCTAAAGCTGAGCAGGTAGAGCTGTTTGCTTCTATTGTATCAGATAGCAGCAAAAGGCCGATATATGTTCACAGTAAAGAAGGTGTTTGGAGAACTTCTGCGATGGTTTCTAGGTGGAAGCAGTACATGACACGTCCGATCACGAAAGAAATTCCAGTTTCAGAAGAGTCAAAGCTTCGGGAGGTTTCTGAAACTAAGCTTGGATTAAATTCTGTAGTATCTGGTAAGGGTATACCTGATGAGCATACTGATAAAGTCTCTGAAATCAATGAGGTTGATAGTAGATCTGCTACGAACCAGAGCAAAGAATCTAGAAGCATTGAGGGAGATACATCTGCATCAGAATTTAATATGGTGAGCGATCCTCTTAAATCTCAAGTTCCACCAGGCAATATTTTTTCAAGAAAAGAAATGTCTAAATTCCTGAGGAGCAAAAGTATTGCTCCTGCTGGTTATCTTAGTAATCCGTCCAAAAAATTGGGAACAGTGCCAACTCCGCAATTTTCATATTCTGGTGTGACAAACGGAAACCAGATTTTTGATAAAGATTCCATAAGAGGACTTGCGGAGACAGGAAACTCCAATGGGACCGTTTTACCTACAAGTTCTCAAAGTTTAGATTTTGGCAATGGGAAGTTTTCAAATGGAAATGTGCATGCTTCTGATAACACCAACAAAAGTATATCGGACAACAGGGGAAATGGCTTCTCTGTAGAGCCTATTGCTGTGCCTCCTAGTGATAACTTAAATCGCGTTGTAGGATCCCATTTGGTTCGAGAGTCTCAGAGAAACAATAGTGCTTCTTCCTCGGATTCCAGTGATGATGAAGCTGGAGCTATTGAGGGAAATATGTGTGCTTCTGCCACTGGTGTAGTAAGGGTACAGTCGAGAAAGAAAGCAGAGATGTTCTTAGTCCGAACTGATGGAGTGTCCTGTACAAGGGAAAAGGTGACAGAATCCTCTCTAGCCTTCACACATCCAAGTACTCAACAGCAGATGCTTCTTTGGAAAACTACCCCAAAAACTGTCTTACTGCTGAAGAAGCTCGGTCAAGAACTGATGGAGGAAGCTAAAGAGGTAAACTCTTTGCTTTTAAATCTAAAAAATCCTATTTTCTTTGTTTTGCATTAAGGTTGCCTGCAATATAGGATATCCATGAAAAATTGTTGTGCTTACAAATTTGTTTTCAGGCTGCCTCTTTCTTGTATCACCAAGAGAATATGAATGTTCTGGTTGAACCTGAGGTGCATGATGTATTTGCCAGGATTCCAGGGTTTGGCTTTGTCCAGACCTTTTACATTCAGGACACGAGGTACAAAAATAAGTTAAGTGAACATCAGCTCGACCAATCATCAACGGCTCAATTATGATTGACTATGTTTTGTTTTGTTTGAATATTAGCGATCTCCATGAAAGGGTTGATTTTGTGGCATGCTTAGGGGGGGATGGGGTGATATTACATGCATCAAACTTGTTCAAAGGAGCTGTCCCTCCCGTTGTTTCATTTAATCTGGGGTCCCTTGGATTTCTCACTTCACATCCAGTAAGCCTTTTGACATGTTCTATCTCTTAACTATGTCTTAGTATTCTTATTCTTTCTAGTTTCGACTGCATTCTTATTTTTTTTATTTTTATAATTTCATTTGTAGTTTGAGGACTTCAGGCAAGACCTCAAACGAGTCATCCATGGGAATAACACGCTAGATGGGGTTTATATAACTCTTCGAATGCGTCTTCGTTGCGAAATCTATCGTAAAGGCAAAGCAATGCCTGGTAAAGTGTTTGATGTTCTGAACGAGATTGTTGTTGATCGAGGATCCAACCCATACCTTTCTAAGATCGAATGTTATGAGCACGACCGTCTTATCACAAAGGTTTGTATCCAACGAGTTTATTTCCTTACCAGACCATCTTTAAACAAATGAGAACATCTCAGTGCTTGTTGTAAAACTTCTTCTGCATGGATAAAATTTTACTGCTTGTGTGTGTTGACGAATAATGCTATTATAGGTACAAGGTGATGGAGTTATAGTAGCCACTCCTACAGGAAGTACTGCTTATTCTACAGCAGCAGGAGGTTCCATGGTAAGCTATTCAAGAGTTACTTTCAACTCTGCATCGCATACCAAAAGTGAAGCTCATTGGCATCTTTGAACTATCAATGCCGTTCATATGCAAACCTTTTCTATTTGACATATATAAAAATCTGAAAATCGCAGGTGCATCCAAACGTTCCTTGCATGCTGTTCACTCCAATCTGCCCACATTCCCTGTCATTCAGACCAGTTATACTTCCAGATTCTGCAAAACTCGAGTTAAAGGTAAAAGACTTTAACACAACCGCAACTCAGTAACTTTAGGTAAACCTGTAGAGCCACACTCTTTTCCTGTTAAGTAGTAAAAAACCACCCAAGAAGAGGTCTAAGCTTATGAGTGGAGACCACATGATGGTTTCAGTGTTAAGCTGTTTGAAATGCTGACAAATCTTGTTTAAACAAAAACAGATTCCAGATGATGCTCGAAGCAATGCATGGGTTTCGTTTGATGGAAAGAGGAGGCAACAACTTTCAAGGGGAGATTCGGTGAGAATTTACATGAGCCAACATCCACTCCCAACTGTCAACAAATCTGATCAAACTGGTGATTGGTTTAGAAGCTTAATCCGTTGCTTAAACTGGAACGAACGTCTTGATCAAAAGGCTCTTTGATGATTGATTGGTTCATTTATTAAGAAGCATCAACACATACAAAAACATAGGGTCACAGGTCTGTCTGTTTTTAGCCCTCCCTCTTTACTGTACAGATTCATAATCTCTATAATTCAATATAATCTTCTTCACAAGGAAAACCATTACTGGAGAAAATTGTTCATTTTTTCTTCCTTTGTCAAATTTTCACCTAGATAATAAAATGATTAGTGTGTGTGTATACAGTAGATTAGCTTATCTACAATTATAGATAAGGTTGCACTTATAAATTGAATTTAGAGATAATTTATTTCCCGTAATTTTATTTAATCAAATTCATGCATATTCTAAACAGTCGGAGGTTATGTTTAAGTAAAACTTTTCTTATTATGCTTTCGGCATTTTCGCCCAACATTTCAACAAGCAATCATTTATACGCATCAAATTGTGATTTTGACGCATCAAATTGTGATTTTGCAAATAAATACTTCTTATGATAATCAGATTTACATCATAATGATCGACAATAAACAGTTACATATGATTTTAGACTTAAGTTCCCCACACCAAGAAAACAGAGTATGTATCTCAAACCCGGTACGCCACTCCATAACCATTAGGTTCAGTGTTCAGCTTGGTTTTCCAAACTTTGGTCAAGTTACACCGAAATTTCACAAGGGCCAAACTGGTCTGTTGTTTTACCGATGTGAAATTTCGTCTGGTTAAACACCTGCAAGAGTCATACGTAGTGAGCGAAATGAAGAAGTTGTGAAGACATCAACACTGATAGATTGATCATTGTTTTAAACGCCTTATCGGATTACTTTCAATTTAAAAGCATGCAAGATATGTAATCAAACTTGAGCATTAAAGGGCACATTACCTAGTTTTTTAGCATTCAATTCTACACAAATAGTAGAGAATGTAATGTGGTGGTACCTGAGCTTGAAATGATTGAGTCTTATGATATGAATAGTTCTTGGGATTCCATCGGGGATGACCAGTATTGCAAGATTGATTCTACGGTTAGTCTTCTAGTTGCGCTAAGCATTGAGATGAAAAACCGACATCCATCGATTTTATATTCTTCAAGAGGGTTTCTATGCGCAAAACTTCTGACATTCACCTGTTGACATTGAGGTTTAACATGAGTATCATATAGGCTGATAGGCATAAGGCCAGACAAAAAAAAAAACAGATAATAATCACTGTACTTACCGCTGAGCTTAGTTTATTCATGTTCACAAGATGATCTCTCCAGTAGCAATCCAACGTTTTTAAAAGAACTGCTCTCTATTTCCAAGAAAGCAAAATCGATCAGACATTGTAGTTGTCAATCATATGTATACACGCGGAGACAAAAACAAACATGTACCTCTATTTCTTTTATGTATCCATCATCAAAGCCAGATTCTTGAACAACATTTAAGTATGAAGCAATTAGGTAATCACCGAGGAACTTCCGGAGAAGATTAATTGATGTTCGGTACCTCCCACTCCTACAGATGATATCCTTAAAGAGTAAAGCTCAAGGTCTTCCTCAATGGGACGCACGTCCACTCAACATATACAAAGATTCTATTAACTTTAGTACTCACCCCGTCAAATTATCTGAGCAGATATCGAGCCAACGTCTTAGTGAAGAATTCTTTCTGCGGATTCCCCTGAAAGCGTTAGGAGGTTTTGGCAGGTGCGGAAGGTACAAGTCTTCCATATCTATTGAACTCCTCTCATGCAGGTTTTCAAGGGACTGTAACATGGTTTCTTCTGTGATCCCGGAAAATGACTCTGACAGTGCTTGTTGGTAGATTTCATGTGAGACGAGAGGTGTTGTGTTCTCACGAAGCAAGATACTGTTATGCTCATAAATAGAAAACAAATAAACAAACTTACCATCCAGTAGGTTTCCCGAAATAGCCATAAACTCTTTCAATAGCTTGGCCAAGCTCCAGTATCTTGGATGCTACAACAAGAAATAAGATATTAGAAAATGAACATAACAGCAAAAACTGACAATAAAAAAATTTAGAGAAAGGATAATCGTGATGACCTATTTGACAGATTTATTTACCTTCTGTGGATTAGCATTTCCAACGACGATTTCATCTACAACAGCTTGCATGTACCTAATAAATAAATGTGCTTTAAATGAGTGACATTTCATACTCGATAGTCAGCGGTTGAAGTACCATTTGTTTTTTCACATGGACGTAACAAAGGCTACTACAAGCGTAGAACTTACTGGAATATATGCTGAGAGCAACTTTCGTTTTCACCCGTCAAAAGCAGTTGCCTTAGGTCATAGACATGCTTCCTTTGAACCTAAAGAAGAAAAAAAAGAAAATGGTTGATTCAGTAGTCCAAACTTAACTTGAATTAGTCATAATGGTGTATCCCAAAAACATTATAAACTTCTATATAGACTATGCCATACATATATTATGAGCTACAAATAATACAAACTTAAATTAGTCGCCCTATAGCATCGTTTGGGAGACGATACCTGTTCAAGTAGTATACTAGGATTAGAAAAGACGAATAAGTGTGCTACAAAGTAAATAGAAAACAGCAGTAGTCTTTCAAACTTATAATCATGATAATAGATACATATTTCCATATGGTCGAGATGCAAATCCAGTAAAAGTAGTTGGCAAAGCTGGTACCTCTAGCACTTCGTCAAACTCGACCAGGCTTTTTCTTATTCCAAAGAAGTATTTCTCTGCGTTGATCTGGAGAGCTAGAAGCTACAAAGCCCAGTGAGATAAACCAGATAATCAGAGATAAGCCATTTTTTGAAGAAAAAGCAATGATGGAACCACAAAGAAATTAAAACAATGAACTACTTACCTGTTTTACTATTGTGTCACCTTCAATTGGTAAGTCTTCATCGTTTGTAATCTTTGATATAAGTCTCACAGCCCACTCAGTGTCAAAATTAAACTTCTGAAACATCTCATCTTGCAAGCTGTAAGCAAACCAACGGTAATATAAATCATGTTGCAGAGCAAAGGCTGGTATTCTTCCCTAACATATTCAGATTGGTGCAAAGTTAATATATCAAAGCAGTAAAGAATCTTTTACGTAAGTAACTTCACTAATACAGAGGGTTTTTCTGGTTCAGGAGAATAATAGATGTGATTACCTTATCATAAACCGCGTGGATCCAGGATCTCCTTGCCTTCCAGCTCTGCCACGAAGCTATAAGAAATAGTAATATGGAGGCAGAAACTTAGATAATTATCTATCTAGTCATTTGATTCCATCAAACAGGATAAAACGATAATATTGTATTCATAATTTGTGAAAACAAATTAGCATATTATCCTCGGGGGAAAAAATGAATGGTTATGTAGTTCTCTGTTCATCATACTACCATTCTAGATAGTAGAAACATAATTTTAAAGGTACGCAAGTCAAAATAATACTGGAAATTAAAGGTTTGGGGAAAGGGTTTGCTTAAGTATCAAAGAAATAGCACATTTGATTCAAAAAAAAGCAGCATCCAGGCAGAGCAGTAAAACCAGTAGCTTACCTGGTTATCAATCCTCCGAGACTCATGCAAAGAAGTCCCAATCACATGAAGGCCTCCAAGCCTCTTCACTTCAGATCCTTCATGCAGACAATGGGCCTCACAGTCCTTTAAGACGGACAGATAAGCCAGAGCAATAGCAGGGCCTAATGGGTACATTTCTGACTGCTCATTGACAAGATTCTGCAGTTTCATAGGATCCATGGTCTGGCTTTTCTCCAAAGATTCTGTGACCACGGACTTTGCTTTTTTCCTTGTCCAGCTCTTACTTTCACTTTTGCCAACATATTTTGCTGAGTCAATTAAATCCAACGAAGATATCAACTAAACTAAACATCAAACATGATGCCTAGCATATGTGCACAAGGTCCTAAAAAATGAGTGTTGAAAGTTGAGAGACAAACCCATAAGAGAAGCTCTGGCTAGCGAAGCTAAGGACGATGGTCCCACTTTTATTTTTGACAACACCTGAGATGATTCACAGGACAGTTCAATTATGCTACAATAGGATAAATGATCTTCTGACCTTTATCCTTAACAATTCCTATGTAAAGAACTCATAATATGAATTCTCTTGCAAGTAATACCTTCTGTGATAACTCATTGTCGTCAATATTATCAGCCAAAACTTCACTCGTTAGATATGAAAGGATGCTATCTTCTATGATTTCCCTTGCAAGCATCTGAAAGATTACAGCCACAAACATAGCAGGATAATGTTATGGAGGAACTCAATGTACAGATCACAAGCAAAGAAAATAATACACAGCTAGATGCTATACATCAAGGAGACAATCAACTGCAGGTCAGACAAACATCTGGTAAAAGATATAAACGTTAGCCAATATACCTTCGGATTTCCTCCCAGAATAATGTCAGTACCCCTACCAGCCATATTTGTAGAAATGGTGATGGCATATTTTCTTCCTGCTTGGGCTATAAAATCAGCTTCCCTGGCAGCATACTGAATGAAGGAAAACACATATTATTAAAACTAGCTGACATCATTTGAATGCTATGTTTCTTTTAGTATGCAGAGGGACAAGTTTCAGATCCACCTTGGGTCGTGCATTCAGGACATTGTGAGGTATACCCCATTCTTTCAGCAGTTCTGATAAATATTCAGAATTCTCTACACTGAAAAATGACGCTAATTTGTTAATAGTGGAGAAATAATGTATTTTAAAAATAGAAATAAGTCTTCCTATATAGTCCTCCTTGGTTCATTATTAGTTCATCCAACATAAACCTCAGTCAATAAAAAAGTTCTACATGTGTATATGTCAATGTTTCAAGAATATCCAAGAAAAGCTTTTAACTGACATCAAAACATTGCGGTATATTTTGAAATCCTGAATAATTGCCAAAGTCTATGTATGAAAATGTGGTTTAATCACATGGGGCTACCTTGTTGTTCCTACTAAAACAGGTCGACCTTGTCCAAACATATCTTCAACTTCTCGACGAACATGTTCCCATTTACCCCGAGCAGTCTAGCATACATCATACCAGAGGGATCAACGAGAAGGCACACTTAGTTTAAATTTTAGCAATGAGACAAAAGATGCAAACAGAAATATGTGTGTTTTAGGAAGCTTACAGCGAAAGCTTGTATTGGTAGATCGATTCGAATATTTGACAAATTTGTAGGAACTTCAATAACAGGTATCTGAAACATTTTCAAAAATTCTTTTTCCTGCAAGAAGGTGAATAAACACGCTCGTCTCAAACTGCCTTGGGTAATCAAGAAGATGATATGTTTGAAACAGATTAGAAGGTGGGTTAAAGTGTATCCCCATGTACATACTTCTGTTTTGGCTGTCCCAGTCATCCCGGAGAGCTTTGGGTAGAGTTTAAAGAGTGATTGATAGGTGATTTGAGCCACAACAATTGAATCAGCCTAAGATCAAAGAGTTACTGTCATCAGCTTGAAGTTTTTTGAACCATAGCTTTACATTATAACTTATGAGTCCGGGTGACAGACCTGAATTTCTAGACCTTCTTTAGCCTCCACAGCCTGATGAACTCCTTCAGACCATCTCCTTTTGTCTTCAACTCTTCCAGTCAACTGAAAATATTTTAAACCCTTTATTTACTCAAATCCTCATACTTTTAGAATAAAATAAGATACAAATAAAACTACATTAAATACTTGCTTCCTCACGTCAATTTATGAAATGAATACAACTGAAGCCAGGTATACTTATACCTCATTGATTATAAGTGCTTTCCCATCTCTCACAATATATTGGACATCCCGCTTGTAAAATTCTTTAGCTTTTAAAGCATTCATAACAAACCTACAATAGTCAAGATTTTCAATCAACAGGGATAACAAAAAACTGCACAGAAACTTTTCACCAAATTTGAGGAAAAACTATTTCGAAACAGGAAAAAGATTACTAACTAAAAGAACATGATAGGATTATGAATATGAAAACAGATCAGGAAGCAGACTGCAATCTATGTAACACATAAAAATCGGATGCCCCAATATTCAGGAGTAGGCTGTCTCCTAAGACTTTCACAATTATTTGATGTAAGAACATGATACCCTACTGATGCCACTATTCTTTATTCAACCATACGCTTTTTTATCAGCAACCTGTACAGCATTTTTACCACATATCTTCACCAATAACTGCCAAACATATGCCATTATTTTGTAACCATGACCACTATATCTAAAAAAAATCACCATATAAAAGTATTTCTACTAAAAACCAACCACTAAAGTCTTACGTCATAATATAGATGCATCAAGTATATCAGTAATAGTAACACGTAGATACCTTGCCCATGGATCATTTTCATCCCATAAATCACTCGTCTCAAGAGCCATTTCAGCAAGAGATATGCCTTCTTCTGTGAGTTCCACTGAGTTTTCTTTCAGTTCAACTTTGTAATGCTATTAACAAGATTTTCAAATATCATTTTAGAATAGTCAGTTCCTAATCCTAACAAAAAAATCTCACAGTAAAACAACAGACAGAGGAAAAGATAAAACTCACACTATCCTTTACGAGAAGTTCAGCCACTTTAGCAGCAACTGGATATCGTGCGGCATTTTCGTTAGCCTGTGAAATAAGTACAACAGAAAGAACTTCATCAATCGGTGACATTGAGTCCCAAAGTTATCGTTTTTTTTCTCTGCTGCATCTACCATTCTTAACCTTTTTCAAACTATAATCCAAATGTCTGAATTTCCGAAGAATAATAACTTTCTAAGCTTATCGAAAAACTGCATTACCTCACCACTTATTAGCAAAGGATTTCTGCCTTCATCAATGAGGACTGAATCCACTTCATCAACTATTGCAAAGTGAAATGGTTTTGGCCTGTACGTCATAAACTGTCACTATTGAACCACACTAAGGAATGTTAAGATTTATGGGATCTACCATCTCATAACAAGTTGTTCACGGTTTGAAGTAAGGTTATCTCGTAGATAATCAAATCCAAGCTCCTGAGGTATACAAAAAGTGTTGGTTAGAGATAACAGATGGAAAAGGAAATTTATCTACGTAGAAGAATTGATATGAATGATATACTTACCGAGTTATTGGTGTATGTTATATCACAACTATAGTTGAATTTTCTCTCTTCAGCTTTCATCCCTCTCTAATTATTGAACCAGTTTCAAAAGAAAATGTCATTAATTTTTCTGCTTGAAAATCTATAAGGTGAGATGGAAATAGCACCCATCTTACCTACCTGAATGAGACCAACTGAAAGGCCTAAGAAGCGGTGAACACGACCCATCCATTCAGCATCACGCTGGGCCAGGTAATCATTCACGGTAACGACTGCCAATAGAAAATCAATACCAATAGTCTTAGCTAGACGTTAAATAATACATTTTTCATAAGTATATCATTGTCAATCAATATTGTGGGAAAATTGCCCATACATCTCACCGGCATTCCTCAAAATACCAGCAATTATCAAGTCGTAAAATGGTCAGAGAGAGCAGACAACATACCATGAACGCCCTCACCAGTTAATGCATTAAGATATGCAGCTAAGGTGGAGACTAGTGTCTTCCCTTCACCTGTCTTCATCTCCGCAATGGATCCATCATGAAGCACTCCTCCACCAATTATCTGATGCAACAAATGAAAACATAAGTATAATTAACAACCTCTCTTCAAGATTATAGAAATGCACCCAAGAAATAGCATGGACTAAAATTTGAGAGTATAGATATAGACAGACCTGCACGTCAAAATGACGCATTCCAATTGTTCTCTTAGCAGCTTCACGGACAACAGCAAATGCCTCTAGACAGGGAAAACACACACACACGCACAAAGTGAGAAAGTAAGTGCATAGATTAACAAAACAAAGTACATTTTTAAAATAAAAGTAAAATAAATTTCAAGTAAGATTTTGATCAAACCAGCTTGCATATCTGCTAGGGACTCCCCTCGTGCTAATCTTTCTCGAAATTCTGCAGTTTTAGCTTTCAGCTAAAGAGGAAAACAAACCAAAGTCAAAATACATTAAAATATCATATCAATAAATAAAACGAATCAAGCAGTGAACACTAAGTTGAACCTGCTCATCGGAAAGGCTTTGCATCTGTGGTTCAAGGGAATTGACGGATTCCACAAGACGATAGTAGTCCCGCACAACCCAATAATTCATGCTCGTAAAATCCTGTATATTCCTCTTTAAACGACCCAAATTCCCCTAAACAAGAAAATTTCATGAGAGAAAAGAAACAGCTAACAAATACAGACGAGACAAATGATCGAACAGTTGGTGTGCGACAAGTAGTGACGGAGTTATCGCATTACATTACTAAGAGAGTAGACGCATATCATACCGTTAGGGAAGCAGAAACGACACAGCTTCTTCGAACAAGGTGACACCTCTGAATCGGCGTGACGGACCGAGAGAACAAAACACCAGGTATGGGTTTTGTCCATGAGAACTTATTACTTTGAGATATGAGGCAAGGCGGAGCTAGGTGGCATGTATTAGGGCTCACAAGATTAGAAACAGAACCCATTTCACAATTATAGTCTCACTTTCTCGTTGTTGTGGTCAAGTATCCATGAATTTCACAAAAATTGCTCTAGTGTCTCGCTCATTTCTCACTCAAAATGTTTTGTTTTGCCTCTCTTTCTCTTATACAGGTCGGTGGCGCTAAATTACTGATTAGACCCAATATAAAGGATTATCTTTTTATTCATATTTCACTTTAAGTCCCTGAACATTTTAATTCTTCGCAATATGTCATTACAACTTAAGAATTTATCTCTTCTTGTATTGATTTGATCTCAAGTCAACGTACAGTATAAACAAAGTTCTAAGAGAAATAAGAAAGATGCAAATCACGTATATATAAAGTTATAAACAGATTACAGATTGGTACGAAATAATCAAATACACATATACATCTACGGAAGAAACTAACTTATGGAAGAAAGAATCTTCAGGAACAAGATGACCACACTCTAGTTTTTGTTAGAGTCCACAATAGTATACCTGTATAAAATGGAGACAAAACTTCTCTTGTCACAGACCATTTTTAACAACAGAGGTAAGTCATGAATGCAAAGAAAAAGACAGACAATTTGGACTATTATCACCTTAATGGTTTTATCTGCAAACCCTGCAAAGAGCTTGCCTTCCCAATATAACAAAGATGTAATTACCGATGAACCCGGGATTGAACCTACGTGAGTACAGTCTACTGATATCTCATCTCCTGACAATTCCTACAAACCGGTGTGTTCGGAAACAGATGTTAGGGGGAAAAAATCTAGCATCAGATAGTGGGTCAAGTGTTGATTTTTTGTTTCCTTTTTTTAAAATATGTGGATGATTATTCGTCATTAGCTTGGGTCTACAAACTAGTGGATTACCTGTACATTGATAGTTTTGTCCCAACCTCCAGTGAATAGCCATTTACCATTCACGGCAATGCTGAGGATTGCCCCACTCTGTATTTGCATTGACTTCATCAATGTATCATCCCTCCATATCTGGAAAAGGAATCAGAAGAGTTCAGGTTAAGAGACTGACAATAAGATTTAAATGAAGCACATCAAGTAAAATGTTTTTAAGAAAACATATAAACCTGTATATCTCCGTTTTGATAAGCAGCCACTAGGGTTTGATCGTCTGCAGCTAGTGACAGAATAGATCTTACAATACCTGGAGTCTCTTCACCCAACACTGTCAACAAACTGTGGTCACTTAGACTCCACAAACGAACTGTACCATCCCAACTTCCACTGTACAGTACTCCATTTACCACAACAAGCGTTGAGACTACAGATTTATGACCACTCATAGTGCCAACCAGGCTTCCATCCTGGGGAAATAATCACCATCAAATAATATGAAAAATATCTTATCAGAACAAGCTTTACAGGTGTAAAGGAACATTATCTTACTTGCAGTGACCAAGCTTTGATAGTGTTATCTCCACTGCCAGTGTACACATGCCCATATTGTGAGTATGCCAATGCATGAATGCCAGTATATCGCCAGTCTTTTGGCTCGTACCACTTTCTTAGTGGCTGTTCTTTCAGAGGGAAAGTAGTGCTCCAGACAAAGATACCTCCTCCACCGTCGCCACTGACACATACTGATTCTGTTCCCTCGATGTGTATCAAGGCCATTACTTTATCCTGATGACCTTTAAATGTATGCACATGGGAGAAGTCCTGCATATAAAATGTTTTGCATGACGATTTATATAGCTTGAATTAAGGACCTTACTTCATACAACTATCAGAGAGCTGCTGAGAAGAACATGAGCAAAAATCTTTAAAGGACTTATCACTAACTTTATATATAGAACCATTATTTCATATGTACCTTCAGAGACCATATATGGATAGTTCTATCATATGAGGAGCTGAAGAGAAACCCACCTATAGAGAGAAAAGGAAGATATAAAGATGCGTCGTTTAAATAATACTCTTGAAATTCAGTACCTTTTTTTATTATTTATATAACATACATTATTATAAAATTTGTACAGTTTATAAAAAAAGTACAAAATATATAAAGAAGGTGTACCTCCAACCGCTAAACCTGTGACAGAGTCTTGGTGTCCCCGCATGTCTTTAGATTTCACCTTTCCTTCTGAGAGTCTCCTAGCAAAATCTATGTCAACCTTACCCTCCTCTGCTTCTTCGCCAGTTTTCATTCCAGGCAACTCTTCGCCCAGTTCTTTGGATTCCACTTCTACCAGACGACATAATTCACTTCGAGCCAAACAGAACTCTTTCCTTTTCCCAGAAATCGTCTTATGCAATCCAGTCATAGAATTGAACCTAGGTTTCACCACCAGCTCCCTGATGCATTTCCATAGATCAGTCAAAACAGGACGTGCCTGAGGATCAAGACGGCAACATTGGCGAAGAATTTCAACCATCGTTTTAAACTTCCCTTGGAGTTCAGATTCCAAACTTAGTTTCTCCGTAATACCTGTGTATAGCACCAAGAGATCCTCAATACCCTCTTCACACCCTTTTGCATCCACACAATTTACACTTTCAATAAGCTCCTCCATAAACCGTTCTCCAAGACGAAGCTTGAGGACAAGAAAACAAACTGGCCAAACATCAGAGTTATATGAAACCAAAGATTTTGAGCCGGAATCTTTTATCAACATATTCTGTTCTTTCAACAATTCAAACAACACCTCTGAGCTCAAAAAAATCCCCTTTTGTAGTAATCTAACCAAAATCAAACCCATTTCCGAAGCACCAACTGGTTTGCTAAAAGAGCTAGTTTCTTCAGCGATTATTCGATACACATTCCTTCCAGTTTCAATCAACTCAATCAAATCAACATAAGCATTCTCAAATTCGTCAAACTTCACACAAGAAACACTCAAACAGCCTGTGATCAACCCTTCCTTATGCAAATTGAGTAGTGCCTCACATATTTGCATACCAATTATCGCTACACGTGAAGTATCATCTTCAGTGAGGCTATCAAACTCCAACAAAAACCCAGTAAGCTTTTCACCCACTAAATACAAAACACCATTCTTCAAATCACCCCACAAGCCAAAAACTTTAGAAACACCTCTCAGTTTAACAGAGATGATCGCATCAAGCTCATCTATTTCCTCCTCTCTCATCCCCCACAGACAACTCATCATCCTCAGGACATAACTATACTTGAGAACAGAATCACAATCATCATGCTCAAACGAAGCAACCCGTAAAAGACTCACCTTCAAATCATCCCTCAGACTTCCGCATAAAAGCGAAGCTGAAGCAAAATCACTACTTTCACTCTCCCTAATTTCCACGGAAACGGCGTCGTGCACTAGGATCCGATCCTTCCAAGTGGCGTAAAAGTCGTCGGACCATGATCGAATGACAAATTCAACGGCTTTTTTAAAATTCCGACCAGGTTCCAGCTTAATCTTCGAAATAGAAGGGAACAATCTGAGAAGATCGATGTTTTTGGGGAGAGCTGATGGTCCTTGAGGAGGAAACTTGACGAGAACGGTGCAAGCAGGACATCGGATTGTGTCCGGAAACTTCTTGGGTAGATTCGTTAAGCATTCTTCGCACGCCGTGTGTCCGCAGGCGAGTACACGCGGGACTGTAGACTCGCCGTCGAAAGACTGTAGACACACCGGGCACTCCGGTGCCTCCATCACCTCCGATGATTCGATGCGACGAATAACTGAGTTAATACGACGACGTTTTAGACATTTAACTAAAACAACGTTTAGTCCTGAGGGTAGTTCTTTATATACGCGAAAAATGCAATTAATTGTTGATTTGTTTCTAATGCAACAAAACTCATAAACAAGCACATACAATAATGCAACACCAGCGTTAGTTGCATTAGAAACAAATAATTGCATTCTAAGAGTTTTGTTTCTTGAAAGAATCAACAAGAAACCTAGAGATAAGACAATGCAGATGACTTGTAATTGGATGCGTTTTGTTTTTTGAAAGAATCAACAGACTTCAATTACTTGTGTAGTTTTGCTACTTGCAATGGTTGGTTAGTTTAGCTTATGAAGTTTGGCTTTGAAAGGCGAGGTCGTACCTTTCTTAAAAATAATCTCCAATGATCAAATACAAAAAAATAAAATAATAAGTAAGGTATTTGAGTCCAGAAACATTATGAAAAATGGAAAATTGTAGAATATAAAGAGAATGTTTGTGTGTGTTATTCATTGACGGCTTTACAACGTTTATATACATATCGTAAACCCTAAATAAGATTTGCTCGACAAGTAAGCCCAATAAGACATAAGACGAAGCCCATTACGGCCCAATACTCCCCCTCAAGTTGGAGCGCCGAGAGTAACGATGCCCAACTTGGACATTAAAATACTAAACTGCTGAAAACCAAGAGCCTTCGTCAAGATATCGGCCAGCTGGTCCTCAGAACGCACATGAGCCGTGGAAATGACACCGTCTTGAATGGCATCTCTAACGAAGTGACAATCCCGTTCTATGTGTTTTGTCCTTTCATGGAAGACGGGATTGGCTGCGATGTGAAGCGCTGCTTTATTGTCACAAAATAACCGCGTCGGAGCTTGTTGGGGAAAACCAAGATCATGAAGAAGCTGACGCAACCAAATGATTTCTTTCAAAGCATCGGCCATGGAGCGATATTCAGCCTCTGCGGAGGATCGAGAGACAGCCTTTTGCTTCTGAGTTTTCCATGAAATAGGACAGCCTCCAAGAAACATAAAATACGCACTTAAAGAACGACGTGTCAACGGACATGTTCCCCAATCAGCATCACAATACGCTGTAAGTGTAAGCTCCATATCCGAACGCATAAAAATACCTTGGCCAACCGAACCCTTCAAATACCGTACGACTTGCAACGCAGCATCCCAATGTGCCTCGCGTGGAGCTTGCATAAACTGTGACAAAATGTGTATCGGATAGGTGAGCTCGGGTCGAGTTACCTTAAGATAAATAAGACGGCCAACAAGCCTTCGATAACGAGCAGGTTCCGAGAGAAGAGGACTTGTGTCAATGGCGAGTTGATGATTCTGAACCATAGGAATCTTAGACGGTCTTGCTCCTTGGAGGCCGGTTTCGGCTACAATATCAAGTGAATATTTCCGTTGAGACAAGAAGATACCTTCCGCATTACGGGCTACCTCAATACCCAGAAAATATTTAAGCTTGCCAAGATCCTTCATGTGAAAACACCGGCCCAAGTACTCTTTAAACTCGGTTAAAAACGAGAGATCATTGCTACAAATAATCAGATCATCAACGTAGACAAGAACCCGCAACTCAATATCTCCGCGTGTTAATGTGAATAATGAGTAGTCGGAATACGACTCTACAAACCCATACTCCAACAACGCCTGCGAGAGCTTGGCAAACCAGCACCGTGGTGCCTGACGAAGCCCATACAAGGATTTATGTAAGCGACAAACCTTATTTGGATGCGTATGTCGAAATCCCATAGGCAACTGCATATAAACTTCTTCTTCAAGATCACCATGAAGAAACGCGTTGTGTACATCCATTTGATGGACTTTCCATCCTTTAGATGAAATAATTTGCATTAAACCACGAACCGTAGACATTTTAGCAACCGGGGCAAATGTCTCCTCAAAATCTCGGCCTTCTACTTGTCGATTCCCGAGAACAACAAGTCTAGCCTTATACCGTTCAACCGTTCCATCCGCATTATATTTGATCTTATACACCCATTTATTTCCAAGAGCTGTTTTCCCCGGTGGTAAATCAGTAATGCTCCAAGTCTTATTAATTTCAAGAGCGTCAACCTCATCTGTCATAGCTCCATTCCAAATATCCTCTTTCGCAGCATCTTTGAAACAAGTAGGTTCTACTCCTGTAGTCACGGCTGCGAGAAACGCACGATGTGGAGGAGAGAACAAATCATCAGAAATGTAATGCGTGAGAGGATAACGTGTATTACCTGGACCCGTTGACAAGGACTCAAGAGTGATGGAAGCGGGAGTAGCGTGATGGGTATCATCAGCAACACAAGCAGTATAAGTAACATATCCTGTAAGACGAGTGGATGGAATTTTCACTCTTTTCCCTTTGCCTAATTCTTCAGCTTCTTCTAGAACCGGTGACGATGTAGACACTGGCTCCAACGAGCCCGTCTTATTTGAGAGATCTATACTAACATCAACCGAAGTAGTATCAATAGCACCCGTGTTTGTAGTAGGGAGAGACTCACTGTTAGTTCCAATGACCATGGTAGTGTCATTAGGCGTGTTAACGGCAAAAGAATCATCACTTGGCGGAAGCATAGAAGGTGAAACAGAGTGCGTATGAGTATCATCCAAAGAAACCTCAGCCGTGTCTTGTGTCTCCGGAGAAGAGAATTCAAAACTGCTTGAGCTACTCCTCCTATCGACAATAACCGGTTCTAAATCCCAATCTTCATCGCCTGCAATATCGGGTTCCGGTATTGGCGGGGCTGTGTCATCACGTGTTAGATATGGGAATATATTCTCGTGAAAAACAACATCACGAGAGATCAAAAACTCCTTTGTCTCAAGGTCGTATACACGCCAGCCTTTCTTTCCAAAGGGGTAACCAACAAACACACAATGTCGACTTCGTGGGCCAAACTTGTCCTTGTCTCGAGCTCTCAAATGCGTGTAACAAGAAGAACCAAACACTCGCATTTGATCATAATCTGGTTTATTACCAAGTAAGACTTCATAAGGGGAACGCCCATGATGCAGCTTCGAAGGAGTGCGATTAATAACATAAGCGGCGGTAAGTATAGCTTCGCCCCAAAAAAAAATTGGCAAACCAGCTTGAAACATCAAAGAACGAGCAACATTGAGAATGTGGCGATGCTTACGTTCAACTCGTCCATTCTGTTGCGGTGTACCAACGCAAGAGGTTTGATGTAGAATACCCTTGCTTGAAAAGAATTTCGCTAAACACATAAACTCTGTACCGTTGTCACTCCGTACCGCCTTAACTCTTTTGTCGAATTGACGTTCAGAGTAAGCACAAAAATTTTCCAAGACTGTTCGAACTTCAGACTTTTCAAGAAGAAGATGCGTCCAAACGGACCGTGAAAAATCGTCAACAATCGTCAAAAAATAAACTGCTCCACACGATGATGCAACACGGTATGGTCCCCAAACATCAACATGAATTAATTCAAAACACTCATTAGTTTTATTATTACTATCATAAAAAACATCTCTTGTTTGCTTAGCCCGAAAACAAACGTCACAAGGACTAGGACTAGCAGAGTTCGAAACACCAGAAAAAACGGGTAAAGAAGAAAGCACTGAAAACGCAGGATGTCCCAACCGCTGATGCCACAAGGCTCGATCAATAGAAGCTGCCACTCTAGTCACATTAGCTGTCGCTACATCCGTTAAATAGTAGACCCCATCACGCTCTTTCCCGGCTCCAATCAGAGTCCTCGTAGAACGGTCCTGTAAAACACAAAGAGTATCGGTAAATAACGCAAAACAATTCTTCATTTGCTTGAGAATCTTTGAAACCGATATTAAAGAGCAATTCAGATTAGGCACATAAAGAACATCCAACAGAGATACACGATCCGTGAGATGTAGAGTGCCTTTCTGTTTTGAAAACGTGATACTACCATCTGCAAACCCAACCGAGCAAGACGGTGTATCTACCATATCCGTGAGAAGAGAAATATTCCCAGTCATGTGATGGGAGGCGCCTGTATCAATAATCACATCACCAAAAATCTTACCAGAAAGCTTATCAGGATTGCTTTTCAATTTCTCATTAGCCACCAAAGAAATAGCTTTCCACTACTCCGGAGAAAAATCTGAGAAGGCGGCGTTGGGAAGCGTAGTGTGAGCCGCAACTGCTTGACCGTGACCTCTACCAGTTCCTCTACCACGACCCCGACCAGCAGCTCCTCCTCTACCACCCGAGCGATTGTTGCGGTCTGACATCCACTCCGGGTATCCAATCAACTGCCAGCAAAACGCCTTCTCATGGCCTGTGCGACCGCAATTGGAACAGAGTAGGCTTCGTTCCCGACCCGAAGACTCAAGACGTTGGTCCCCAGCGGACGAGCCTGAGGAAAAAGAGTCACGACGAGCCACAAAACCAACTGCATCCTGTTGTTGTTCGCGAGCCTTAGCGACAAAATTCCTCTGTTCTTCACGGATGACACGAGAGTAAGCTTCTTCCAAAGAAGGAGTAGGAGATGCATCGGTAATAGCATGAATCACATTCGCAAAGCGGGATTCATCAAGTCCCATGACAAATTGATTGACTTTTTCTTCTTCTCTCTCCTTTGCAATCGTTTGGTAAACTTCACACGTACAGCCACCACACGAACAAACGGGAAGAGGTTTGTATGTGTATAACTCATCCCATAGCTTTGCAATCTTTCCGTAATAATCAATTACGGTTTGACCATCTTGGCGACATAGAGCAATCTGAGACCGGAGGTGACTAACGCGAACCTTATTGCCAATAGAAAACCGTTGCCTTAAATTTTCCCAAAGCTCAAGAGCATTGGTTAGAAACGAAACAGTGGATCGTACACGAGGAGTGATCGATGTACGTAACCATCCAATAACCATGGAGTTCACCGAAGTCCATGATTCCAAATCGGGACCAGCAACCGCCGGTTTCTTCAAAGTACCATCAATAAAACCAATCTTCTTCTTCGCACGAAGAGCATTCAGCATCTCGGCAGCCCATTCATTATAATTCTCGCCGGTCAACACAACCGCCGAAATCATAGCTCCTGGATTGTCAGCTGAAAACAGAGAGTACGGAGTAATAACGCTCATGCTTTCTCCTCCACTTGTTGAAGTGGAAGTCCCAGTGGAGAGTGCTCCTGACGTTGAGCTGATGAGAGATCCGTCGGTGGTCATGGCTTCCAACGATTAAAAAAAAAAAAAAAAAAAAACAGAGGAGAAAACAAAAAATAAAACGAAAACAGATTCAACTGAATCAAAGAACAAATCTCGTTTAGAGATGAAAGCAGAGAAACAAGAACAAGAACAAAGATCAATTGATCAAAACTGGTTCAGGATTTTACTCTCTGATACCATGTAGAATATAAAGAGAATGTTTGTGTGTGTTATTCATTGACGGCTTTACAACGTTTATATACATATCGTAAACCCTAAATAAGATTTGCTCGACAAGTAAGCCCAATAAGACATAAGACGAAGCCCATTACGGCCCAATAAAAATCGACTTTATGAAAAACTCAACTCTTAAAAAGCCAAAGAATGAGGGCTAGTTTCACCTAAGAACTAGCTCATCTAATTTTCACATGGTAACTCGAAACGGCATAATGGACAAACATGATTTGTGGCAAACCACTCGAGGATACAGCTATTGTCAAACTCGTGTCCACAGGGTAAAGTCACGATTCTTTCTCCCATTTTAAACTCAGTAAAACATATTGTGCATATGTCGGAACAGGACGTCGTCGCCTTCTCGTATACTTTCCTTGACAAAGACTCAATCGCAAACTTACTTTCCGGTCTAAATCGGATGGTACTCTCATCAAATGGGACTTGCATATCCTCTTCGAATATCGTCGTCTCTTCTAATGATCGTCTATTCCGGAAATACTCTTCAATCGTAGGAGGAGGACTGAACTTAAAGGTAATATAAAATAACAAAGCACAATCTGGTGAATTACTAACCGAGAAAAACATGACATCAATGACACGTGTAGTGAGTTCCATCCTTGCAGAATCAACCTGAAAGAGATTGAGATGTTCATCGTCCTCTAAGCAATCTAGTTGTTCCCATTGATACCTTGTGAAGCTATCCCAAAATTCTTTGGCAGGCAAGGAGAATTCGAGTACTGTCCGACAATCTCTTATAGGATCTTCCGACATTAGGATACTTGCATAGACTTTGATTTTTCCCGTGTCTTCAGGCTTAGGATTGTAGTCGATTTCATGGTCGAGGGATACTTTATCAGCAAAAAATTCCATTACTAAGAATACGAGATGTGCTTTTAGGGTTTCTTCTCCTTGTTAAAAACTTTTGTCTTCTGTTTATGCATTCTTTTTAGTAGAGGCATAAGACTCTTGTAGGTACGGCTTGGTTCTAGGTTAGAATGGGATTTGAGATTTTTTTTTTAATAACTGTTTTTATTTTGTTTCCTTTTTGTTAAGCAAATTAGAAAATACAGTGAAATGATATATATTTTCCATTATTTGTTTGCAAATTATATCATTTCACTGTTGAAACAAATAATTGCCAATGATGTTCAATCTAGGTTTGGGATTTTAGTAGCAATAATATTAACCGCCCCCTTAATTAGCCATTAAAGTAGTAAGCAAACTTTTACTTTCTAATTTATTTTTCGTATACATGCATGCAGTTAAAAAATTCAGTTATTTAAAAAGGTGAAAACTATTGTTCACACGAAGAATTGAACATAATTTGTACTTCTTTTGTTTTTCTCATAGCAAATGGAATTTTTAATTTCATTAAACCAAATGACGAAAAAAAAATCATTAAACCAATATTGAACCAAATATATAAGGGGAATTTTCAAAAGCAATATAGAGTATAGTATTGAAGATAATTTCTGAAAGAATAGAAACAATATCTTTTAAAACTAATTGAGGCCCAATTACGTAATGAAGAAAACAAAGCCCACATAAACAAACGGTATTCTCTCGCTGTCGTTTTATTTTATTAACTCGAGGTTCGAGCCCATAACAAACTCACCCCTCTTTGCTCAAGAAAAAAGAAAAAACAAATTCACTCCTCTCTCCCGCCTTAAACCTCAAGAACAACACTTCTCTCTCGCGTCTCTACTCTGCAATCTTCAACACAATTTGCGAAAATGCAGGTATTTTAGGCTAATCGATTACTCATCTAATGCTTGAAGTTGAATCTGGTAAAGAATCGTAGTTTTATATCATGATTCTTCAAGTACTAGCGATTTTGATTTGCAAGAATCGGAATCTTCGGAGTAAATGTCTAGTTAGGAGTAAAATCATGTTCATTCAAATTTGCACATTTATGTTTTAAAGTTGTGTAACATTTCTTTTGGAACTTTTAATTGTCTCAACGTTTCAAAAGTACCCATTATACGCTTCATATTGTGAATTTGCAAATAAACTAATAATAAGAAACTAATAATATCCAAATTGGGCAGGTTGGAAAAATAAAAATTACATCACAAAAGCTTAAAGAAAAAAAAATAACTTCCATAATTAAAACGAATTAGTTTTAATTAGTGTAGTGGAATAATTTTCAATAATTAGAAGGATATATAAAGGTAAGAAAAGAAAAGGAAGGTGGGAATTTTAAAAGGGAAAGACACCTGTCTCTCTGACCCACCATCATTCATTTTTGTGGCTACTCAGAGATTAATCTTTCGTCGTCGTCTCCACACCGTCGGTGCCCTCACGGATCAATTTCTAAGAGAGACGATTTGTTTTTTTTTCCTAGATTCTCGTCAAATTCTCCCTCCTCCGATTTCTCCTTTTCCCTATTCAAAATTTCCCAAGTTTTACGTGAGATCCGTGATTTTTTTTCTTGGGATCGATCTGATATATCCTGGAATTTTAGGGAAATCGTGAAATCGTTTGTGTTTTTTTTTTGCTCGATTAATCGGAGAAATGGACGAGTTTGGTGTTCTTACGGAGCGTTATGGGATTAAACCACAAGGTAAATCTGCTCCGATGGCTGCTTCTAAGCGTAACCCTAACAACAATGGTCAGAGCTGGAATTTCGGTACAGGCTCTGGTCTAAATGCAAAGTCGACGTCTTTTTCTTCGAATAGCTCATGGAATAAGGAATCTAGTAATGGGTCTTTGTATGATGGTGACGACATTTTTTTTCCGGCCAACTCTACTAATAGGAATGGTTCGAATGATTTTGATGTTTTTTCTGGGTTGAAAAAATCATCATCTTCCGGTGATAATAGCAAGTCGTCTTTGAACGATGATTTGTTGTTCTCTAATTTTGGGAATTTGGGAAAGAAAACTTCTGATAATGATGATTTGTTTGGTGGTGTTATGCCTGGGTCTAAAATCTCCGCTAGTGTTAAGAATGATGATTTGTTTGGGTCATTCTCTTCATCGGAAAAGCAATATGCTGCTGCGGTTGATGATTTGTTGGGAGGGAAGAATGAAGCTGGTTATGATGGATTGATACCTGGTTTTGGTGGAAGTTCTCAGACGACTATCAGGTTTGTGAGCAGTTTATGATACATTTGTTGCCAATTTCTATTGATTTGGTTTATATATCTATTGTATATTCTGATGTCTGTCATGTAGGGAATGTGTTACTGTCTCGTGGATGGTATTTGAAATCTCTGATAACCATTGTACATGAAAATGTTTTAGTGTTATGGTTTTGAATTTTTCTGTTGTTGAGATATTTTGTTTTTGTTTGGTTTTTCAGCAAGACTACTCCGTTGAACTTTGATGCTACTGATCCTTTTGTGGTCTTAGAATCAACCACTTCTACTGGTCTGTTCGTGGATCCACTTGAAGAATTTGCTGCTTCAGTCAGTTCTCAGGGGAAAAAACCATCAAATACTTCACAGACTTCTACAAAACTCAAGCCTCCGCCTAAACCAACCCAAAAAGTGAACAGAGGTTAATATCTTTGATGACCTGAAAGTATGTTGAATTAGAGCTTTTGTTTACTGCTTTCATTGTGCTCTAACTAGTCAAGGGATTATTTCCACAGGTAAGAGTCCAGAAATGTCTTCAATAGACGAACTTGAAGACTTTGCCATGGGTACTATGCGACGTAGTGCCTCTGCTTCTGACACTGCTAGTAAATATAGAGAAGCTGAAGATGCTGGAACAAAGAATAAACAGTTTGGTGTAGATGACCTTGACTCCTTTGTTAGCGCTGGACCGAGGTCTAGCAGTGTACCGAAATCACGTACCACAACTGAAGTAAGAAGACTTTGAAATATTACTAAGTTCCACTTTACTAGTTATTGCAATAAAGAAAAATGTTCTGTATGTGTATCCTTATTCTTCTTTCTGATGCAAGACAACTTGCAAGCAAGCGTCCAACACGCCAAAAAAGACGCCTAATGGGGTTTCTAATGCAAAGAAGCCTCCTGCTCCAGCAAATCTGGTGGATGACTTTTCTGCACTCTTTGGAGGTAAATTTTGTGACAACATTTCTATTCCAGCAATTGGGTACACTGGGTTAACTTACTAGGAATTGTTTCCTTCTCTACAGAGGATCCTATATTTAGACAATTTGAGGAAATCCCAGGGGAAAGCGAAGAACGAAGAAAGGCCAGATGGGATCGTGAACAGAGAACAAAGAGTCGTGTGGTATGTTTGGTTATGTTTGTTTTCTTTGAATCTTCTGGTACAATCCTTGACTCGTTTTTCCCTCTGTAACTTTCGATGATATCTCATCAAGCTATGAGAAATTTTCCTTGTGCTTGAAAGTACCCCTTCACGTTCAAAAGTTTGGTTAAGTTCTCTGGAGAATCTGTTGAATCAGTTAAAACATATTGCCAACGTTAGGTCTTTCCATATTTGATTTAGTCGTCCTGTTTGCACTTCAAAATTGGTGACTCATAACTTACTGGCATACAGCAACCAGTTTCTAGTTTAAGTTTTACAATGCTCATCAATGCTTTAGCTTGTTCTTGGTTGTATAATTTGGTTCTACATGATTTTTCACTATTCAATGCCTTTTGACATGTAGGCACAAGCTGTAGCTGATATGAATAACCGTGATCATCAATCTCGGGTTGAACAAGAACAGAGAACTGTGAGTAATGTTTTTGTTGACATTTATTTTGTTAATCATCATTATCATAAAACTTGTTTATGAACAATGACGTTTATGGATTTGTTAGTCTTCGTAATGATAATGCTGTTTTTGACATTTATATTTCCTATCGTGATTACATATAGTCTCCTTGTTCTTGTGTTTAACCAACAATGGTTTCTTGTTAATCTTGCTTTTCAGAGGATTTCTGAGACTGTTGATGCTGAGATAAGGCGTTGGGCAACTGGTAAAGAAGGAAACATGCGTGCGCTGTTATCTTCCTTGCAAATCGTGAGTTTTAAATAAGAATAAATTGTAATTTATCGTTCTTTGACATCTGTTTATCCATTTGCCCCTCCTAAGTTCACTCTGAATTCCGGTTCTGTTTAAATGATGACAGGTACTCTGGCCCGGATGTGGTTGGGAGACTGTTTCTCTAACAGATTTGATCACTTCGTCAGCAGTCAAGAAAGTCTATAGAAAGGCAACCCTGTATGTCCATCCCGATAAAGTTCAGCAGAAAGGAGCCACCCTTGAACAAAAGTATATTGCCGAAAAGGTTTTTGACATTTTGAAGGTATTTCCTCAATGGATCTGCATGAGTGGCTCTCTTTCTAGAATCTTATGTAGATGAAAGTTGACTTGATGGTTTAGTTCCCTCCAAATCGATCAGTAGAGTTACATGGAAACGATGTTTCAAAAAATTTAGTAGGTTGGACATATCTCTGTGTTAGTAATTTGAAGAAATCCGGTTAAGTTTCTTGTCTCTTGCATTCAAAAACCTGACCCTCATAACTGACTTGCATTGTTACAGGAAGCTTGGAACAAGTTCAACAAGGAGGAGCTCTCTTAAGCCCATATGCTGTGGATATAGTTGCTTTCTGTACAACTATAATTCGTCTGTGAGTTTCCTCGAGTCTTTTCTTGTTTTTAATCTTCTTGTCTCTGATTTTTCCTTTGACGGTAACTTGTCATCTTTCTGTACACCCAACAACAACAAAAATCCATGGGGGATATTGTATAGCCCCAAAAACCGAAATAGAGTTTCTTTTTATAAGATATATATTGAATGTTTTTAATTATAATAGCTTATAGCGTAGAGATGGTTCACTGGTGTTAGTTTCATTCCCATGGAATGACATTTGTTGGTATCTTCATGAATATGTAATATGTTTTTTTCATAATTATCTTCGTAGCTCGATAAATTTGGGTTGGTAACTCCGGTTAAGCAAAGTTCTACACTTTAATAAATATTGACTTCGTTAAGATATACAAATGAAAATAATCTTATAGTCATAGATGCGAGAAAAAATGTTTGAGGGTAGGATAAAGGAACCTTGAGATATGGATAAACGACATAAAGAGGAGTATTAGCAAGACAGATCCAAACTACGACAAGTAGTAAACGGAGATAATAATATCCAAACCATAAGAATCCATGAAAGCAAGTAGACAACTACGACTTTGCCTCACCAGTTACCAGACACTAATAATTGGAGAGATGGATCTTTTAGGAATATTTACTTTTATCAAAGATCAGACTATCAGAGGCTAGTCAGAACTCAGAACGAAATATTATTTTCAGTAGCGACATCTTTAAAAGACAACAGGGATTTATAAAATACACAGACGTGAAACAGCCTGACCTGATGCCTGATGGTACACTAACTATGTAAGATTAGCATAATTATATAGTATTACTTTTTATCATTATATAGTTTGGTACCTTTGCCATTTCAAGAAATGTTATTACATGAAAAAAAAAACATGCTAATTTTGTATTATCTCCATAAGACAGATCTTTATAATTATAAAAATACAAAATACAAAATACAGTAAGTGATAACTCAAAAAGACAAAAAAAATATCCAACTACAACATATGTGATAAGTCAGAGTATGTGTATGAGATCATGTGCACAATAAGTCAGTATATGTATGTCTACACTCTACAGCTCTTACTGGTAATAGATTTTGAGGAACAAGAAATAGTTGAATGCGTCATTCATATCTTCTAGATTTTTTTTTTTTGTCATCATATCTTATACAATTTTATTACTTGAGAAAGTGATATATGATATATTATTTCCCAAAATTTATTAATTAAAAAAAATAAATAAAACTAAGAACTGCTGTATTTATTGCCATATTGAAAATGCTAATATATCTACTTTCCACCAATATTCCAAGATTTTATTTGCCTCAAATCTTTACTTCCGGATCCACCATCACCTTCAATTCAGATTGATATATTCCCACTTCCAAAAATAAAGAGATACAGTATATATGTATAATTGTATATCATATCACTATATATCAATTATCATAACCCAATAACCAAAAACTGGATCTTCTTAACAAAATAAAAAGGAAAAAAACCCAATAAAGCATGGTTTTTTCTTTTATTTAATAAACAAAACTAGAAACTTCCCCAAATGGTTAAAATCACTGGTCACTAAAGTCAACCAACGTGTCAATATCCTCCACGTCACCCACTTTCACCTATAAAATGTTCCCGCCATTCGCCAAATCCCAAAACAAGAGTCCACCATGAAACTCAACAATTCCACTCTCTTCTTCTTCCTCGTCTCTCTCCTCTCTTTATCATCAGCTTCATCGAACAAGCCTCAGCTTTCAAATGGCTCAACCATCTTGTTCACGACGATAGGGAGACCCACTTTCGAATTCGACATCTTTACTCTTCCAACGAGCCATCGCCCACCGTCACCCGCCGATGAGCACCGTCTCACCGACGCCAAATCCGTTAATTTCAACGGCCATTTCGCTTCTCCTTCTCCGGCGTTAATCTCACTTCTACCCAATAAATCTCAGATTCAACCACAAGACTTGCATCTCATCTACGTCACCGAGAGAGATGGAACTCCTAGCTTATACTACGACGTCGTTCACGACGATAAATCTGGATCTAGAGTTCAGGTTCCGTTATTTTCCGGCGAGGAACAACAGAGTGGTATGAATGTAAATTCCATGAAAGATACGCCTGTTTTAACTAGCGACTATCTTGTCTACGTGTCGACACATGAGAATCCGGGTAAGCCCATGGCGAGTTGGGCCGCCGTTTACTCGACTGAGTTACAAACTAAGTCGACTCGGCGGTTAACACCGCCTGGAATCGCTGATTTTTCTCCGGCGGTGTCTCCGTCTGGGAAATGGACAGCCGTGGCTTCGTACGGAGAGAAAGGCTGGACTTGGAGCTTGGTAGAGAAAGAGATTAGTTCAGATATCTACGTTTTCCTGACTCGGGATGGGACTCAGCGAGTCAAGGTGGTCGAGCAAGGCGGGTGGCCGAGATGGGTCGATGACTCGACTCTGTATTTCCACCGGAAAAGCGACGACGGTTGGATCTGCGTGTACCGAGCGATTATACCCAAAACCGGAGCGGTTACCACCAAAACGGTTACGATTCAACGAGTCACACCACCGGGACTTCACGCGTTCACACCCGCCACGTCACCGAACAACAACAACTTCATCGCGGTGGCTACAAGGAGGCCTGGATCAGAAATCCGCCACGTGGAGCTTTTCGATTTAAAGAAGAACGAGTTCATCGAGTTGACTCGTCTCGTATCACCGAAGAGTCAACACTTTAACCCGTTTCTTTCCCCTGACTCGTCCCGAGTCGGATACCATAGCTGTAGAGGCGACGCAACTGGACGAAAAACTCCTCGGAATCTCCTCCAAAGCCTCAAAACCACTTCCAACGACCTCTCTCTCTTCAGATTCGACGGTGCGTTCCCGTCAATCTCGCCGGAAGGTGACCGGTTCGCGTTCGTCTCTTTCACAGGCGTTTTCGTTGTGAAACCAGACGGTTCAGGGCTACGTCAATTGCTTCCACAAATGGGGTTTGGAACAGTTTGGGATCCAATTCGACATGGAATCGTCTACACAAGCTCAGGTCCAGCTTTAGCTCCAGGGAAGTCTCAAATCGATATTCTCGCCATTAACGTCGATGCACCAAATCCATCAACCGCCGTTAAAAAACTAACGACTACCGGCGAAAACAACGCCTTTCCGTGGCCATCACCTGACGGTAAACGGATCGTGTTCCGTTCTTCTCGGTCCGGTACTAAAAACCTTTACATAATGGACGCAGAGAAAGGTGAATCCGGTGGTTTGTTCCGGTTAACGAACGGAAACTGGAACGATACGATAGCTACTTGGTCACCAGATGGTAATTGGATTGTGTTTGCATCGAACCGGGAATTTCCCGGTACGTTGTTGATGAATATTTATGTGGTTCATCCGGATGGGACCGGTTTAAGGAAGCTGGCGCAAAACTTGACTGGTGGGGTATCGATGCATCCGATGTTTAGTCCCGACAGTAAGAGAATCGTGTTCACTACCATTTATGCTGGAATATCGGCGGAGCAGATCGGTAATCCGCATTTCAACGTCCCGAGTAGCGAGATTTTTACTGTCAATTTGGACGGGTCTGGTATGACGAGGCTAACGCATAACTCGGTGGAAGATGGACCGCCAATGTGGTTCCCTAAGATCAAAGCTACCGGTGATGTGGCGTGGCCTAAGAGGTTTGGACCTAGTTGCTCTATCCAAGATTTCAAGACGCAAAATACTACCGTGAAAATGAAAATGAATAAGCCCGTAACAATGTCATCAATGTGTGTTGTTCCTTCACAATGATTTGTTATGTAACTTATTCTTCGAATTAAAAACTTGTTAGATAATATCTTGTTAAGTATCAGGGGGTAGCCTAAGAAATAATATAACTTTGATCTTTAACATTTCCAATATTTTCTTAAAATAATATGGTCAACATTGATCTTGGAAATTATTGTCGTGTGCTGCACCATGGTCCATGCTAGATAGACCAATCACTATTTTTCCAAGTAGATATTTTCGGAATACGGAGATAATTCGTAGAATACAAGAGAAGAAATATCATCCGTGAAATAATATACTTTTGTCAGAAACGTTACAAGTAAAAATTCCACGACTGACTGCCACGTGTAAACTTATCTCAAAAGGGTCCTACAATACCATAATGACGTCATCTCTTACACCACTCTCTGAAAATTTCCTCCGCCTTATAAAAAAACTCGATTATCGTCTTCATTTAGTGGCCAGCCACCGCCATGAATATTGCTCAGATTATCTTCTTCGCGTCCCTTCTGCTACCACTCCACGCAACAACGTTGGAACATCAAAATTCGAACGCTGGTGATGGAGACACCATCATATTCACCACTCTAGGACGATCCCGCTACGAATTCGACATATTCACCCTCTCAACGACTCATCCACCGTCCGATTCCAACGAGCTCCGAATAACCGATGGAGAATCCGTAAATTTCAACGGCTATTTCCCGTCTCCTACTCCGGCGCTAATCTCTCTTCTTCCCGACGAAACCCTAATTCAAATGGAAGATTCGTCTCCTCTGCATCTCATCTACGTCACCGAGAGAAACGGTACTTCTAGCATTTACTACGATCTAATTTACGGCGGCGACTCCGATTCTAAAATGAAACGACGATCGGTGTTAGAAGCACCGTCTCGAGTCCAAGTTCCGTTGTTATCCGGATTTGATCATCAGAGTGGCATGACGGTAAATTCGTTTAAAGATAAGCCTAGTTTGAGTGGTGAGTTTCTTGTCTACGTGTCAACTCACGAAAACTCAGGTGAGCCGAGAACAAGCTGGACCGCCGTTTACTCTACCGAGTTAAAAACTGGGTTAACCCGGCGGTTAACACCGAGTGGTGTAGCTGATTTTAGCCCGGCGGTGTCGCCTTCCGGAAATTTAACAGCCGTGGCTTCGTACGGAGAGAGAGGCTGGACAGGGGAAGTTGAAGAGCTTAGTACGGACATATATGTATTCTCGACTCGGGATGGGACTCACCGTGTCAAAGTGGTGGAGCACGGTGGTTGGCCATGTTGGGTCGATGAGACGACTCTTTATTTCCATAGAAGAAGCGAGGAGGATGGTTGGATCAGCGTTTACCGAGCTATCTTACCTGAAAACGGACCGTTAACTACAGAGTCAGTGACTATACAACGAGTCACACCACCGGGAGTTCATGCTTTCACACCTGCCACGTCTCCAAACAACCACGAGTTCATAGCGGTGGCTACAAGGAGACCAGGCTCGGATTATCGCCACGTGGAGTTGTTTGATCTAAAGAGGAATGAGTTTATTGAGTTGACTCGTTTGGTGGCGCCAAAGAGTTATCACTTGAATCCGTTCTTGTCCCCTGATTCGTCTCGAGTCGGATATCATAGTTGTAGAGGTGAGGCTAATGGACGGAGAAGTCCTCTGCTTTTCCTAGAGAATATTCAAACCACCACAACAGACCTCTCTCTCTTTAGAATCGATGGTTCGTTTCCTTCATTCTCACCAGGAGGTGATCGTATCGCATACGTCAAAATGCCTGGTGTGTTTGTGGTGAAGCCAGATGGTTCAGGGCAGCGTGAAGTGTACAACGGAATGGCGTTTTCGACAGCTTGGGATCCGGTTCGACCTGGAGTTGTGTACTCTAGCTCAGGTCCAACGTTTGCTACAGAGAGAACAGAGGTTGATGTCATCTCTATTGAAGTCGATGCAGCTGATAAGTCATCTTCCGTGAGGAGGCTAACGACAAACGGGAAGAACAATGCTTTCCCTTGGCCATCTCCGGATGGTAAGCGGATAGTGTTTCGTTCGGGGCGGACTGGTCACAAAAACCTCTACATAATGGATGCTGAGAAAGGCGAAAGCGGTGGTCTATGGAGGTTAACCGAAGGTGCGTGGACTGACACAATGTGTAACTGGTCACCGGATGGGGAATGGATCGCGTTTGCATCCGATCGAGAAAGCCCTGGCTCGGGTAGTTTCGAGCTCTTCTTGATCCACCCCAACGGAACAGGGTTAAGGAAACTCATCCAAAGCGGGACAGGTGGGAGAACAAACCACCCAATCTTCAGCCCGGACAGTAAATCATTAGTCTTCACATCTGATTATGCTGGGATCTCAGCGGAACCGATCTCGAACCCGCATCATTACCAGCCATACGGTGATATCTTCACGGTGAAATTAGATGGCTCTAATTTGAGAAGGCTGACGCATAACTCTTATGAAGATGGGACACCGGCATGGGCCCCTCGGTTCATCCACCCGAACAATGTGGTGCTGCAAAGGAGGAACAATTCTAGGTGCTCGTTTGAAGACTGTCACTGGCTAAACAAGTACCCTACACTAAAAGGCCGAAAAATATCTTGTTAATATATATGATTAGAACAGAAATGTATCCCAGCGTGTAACTCTACTACTTATAGATTTGTATGAGACTGCCAATGTATATGTATAAGACTCTGTATTAATGAGAATATGAGATCGTTAATGTAATAATATCATAATGTCAAAAGTCGAAACAGTCGATAAGATATCAAACCCTCTTTCTGAGTTGGAGGGTGTAAGGCGGGAGCGGGAAAATCCAGAAAACGTCGTACAAGGTTTTTGAGTCTCTCTCCGTCACCGGGAACGAATTGGGAAGAGAAAATTAGAAAAAAAAAAAGGCGAAGAAGAGAGGAATGGCGCCAGTTCTTCAGAGCTCACAGCCATGGGTTGAGAAATAGTACGATTTCTTCTTACTGATTTTTATTCCGTTGACGGAATTTAAGTCGGGTTTAATTAACTCTTTTTGTTTCCGATTTGGATTCAGCCGGCCGAAGCAGGTTAAGGACGTTGCTCACCAGGAAGAGGTGGTTCGTGTCCTCACCAACACTCTCCAGACTGCTGACGTAATTTTACTCTAAACTCTTTGTTTATCTGGACAAATCCCTAATTTTTGAAATCTGATTTTGTACAAGTGTGAAAAACCCTAGATGTCGAATTTGGCTCTCAATTCTGGGTTTTAATTTTGTGTGCGGCTCTGTTGTAGTGCCCGCACATGCTCTTCTATGGACCGCCAGGCACTGGAAAAACCACTACTGCACTTGCCATCGCCCACCAGCTTTTTGGGTACTTTATTCTTCTGATTAATTTGTGAAAGCTGAAATTCGGATGGATTTTTGATTGATTCATTTGTGTGTGCTTAACTTGTATGAGACCATGTGATCTCTAATATGATACAATCAGGTTTGTGATTCAAATAACTTGAATTTTTTTTATGTTGATACTGATATAATATGCACTCTCAGGCTCTGTTGTTGCATAATGATTTATACCAACTTTTTCCATTAGGTTGCTAGATAGTATACCAATATGTGATATCATAGGAATTATGATTCTTCTATGTAAGTCCTTAGATTTTGAAGCTAAATTGTCTTGTTCTTCTTTCCATTGCCTCCATGGGTGTCTCATATGAGTCAGTTTCAGCTTTTTTTGGGAGTAATAATCACAGATGTATTTCATGAGGCTGTCCTTGTTTTGTTATTTCATTTTGCTGTAATATGTGGATTTTTACAATGGGGATGTCAACTAACTAAAGAGTTTTTACAGACCTGAACTATACAAGTCTAGGGTGTTGGAGCTCAATGCAAGTGATGACAGAGGCATTAATGTTGTTCGGACAAAGATCAAGGATTTTGCTGCTGTTGCTGTTGGGTCTAATCATCGTCAAAGGTGTCTACTTTTTATTAAGTTTTATTGTTGGGTCATTTTCTCGTTTCTGTATTTCATCTAAGACCTACGATTTGATACTTCAGCGGTTATCCTTGCCCATCGTTTAAGATCATCATCCTAGATGAGGCTGATTCGATGACAGAAGATGCTCAGGTACATTGAACATCTATTCACTACCGCATATGTACCTATGATATGTGTTTGCCATGAACTATTTTATTGACTCTCCAGAACGCCTTGAGGCGCACAATGGAAACTTACTCCAAAGTCACCAGATTCTTTTTCATATGTAATTACATCAGCAGGTAATTCTGTCACAACGGCCTCCTTTTTTTCCCTTCTGTTCACATTTCATCTCCCTCTCATTTGTTCTCCAATTTTCTCTCTGGTTTATGTTAAATGTCTGCTTTTTCGTTTATAATTTGGAACATACTCAATTACTCATAGTGAGCTACTTGCTGAACTATGAATTCCACTGATTTTGATCACCCTTATAACTTTGATTCCTTATTCTTTAGGATCATAGAGCCCCTTGCTTCCAGGTGTGCGAAGTTCAGGTTTAAACCACTTTCTGAAGAAGTCATGAGTAACCGTATATTGCATATTTGTAATGAAGAAGGTCTCAGCCTTGGTGGAGAGGTATGAGCAAATGCTTTAAGGTTCACCTTATTATTTTTGTTTTGTGAAAGCTATTTATTGTAGCCATTTCCTATTTAGGCTCTTTCAACTTTGAGCTCCATATCACAAGGTGATCTCCGTAGGGCCATCACATATCTGCAGGTAAGATAAAACTATCTGAAATCTTTGTTATTGGACGAAATTGACAATAGAGATGTGAACCAATTTTTCGGCCTGAATATTACAGAGTGCTACTCGGTTGTTTGGGTCAACAATAACTTCTACAGATTTACTCGATGTATCTGGGGTAAGGATCAAGTTAACCCAGTTTTGCATAAGTGTATGGTAGTTCAACCAAGTCAGACTTCCTGATTGTTAATTTGGATGTCTAACAAATCTACCAGGTAGTTCCCCTGGAGGTAGTCAATAAACTTTTTACTGCATGCAAAAGTGGTGATTTCGATATTGCAAACAAGGAAGTGGATAACATAGTCGCAGAAGGATATCCGGCATCTCAAATCATCAATCAGGTTTTCTATTTCAGTCTCTTATTCTTACCCCATTTAAGTCATGCAATTGTGGCTATAACCACTTCTTTACATCTCTCTTTCAGCTATTCGATATAGTTGCGGAGGCTGACAGTGACATAACAGACATGCAAAAGGCTAAAATCTGCAAATGTTTAGCTGAAACTGATAAGGTAAGACTTCCCGTACTAGTTTTCCTTACATGTGTCTTTTTATGGAGTTAGTTGAAGACTCAAGTGAGATCAATTACCAACATCTTGACTCAATTATATTACGGGTTTTGAGTCAAGTTCGCATCTTAGATTTATTATTTGAATCTGTAGATATGTTGCAATCTTGCCAAGCATGTCTCTGTTACCTCTAATGATAATAAAATATCTCATACCTTTTCTTTTTGATGAATCCAGCGACTTGTAGACGGGGCGGATGAGTACTTGCAGCTTCTGGATGTGGCAAGCAATACAATTCTTGCCCTCTCAGAAATGGCTCAAGACTTCTAATGCAAATACCCTTTAAAGTATAAAGCTCTGCATCTTGATCCTGCTTGATTTGGACCTTTTCCTTATGACTTATGAGTTTTCACAATGCCACTGTCATAGTTTAGGTTTTGATAAAAAAAAAAGTTGGAGCATTATGACGTTTTTGTGGTTACCCTGCCTGATGTGCTGTTACAGAGTTATTGTTTTAAGAGAACTATGAGATGTATTTTTTTGAGCCATTAGTCCATGAAAGTCATATGCATCTTTTATTCCTAATTTCCTAACATCCAAACCAGAAGAGCAAAGAACATGCTGTGTTTGCGAACGATATATGCATCCTTTCACAACAGAAACATTCAAATTGCATTGAGGAATGTGACTTTTCTTTGTGTTCAAGTGTGCTTCTTTACCTCAAAAATTGAGGTATAGGCATGATAAGCATAAGCTCACTCTTTCTTATGGGAGTGAGACAAGTATTGGTGTGAAGTTTGGGAGGCAAAAATAAATCCGAAAAAACGGTTTTATATGTGTGAGGAATACTGTTGTGTCGCCCTACACATTCAATGTATGCTTGGAGATGACTTATACATGAAGGCTGGTTCATCATGGATCTATCTCGATAAAAGGACCATCATATGCCTCGACCTATTTGCCGCACCAGCGGCGTTGTCCACACAAAGCAGTTTTGCAGAGGACTGATTATATATTTTGTTCCTCATTTTGTATTCTTACATTGAAGTTTTGAGAGGTGACCAAAATCTGTTGTAAGAATCTGCTGTGTTGATTAGTGGATTCCTTAACATGCATGTCCAATATTGTGAACATTGATGTCTTAGTAAAACTGTAAAAGGATGAATGTGATACTTTACTAGTTAGGTATAGATCCCAAAATGTAGTAGATTTATATAATATTTTTTTCTACTTATTACCTCTAGTAATCAAAAGAGTAAAATCCTTGGAAAATGTCATAAAATACAAGCGTATTAATTTACCAGGATTCACCATATCCACATAAAAAGAAGATTCGGATACACATCAAATCTACAGAAAACATTAGTAATGCCATAAATAAATAAAAATGCTGTCAAGACACAAATTCGTTGAATCTTCACATAGAACTGTCATAAATCTGGATACGTTCTAAAAATAATTGATCTAATCTAAATCTATAAGTAGTTTCTTATTAGTATCCTTAAAACTAATTTTGATCAAAGAAACGCTTTGTTTTGGGGTTACCTAAGTAATGGTCGATGGTGACGATTCTTTCAAGAGACCCGGAGCTGTGCCTTTTAAGTGGGAGATCCGACCCGGTGTACCCAAAACCCGACCCGGTGATGATCTTCTTCAACCTCCTAACAAACTTCCTCCTGTCAAATTAAAACCATTTCCGCCGTCGAATTCGCCATCTCCGTCTTCTTCTTTCATCTCTGAATCCAGAAGCCGACCAGTCTCTCCCTTCGCTCCTCCTCCGTCGTCTTTCAAGCTCAAATCGCCTTCAGATTCCGAGTTCAACTGTTCAGGACCTCCGACTCCATATTTCCGATCTTCTTCCCCTCGAGCCGGTGGTTCTTTCCCCCGGTGTTTTTTTCCCAAGTCATTGTTTGGTTTGAAGAAGAGTAAGAGCGGCGATTTAAAAAAGACCGGTCAGGAATCATCGGAGTCTGACAATTTCTATGAATCGGGAACAACGTTTTCTCCGTCGGAAGATTCTAGCCACGGATCGGCAGTTTCTTCGAGGTGGGGTTCGCCGATATCATCCTTCTCTTCTCGCCGTGGTTCGCCGCTGAAACGGACTGATTCGGATTTGAGCTCTTATGAGAAAAAAACCATTTTAATGATGGCTCGTTCCCGCCTCGGTTAGCCATTTTGTTTTTTTTTAGAAAAAGAAAAAACATTTTAGAAATTAAAATCAAATAAAAAAATATTTGAGTTTTTCATTGCGACAAGAACTAATGTACACATGTAGATTTGTAATGAAATTGTCTATATTATTATCATAGGCTAATTGAGTTGATAGACATAGACAAGATATTAAGATTGGTAACTGTTTTAATTCACAATGATGATGGTTCAGAGATGATTTGATACTACAAGACACTAACTTAGAACAACACTACGGTCTCAAAGCCATTAACTTATCTTTAAAAATAACAAGGCAAAATAAATATGGATACTGATAAGCTAAATAAGCTAGACAGATGGATCTCAGTTTAAGCCTAAGCCGGACCCTGAGCCTGAACCCGTGGAAGACCTAACCATCGGGTGACTAAACGAAGGCTGGTTGATCGATGCTGCTCCTGCTGCAGGGGTATTAAGTTGGTTGTTGCCAAACATGACGTTTGGTGATGCTGTTGATCCTGCATTGGTCTGTATCGCATTGAGCGGTAATCTTGGGCCAAAAGAGAAAGCTTGTTGTTGTTGTTGTTGTTGTTGGCGTGCCATGAACTGCATCTGTGCATGAACTTGCGGGTTGTTGCCGAATCCCGGGATTATGCTTGGTTGAGAAGTTGCTGAAGCTTGTTGTTGTTGCTGCTGCTGTTGCTGATGCATGAGAGAATTGATGTTGTTACCACCTGTGGATAGAGACATGCCTTGGAGATTATTATTATTAGTCTGTGGAGAGATTCCTCCAGGTGATCCAAATCTTGCGGTGAGCATACGAGCCCGTTCTGCAGAAAATCTCTGACGGGTTTTCTCTACTTGTTCGCATTCTTTCATCAACAATGTTTCAATTTCTGCAAACTGCTTTAGCTTCAGCTCCATCCTCTTCAGCTGCGGTTTTTACTCAGATCAGCAATAAACACTATACAACAAAATAAATCAACTAACTATAGTAATTCTCATCAGTAACTGGTTCGGCTATTTTACCTGGTGATTAACGATATTTGCAGAAAGTCTTTGGATTTCGCGTTCCTCATGATCAGCAAACAATTTTGCTTTTGTTGCTGCAGCTGATAGACCGGCTCTAAATGCTGCCATAACCTTATCCTGTGGCAGTGGAGTCGGCGGTTCTGCTCCGTTTTGGCTTGATGTTTTGTGTGCTCCTGAGTTTTCTTTTACAATTAGAGCATGTTGGTATCGCAGATTAGGTTAAAACAAAAGAACCAAGAAATTACAGTAAAGAGAACAATCAAATAACTTCCTTACCATCTTGCTGTTGATTTTCTCCATCAAGCAAGCTGACTTCTTTCCCTTGCACTCCCTCGGATTTCATCCTTGATAGATCAAGAAGTTTCAGCATCGTCCATATAATTTATTAAACTGAATCATATACTACAGAGATTTTTAAATTGGATAGAGACTATATAATACACTAACCTATCGTCCTCAGATAAAACCGCGAGGGACTCATGGGCACAGGACGCAGCAACTCGAGGTCCAACAGCTGATGCCAAAAATGCAACCTAAAAATGTTTCGGTATCAGGATCCTCATAATCTCCAAACTTATGTGCAATACAGGACCATTCTCCACTCAAAATATGCATACGATTTTGCTCTCAGATTAATCGATCAGATATCTCTAACTGGTGAGATCATAAGGATAATGAGAAGCGCATATGAAATCTGCATCAGAAAAAAGTTCACAAACCAATGCCATAACCGGATTCGGAGACTTCACAAATGGAAGCTTGATCTCAGTGTCAGAACCTTGCTCAGAATATCCTGCAGAGGCAAGCCGACAATGAGTATGGCATGTCAAAGGAAATAACTATGGAAAGTAATTCATTGCTACAAATTGAATAAAACAAAATCACCAGGCAAATCCCCATTTGAATCTGTTCCTTTGTGGTCATATCCATTTGTAGGGTTTTCCGTATTAGTTACACCAGGAACCTCAACATTATCTAAAAGACCATCCTCCACAGGTAATCGAAGAAAATGAAGAATGCATTGAGCTTTTGACTTGGAACCAACATGATCAGCAATTTGAACCCAATTTTCATTGTAGAGTTCCACAGCTTCAAGAAGCAAGAGAGTTTCCTGATCAGTCCAATTGTCTCCATCTTGATCGCCATAAAATTTGGTTGGATCCACTTTTACAAAGTCAAGACAAGAATGTCCAACAACAAATCTTCCATGGTGAAAACAATCACAGCATAAGAGTGTATCCCCCTGTAAAGTAGAGATGAAGACCCATTAGTTAAAAGCGCTCCAGTATCCGAAACAGTAAGCAAGATAAGGCTTGGAGTCTATTACATCACTGGCTGGAAAAATCAGATAGTGATACACAAAGAGCAATACGTAAGGGGAAGCAGCCTAAGAACCTTCTTTTGCGATTGGAAATACACAGTTGGAAGCGGTCGGGAACAGTGGTTGCAATGATTATCACATAGGTGTTCACGAATTCTGATGTCCAAGTCAGGGCTGTCACCATCCAAACTTGACAAGGATGAATAGACTTCACCCCCCTTGTGTCTACAGTTGGGCTTGTCAAATTTGATCAAACTATCAATAGATGTTAAAGCAGCAGACGGCACATTGACCTCACCATTTGTATCCTCCCTCACATCCAATACATCTCTAGAAGGCCCAGGATGTGACTGGGCAGTGGCACAGTAATTGATTATTCCCCAGTGATCAAGAAAACGGAAAACTCGTGCAAAATCTTCAATGTCAACACCATCAACCAATCCTTGGCAATCAGAAATCGTCAGTGTCTTTTCAGGGTTCTCCACATATTTTGAAACAATGGCGTTCCTGAATTCCATATAACTTTCGGGTGTATGATTTGGCGATTTCCCAGAGAAAAATTGTGGCACCACTTGCCTTTCAAGTCGATCCACTGTGTTTGGTGCAAACCAATCTGCTCAAATGTAACAGCAAAAGTAGAAGCATAAATTTGAGCATTGTATACAAAAATATCAGAAAGTAAAAATAAACTAAGAAGAAAATTACGATATATTCGAGGAACATGAATCCAGGAAATGAAATTTTAAAAGGACATCACTTGCATAATCTATTCAAGATGCACTTCTGAGATAAGTCACCTAAGGCTACTTCAAGCCTGCAGGTACTCTAATTTATTGATACAGAGATCATGTACAAATGTTCTAATACCTCTTCCTTTCCATCACACTGAACATGGGAACGTAGAGAAAGATATCATATGAAACTGAGTCGCTTTCAGATTAATAATGTAAACTAAGAACCATGCAGTAGACAAAAGGAAGATAAGAACTTATAGTCTTATACGCTTAGGAGATACCAGCATAAAAACCCTTTTGACTAATTCTCAATCCAATCACAATATATACTACAGGACTACTAACCAGCAAAAGCTGGTACTACATAAAGCCTTACCTCGAACATAAATGAGCATATAAACATAGTTATTTTCAAAGTATATGCAAACTCATGAATTGAAGAAAAAGAAAGAAAAAACAAACCTGAATGCATAGGCAAGACATGAACCAGATCCCCAAAGCGTTTAACAACTCCTTCTCCTTCCATAATAGGTGGTGGAGAGATAACATAAGCCGAAGACGATCCATCAAGATCAAGAGACAGAGAATCAGCCGGTACAGTAGATAACGCTTGCAATTGCCCAAACGAAATGTTCTCCAGAGCTGGAAGTAAACCTTGCCCTCTAGTCTCCCCAATCAAACCAGCTCTCTCAGCCGCCACAACAGCCATTACAGACGCGTGTGGACGGATCACAACGCGCTTAACCACTGCCGGGAAATCAGAGATGCGCGAACCAGAATCTTCAACTACCTCGCCAATACCAAGTCCCGGATCGGGAGTTGCGCCGCCGTTTTGGTGAAGCTCATCGGCATTTTCAACGTCATCCATTTCTTCGTTGTTGTTGTTATTATCTTCTTCTTCTTCCTCCATATCTTCCTCCTCTTGTTTCGGTTTCCTCGCCGCCGATAATCCCCCTCGCTTCTTCCGTTTCCATTTCCCTCTTCTATCTGCGACGGAATTGAAAAAAGGGTAATTCAATTCATACGAATTCTCGCGTACTCGAAATACCCATAACTACGATCTATGTGGGTAAGTCAAATCCCAATTCAAAATTGGATTTTGAGAGATATATAAAGATGAGAAAGTCGTTTCGCTATGCAATTTTACCTTCAGAAGCTGGCATTCTTGTGGGTGAAGATAGAGAAAGAGAGGTTTTGGGTTCTGTGGAATCAAAGCAAGAACCTAAGTAAAAAGAATTGCTTTCTTTGTCTTCTCTGCTCCGAGTCGTTCTGATTTCTAGCTCTCGAGCTAAACACCAAACCTTTTTCTCGCAATTTCTTTCGCCATTACCTTCTTTAGTCTCTCTATTTATTTATTCATTCTCCAGGACAACCTAACCTTCCCGATGAACAAGAGGGTTCGAAAGATGGAAGTTCTAAGTTCAAAATTCAAGCTTCGTTGACCAATCCAAATTTCGGTTGACTGTTTTGGTTAGTAAAATATTAAACCGGTTCAAATTGATTGATACATTAGTTGTCCGTCGCGCAGAAATACTGGTGTGGTGGTTCCGTTAACGAGCAACGGCGATGAAGAGACCTCGAGCTACATCACCGCCGTCGATCTCTACCACCGTGAAACCACCACTGTCTCCGCCGGTCACACCGATTCTCAAACAGAAGCTACACAGAACAGGAACAACACCTAAATGGTTCTCGTTAAAACTAACCCACACAGAGCTCACTCTACCGTTAACTTTTCCGACGGGTCAAACATTCCGGTGGAAGCAAACTGGAGCGATTCAGTATAGCGGAGCGATTGGGCCTCATCTCGTCTCTCTTCGACAACGTCCAGGAGATGACACTGTTTCCTATTGCGTCCATTGCAGCACTAGCCCTAAATTAGCGGAGCTTGCGTTGCTTGATTTTCTCAATGCTGAGATCTCGTTAGCTGAGCTATGGTCTGATTTCTCGAAAAAGGATCCTCGTTTCGGAGAATTAGCGAAGCATCTCCGTGGCGCTCGTGTGTTGAGGCAGGATCCGCTCGAGTGCTTGATACAGTTTTTGTGCTCATCGAACAATAACATTGGAAGGATTACGAAGATGGTTGATTTTGTTTCGTCTTTAGGGTTACATTTGGGTGACATTGATGGATTTGAGTTTCATCAGTTCCCATCATTGGATCGGTTATCTAGGGTTTCTGAAGCAGAGTTTAGGAAGGCTGGTTTTGGTTACAGGTGCTTCATCATTATCTCAATTTACTGCCTTTCAATGATTTCATCTACTGTTAGGTTACATCATATTCAATTAGCCATTTAGGATAAAACTTTGCTTGAAGCTTATATCTTCATTTACTCTGTGGCCATACATTCATAGAATTGAAGCTAATGTTTGTTCTAAGCTAGATAATCATTGTGTGGCCGTTCTCTGATTGGTTCTGTTCTCAGTTGCAATCTCTGATTCTTGTTCCATCTTGTGGTGAGCAGAGCCAAATACATAACAGGTACAGTGAATGCTTTGCAATCAAAGCCAGGTGGTGGCGATGAATGGCTTCTTTCTCTACGCAAATTAGATCTCCAAGAGGCAGTTTCTGCTCTGTGTACATTACCTGGTGTTGGTCCAAAGGTAGCAGCTTGCATAGCTCTGTTTTCTCTTGATCAGCATAGTGCTATTCCCGTTGACACACATGTCTGGCAGGTAACAAAGTCCACCGAGTCTCCGATTTCTATTACATTTACATTTTGGTGATGACTCAAGCAACTTTTTTTTGTTCTGTTTTGGATAATGGATCAGATCGCAACAAATTATCTACTGCCAGACCTTGCTGGTGCAAAACTGACACCTAAACTCCACTGCAGAGTGGCAGAAGCATTTGTAAGTAAATATGGTGAATATGCTGGTTGGGCTCAAACATTGCTTTTCATTGCGGAGTTACCTGCACAAAAAACTCTCTTGCAATCGTTTTCCCAGCCCATTAGCAAATTGGATAATTCTACGGAAGATAATGAAACGAGCTGTGACACGACGAAGCCATGACTATGCTGTCTACCTAAGCCACCATGAATCGTTTAGTCCAGAAAGTTGAACTTGGAAGAGCTAAGGACTGACCGAAATTCTGAGGCGGGTGCAATATTTGGCTCCCTGTTTAGTGTTGGTGTACTAGCGTAGTTGTTTCTTATAATCATTATTTACTAGAGAACCAAATCTTGATTTGTACTTGTAGCTTTTCATTCAAACTTCTAATTGTTTGTTCCCTTTGCAATTCTCTGTTATCACAATGACTTTCATTTGTAAATTGCATTCTACTGAATATTAAAATTCTGGTTCAAATGAGGTTTTTTTTGTCAAAAAACAAAATTTGTTGAATATAATTTTCTTCAAGAAGCCCAATAAAACGAGGCCTAAAATTAGGCCCAAAAGATAATATTGGAGGCGAAAAAGAAAGTCACGGCTGGATTTTCCTCCAAGCCACCGTCGACTTTACTTAGTACTCTCTCTCTCCTCCTCCACCTTCCCAGATTTCTTCTCCGTTCGGAAAATTCTACTCTGAAAACCCTAAGTTTCCGATGTCGGTAAGTTTATTTTCTCAATTTGAATTCCAGAGACCTCAAAATCTATTAGTCTTACGCATCAATGGTTTAATAGTGACTGAACGATGAATTGTTTGATATTTGTGGCGATGCAGATCTTCGAGTACAATGGAAGTGCCGTTGTTGCTATGGTAGGTAAGAACTGTTTCGCCATCGCCAGTGATCGGAGACTCGGTGTTCAGCTACAGACAATCGCCACTGATTTCCAGAGAATCTCCAAGATCCACGATCGTGTCTTCATCGGTCTTTCTGGTCTCGCTACTGATGTTCAAACACTGTAAACTATCGTGCAAGCTTCCAGATATTCCATATTTGTTTGTTTTCACATTTTGGATTGAATTGACAATATTTGGCTCTTGCTTTTTGTCTTTGATGTTTGAAGGTACCAGCGCTTGGTGTTTCGTCATAAGCTTTACCAGCTTCGTGAAGAGAGAGACATGAAGCCTGAAACTTTCGCTAGTCTTGTCTCAGCCATTCTTTACGAGAAGAGGTAAGTGTGTGTGTTGTTTATCAAGTTGACTAGCTGTATTAATTACCTGTTGATTTGCGATGCTGCTTCTGAGTCTAATTTTGATTTTTGTTAGGAATGATTTACTTTAGTTTGTCTCTGAATCATGATTTAGAAAGATAATCAGATTGGTTGCTTTGTTTCAGATTTGGTCCTTACTTATGCCAACCTGTGATTGCTGGCTTGGGAGATGATGACAAGCCTTTCATTTGCACGATGGACTCTATTGGAGCCAAGTATGTTTACATCTTTTCTTGGTTAAATCTCTGATTTGTATGCACGCTTTTCCCTTTTACATATTAATGTCATTAGCTTGGTTAGTGTGGTTTATATAGTCTTTGAGCCAGATGTCTCGTGGATGTTATTTGTTTTGGTTTTGGTTTTGGAATTTTTGGACTTATCTCAGCATCCTATGAGTGGGAAATGCTCATGGTTCCTTTTTCCCTTTCGTCTTCATATTGTTTTGATACATCTATTTATTTTGTGTTTGTTGTTTTTAGAAAATGGCTGCATTTTTTTCAACCTGGTTGTTGCATTTTATTCGCTGTTGATATAACAGGGAACTTGTTTTAATAGTTGTTCTCTTCTAAATGCAGAGAGTTGGCTAAAGATTTTGTTGTATCTGGAACTGCTTCAGAGTCACTGTATGGAGCCTGTGAGGCAATGTACAAGCCAGATATGGTTTGTCCACTAAAAAATCTCATCATCTCTTGTTTTATTTCTAAATCCCGTCAGTGAAAATGCTTGAATTACCACACTTAGGCGTTGTAGTTTTGGTAGGTTCAAGGTTTAGTGTTACTATGTATAAAGTCGAATCTTGAATTGGTGTGATCATTAGGGTGCATAGCATAATGCCCGTAGGAATCACAATAGCCATTAGTTTTCTCTTTGATATCTTCAATTGTCCCTTTTAGCATGAGGTGTTTAATAGTCTGAGCTTGTTAGCCATACTCCAATTTATTAGACCTACGTATCAAGACTCTGGCTTAATATATGAGGATTTTCAGGAAGCTGAGGAATTGTTCGAGACAATATCGCAAGCACTTCTCTCGTCGGTTGACCGTGATTGTCTGAGTGGTTGGGGAGGGCACGTATACATTGTGTAAGTCCTCATTATTCTCAATGGGTTTCTTCTTTTTTTTTTTTCCCCACATTATTCTGAAAACAATTCTTCCGTGGTGATATGTTGTACAGAACACCAACAGAGATTAAGGAGAGGATCCTAAAGGGAAGGATGGATTGATCTCACTTCTTCTATCCAAGTTGTTTTTCGCTGTAATCCGGTTTAAAGTAGAGTAACCTTCGCATCCCGGTTTTATCATATATACCTTCTCTGAAATTATGGGTTCTGGATGATGTTTGATCTATTGTTCTTTCAATTCGTAGAGTTGACGAATTAATAACACTGGTTTCATTTCCTGCCGTTATTTTGTTTTTACAAAAAGAAAAGACAATTAAATATCGTGAAAAACAGAGAAAACTGCAAATTAACAGTAACCACCAGATCTTAAGCAGTTACAAAGCGGCTTTCTCCTCTTTAACTTCTTGTCTTAATTTCTGCTTGTTACGTCTGCTAATCCGTCTAAAGATTCATATAAGTATAACTAATCAAGTTAAATCCAAATCGGAAGTTGGTCGTGATGGGTAACGTGTTGGACTCATTCTTCACCGGTTTCTCACATTCTATCGGAAACTTCTTTGGTTCTCCACTTGACTTTCTGTCTGGAAAATCTTGCAGGTAAATACCCAAAACCATCACTTATATTACGATAATCTTTCATAGTTTATTGATCTGCTTAAGGGAAAATCTTACTTGGAACAGTTCGGTTTGTCCATCACCGTGGGATTTCATATGCTTCGTTGAGAATTTCTGCGTGGCTAATCTTGCAAAAGCTGCCTTAATCCTAATCTTATCCTACTTCTTTCTTTTCTTCATCTACATGTTATACAAAGTTGGGTTTTGGCATTGTATCATCCACGGTTTCTGCAGACTCCTCTGGGCTTTAGTCTCTTGCTGGTTCTACATGCTTAGCTATTGCTGTAGTTTCTTCTGCTATGATCTGCTACACTCTAAACGTAGAAGAAGACGCAGACACCACAGATATATAGAGGAAGCTTATGATGATAATAGTGATAACGATGATGATGATGATGGCGATGATGGGTCGTTCACATACCATAGATCGAGGCCAGAATGCAGAAGAGAAGAGCGTCTTAGAAAGTCTTTGAGACCGAGGAGCCATCGTGTTAGAGTTGGTGTGAGGAAAGACCATCGTTCTGACTCGGGTTTGAGCCAACATGCTGATGGAAGTAGTCCTATTCATGGTGTTAGAGTGAGCAGAGAGTCTAAATTTACACGGAAGGGTTCTAAACGCAGAAATCGAGTTTACCATGGTTCTCGCAGAGCCTGAAATGAACCATGTCAGTCTTCTTAATACATTTATTTCTACAGTCGATGTGTAAGTTGCGGTAAGAAGAGTCTCTCGGTGGTAAGGTTTGCTAGTAGTGAGTCGAAGCCGCTAGTGAGGCATCGTTTCAAGTTCAACAGAGAGTGAACTTGGATTTTTGCAAGTTATAATAAATATATGTTTCTTTGACAAGTTGTGAAGAGAAATTCTCAAGCAAACCATGGTAACTGATCATTTAGAGGGGCGAATCGTAGTTGTTTGTTGCTTCAAGACAAGAAGTGGTGGTGGTGGTTCTGTTTTCATATAAAGAAAAAGTTTTGAGATTTTGGAGAAGCAATTCAAGACCTGTTTGAAACAACAAGAGTAGTAAAGATAAGGAATCTTGTTGGAAATAAGAGTAATGGGGCTATATGGTACGTTATGTATAAAGTTGTGTGTAAATTATGCTTAGATTTTAGGTCGGTAAAATTATGCTTTACTATCCTGTGTGATGTTAAGTAGAGTAAGTGGTGGTTTTCCACTATCTATTTACCATCTTTCTAAGAGATTAATGGTTTTCTTCTGCCTTATAAATAAGGTAGTGTAGAACCATAATATTCATTCACTCGTGAAAGAAACAGAGAAAAACTAAAGAAGAAAACAAAAACACAAATGTCGACATCCTCCGATGATATGACAGTCGAAGTGATCAGCAATGACAACAAAAGTTTTACGGTACCGGCGAAGCGTTTGATGCAGTCCAAGTTGTTGTCATTCATGATTGGCGACTTGTTCATCGAGCCAAAGAAGATACCAGAGAAGAAGGTGATACCTAGCTATTCCTAACGTCAACGGCGAGATTTTGGGGAAGATTCTGAAGCTTTGAGCCAACCACGAAAAGGGGAATGTCGGCGAAATCCTTCCGGACAAGGACATGCTGAGGGTAAGTTTTTATTTCATTCAATCTCTCTCAAAATCAAATCTCTCCTCTGTCTCTTTTGTCTTTTGATCTCTCTCTGTGTTTGATCCGGCCAGGCCACGGCCTACCTTGCTATCGACTGGCTTCTCGAGTTGTTGGTCGAAGCTTTCGCCAACCGGCGACAAGAAAAATTCGTGTGTGACACAAGAGTTGTGGCTGTTGTGCTGCTATTAATGTACAGTGTTACACATTATTTACAAGCCCAGTAAAATTATGTTTTACTATCTTGTGTGATGCTAAGTAGAGAAAGTGGTGGTTTTCCACTATTTATTTACCACCTTTCTAAGAGATTAAAGGTTTTCTAATGGAGCTATATGGTACGTATGTATAAAGTTGTGTGTAAACTATTTGCAGATTTACGTGGGTAAATTATGCTTTACTACTAAATGTAATTAAATTCAAAGGCCCAAAAATCTGTTGGCCTCACGAACCACCATCTCTTCTTCGGCCGTGTAATCGGTCGCTATGTGGAACAACTGGCGCATATCTTCTTACGTTTTTTGCCCTCCGTAGAATCGACAAAAACTTGAATTTTCAATCCAGGAGCCAGTCTATGCCCATATAACTTTTATCAGTTTTCATTACATATTATTATTGTCGCCATCAACTTTGTGACTGACGCTTATTTGAGGATGTTGGCCGATATTCAGAACTTTTACAATGTAGTCGCGGAGGAATTACCCACAACTGTCGATGGTCTCCTCTGAGCTTTCTAATTCCTCTTCTTGAAAGTTGACCAGCTGCATGGGTCATTTTTTTTTTTTTTTTGTATGAATGCATGGGTCAATTTTTATAGAGCAATCTCTCTGTTTCTTGGACCTTTTCATTATGTTTTCTTGCTGTTTTTAGGATTAATAAGTATTGTAAGCAAAATAAAACCAAAAATTTAGTTTTGTTATGAGGGCAAAACCATAACCTGAATGAGAATCTTTAGAGTGCTTGCAAAATCTTGAATCTATTGCGTTTTTGTCTTATCATATTGATGCATTCAATTTAAGAATCATATTTATGGTATTGGGCTCCTCCATATTGCTTCAGGGGCAACAGCTAGAATGTGTGACGTACCTAAAGGACCACATAAATGAACCCAAGCAATTTATTTTCATTGGTCAACATAGCAATTGTTCACAAAACTACAAAACAATCTAACTGAGGTTTTACTAACCTGAATCATGTAAAATGATAGGTCGCTCGATTTGTGCAAACACAATCTAGAAGAAAACTATAAGACTTAAGGAATTTCATCACTTTAGGTTCATCAAGTTATATAAAAAAAAAAACTCATCTTTCAGGCGTCTATCTCTGCTATTTGGAGGGAACGCAACTCCCGCATATTTTCCACGGTCTCATGCTCGATCCAAGACATCCGCAAAGCTGTTGATCGCTTTCTCGGTGATCGTCTGCTCTCGTTCCCTGCTCCGGACTCTTCCTCTCTCTCTCTACTTGCATTTTATTTTGGTTGTATTCCTTTTGTTTAGCTAATTCGGTCCGTCGTCTTTTCCTTTCCATTGTGGTTGATTAATAAGTTGTATGCAACACATAAAAAAAGGGTATAAAATTTAACATTTACACCAAAAAAAAAAAATAATAATTTGTTTTTCTATAATCTATGGTGTACTAATTTCTTGTTGTTATTCCGTTTCTACCCTTGGTAATGATGATTAGGTGAGGGTAATTTCGTTATTTAATATTAGTTCACATAATTACAAAATAATGTTGCCTGTGCCCTGAGATAAACATCACCAAAAAAAAATAAAAAATTCGTAGAGCCAACAGTTTGTTTTCAAAAAAATATTATTTTTGGCAGCTCAGCAAAATTATTTAATTCTTTCTGTCAGTTCATCAAATAATTTACATTTTTTGTCCATGTGATAATCTAATATGTAGCGCAGAGAGTAAAAATAAACAAATTCATATATAGAATTGTTTTGTAACCAATTAGGTAGCAGTACTTTAATATCTGAGGCTATTTTCGTCAGACTAATTATGGTTTTTTTTTTGGAGGGAGTGGGAACAAAAAAATCGATACATGAATGACGTGACCTCCATTGATTTCGGCGAACGAGCTTCTTCCCTCTCTCCCTCTCACAGTAACTGTCTCTTGGAACCATTCCTCTTTCACTAGTACCTTCAACAATGTCTGCTACTAGGTCACAGAGATCATCCACGATCTCGCCGGCTCGTCCTCGTAGATCGCCGGCGACTATTCCGATGAAACGTCCCGAAACTCCTTCTTCCTCTCACTTTTCTGCCTCTCCGGCTACTTCTTCTAGTCCATTATTACGTTCTAGTCCTAGTCCGTCTACTTCCTCCGCCGCCGCCTCTGGTACGGTTGTTGCTTCCACGAAACTGAAGGAGAATATTACAGTCACGATTCGGTTTCGTCCTCTCAGGTTAGGTTAATTTGGGATTCGATTTTTGGTTTTTGTTTTTTTTACTTCAGTTGTGGTTATTGACATATTTTTGGTATATTTGAAATTAGTCCACGAGAGGTCAATAATGGAGATGAGATTGCCTGGTATGCAGATGGAGACTATACTATTAGGAATGAGTACAATCCAGCTCTTTGTTATGGATTTGGTTAGTGACAAAATACAATTCTTATTCATAAGATTGTTCAACTGTTTAAGAGGAATTGTTTGGACTTTGTTGTCGAATTGATTAAGTGTATCTTGCAGATAGGGTATTTGGTCCACCAACCACTACTCGGCGTGTTTATGATATTGCTGCTCAACAAGTTGTTAGTGGGGCAATGTCAGGGATTAATGGTATCTTATCTTAGTTCTTCTTCTCTAACGGCTCCAAAAGAGAATTGTTTCTTATGCGTTTGATGTTGGTAGGGCTTCATGTTAGGTGCTTTTTAAATTCCCTAGCTTGAAATATGCATCCTTTCCTTGCCCATGTGTAGGTACTGTGTTTGCTTATGGAGTTACTAGCAGTGGGAAGACTCATACAATGCATGTAAGTTACTAGGCTGAAAAATATATTTATGTCTCTTATTAGGGGTCAAAGTAAGTTGTTATATAAGCATATGACAAGTTCAAATGATATCCAAGAAAGTGTTTCTCTTGTGCACATCCACTTTTATGGTATGCCTTATAGACCTTGACTAATGATATATTTTGCAATTAGGGGGAGCAAAGGTCACCTGGGATAATTCCGTTGGCGGTAAAGGATGTATTTAGCATTATTCAGGAGGTGATAGGTTACTCTTTAGTTCTGTTTTCTTCAAAGGATTTTTTTACTCTATTCTTTAGCTAATTATGTTTCAGCTATTTAGACACCAGAACGGGAATTTCTTCTTCGTGTTTCGTATCTAGAGATATACAATGAGGTAAGTTCTCACTTGGTGTTTATTTGCATGACCTGCTTGTAGTTTAAACTGTTTTAAGTTTCCATGGACATGGTATCCTGTTGCACCATTGATTTGATATTGCCTAGAAGCTTAGAAGAATGCTATAGAATTTTGCCCTAAAATGCGCTTCTCTGTCCAACCTACGACAGTGAGTATGCTCAAGTAATTAATTGCAGGAAGGAATTCCATTTCAATTATACATGTAACTGTTAACTCATGAACTGCGAAGAGACCAATTGGCTGTTTGTTCTGAAGCAGAACTAGATTTTCAGTTTCCCATTGATTTCTAGTACAACCACCTGGTGCATGATTTGAGGGTCTTTTGAATTATTCTTACAGGTCATCAATGACTTACTAGATCCAACAGGGCAGAATCTAAGAATACGAGAGGATTCTCAGGTAACTGGTGGATTATGTAGCAGAAAACCCCATTAAATCTTATTGTTTATTGTGGGGCATATGCATTTCATTTGCATCGTAAGTTTCAGTATTATTAGTGTGTGTGTGTGTTTATGTTGATAGGGAACATATGTTGAAGGTATAAAAGATGAGGTTGTCTTATCCCCTGCCCATGCTCTATCCCTAATAGCATCTGGAGAAGGTATCCCTGAATTAAATACCTGTTCACATTCAGATCAGCTCATCTTTCAGTTAACATAGTTTCATTATTATGTCCCAAAAGCACAGTTTCTTCATTAAAAAATACCTACAAATCATGTGTTTTAAGGTCATAGGTCATATTCTTTTAACTAGTGATTTTGTTGACTTTATAGTATTATCATTCGGTATCAATTGGTTACAACTTTTTCTTCTCTTCATAAGGCTCTGCCTCTCTTATTTATGATGTGTGGTTCTGCGATTTCACTTTGTCTTTGTTGGAGTTATTGCAGAACACAGGCATGTTGGTTCAAATAATGTCAATCTTTTTAGCAGTCGGAGCCACACAATGTTCACCTTGGTGAGTCCTCTTACTTAGTAGTGTATCTTTCTTTTCTCCATCTCAACTACACATATGCCTTAGATCCTTAGTGTACAGCTGGCCACTATTTTTAGATCTATCCCTTAGAGTTTACAGTGTGTTTCAGACTATAGAAAGCAGTCCACATGGAAAAGGAGATGACGGCGAAGATGTTACTCTCTCACAATTGGTAATTACTAGACTCATGCTGATTTTGCTTTTGTATATGAAGCCATATCGCACTTCACTGCTGAGAAGTGTATTCAGGTGCTTGTCCGTAGCTAACATTCTGATTCTTGGTTCGATGCAGCACCTTATTGATCTTGCTGGATCTGAAAGTTCTAAAACTGAAATAACTGGACAGCGGAGAAAAGAGGGATCTTCCATCAATAAAAGTTTACTCACTTTAGGCACTGTAAGGAAGTTCTTTTTCAGTATAACATTTACTCTTCTCAATTTAAGCGTGTGTAAACTTCTAATCTCCATCTATAGGTTATATCTAAACTAACAGACACCAAGGCAGCTCATATACCCTACAGGGATTCTAAACTTACGCGTCTCTTGCAGTCAACACTAAGTGGTCATGGACGTGTATCAGTAAGTTCTCTATGCTTTTCCCTAATTATCTCAATCTTTCGACGGGCCTGTCAATAATGATTTGTTTTTGAAGTTTCTGAAGGCTAGGTGTTTTTTTGGTTTATGAACTTTCATTTGATGACATAGCTCTTCTTGTAAGTTAGAGACTGCTGTGTCTCAATATTGGCTTTCGTAACCCCTCTGGTATTTATTACAGCTTATCTGCACTATCACACCTGCATCCAGCACAAGTGAAGAAACGCACAACACACTAAAATTCGCTCAGAGGTGCAAGCATGTTGAAATCAAAGCTTCACGAAATAAGGTGCATTTATGGTATATGTGTGTCTGAAGTTCCTTAAATTCATTACAGCTGTCTTCTTGACATTTCTAACTTTTTTATATAGATTATGGATGAAAAGTCCCTTATAAAAAAGTATCAGAAAGAAATATCGTGTTTGCAAGAGGAACTTACACAATTGAGGCGCGGAAACCAAGAAGATTTGGCTGATCGAAAACTTCAGGTTGGTGTATGCAGATAGTTCTTGTGGTTGCGGCCCATATATTATAAAACTCGGAATGAAAATTTCTTTAGCTATGCCTATTACTAGCTAATGTAAACATTTGAAGTGATGAATCTTTAATCAAATTTTGCCCTTTAGAGTCTGTTGGTCATATCTGTGAATTTAAAAAATGCATTCCCCAGGAATAACTGCAGTCATGTAACTTCACCCTTGCTTTCATTGTGCTCTCTCTCATTTTAGAAGCTGAAATCATGTCAGGTTAAACTTCAGTCAAGGTTGGAGGAGGATGAAGAAGCCAAAGCAGCTCTGATGGGAAGAATTCAGCGATTGACAAAATTAATCTTGGTTTCAACAAAAAGTTCACTCCAAGCTGCTTCTGTAAAACCTGACCATATATGGAGGCAAGCTTTTGGAGAGGATGAGGTATGTATGTTAAATTAATGTTGTTTGAAGATATCATTCCATTTTTGTGGAACAATAGTATTTCTGTTTTCAGCCTTTACACCATGTGATATTGATGTTTAACTTTACATTATGGTTCCTACAGCTAGCATACTTGCCCGATAGAAGACGGGAGAACATGGCTGATGATGGTGCTGTAAGCACAGTTTCTGAACATTTGAAGGAGCCGAGAGATGGAAATAGTAGTCTGGACGAGATGACAAAGGACAGGAAGAGGAACAAGACTCGTGGAATGCTTGGCTGGCTAAAACTGAAAGTAGGTTCTAATCTTCCTTGATCCCTCTGTTGTATCAAAATTTATACGTGGAGTTAGTCATTGTGGACTGATATAAAGAATGACACAATCTAAAATCATAAATAGTGATTGGACTGTTTCGGCCATATACTTGACCCATAATGTATACGCTGCAGAAATCTGATGGTGTGGCCGGGACATTACCGACTGATGGTAACCAGAGCCAAGCAAGTGGATCTCCTTCATCTTCTTCTAAGTGTGCACAAACAAAAACAACCAGAAGAGAAAATGCAGCAGCTATCAAGTCTTTTACAGAAAAAACTGTTGCTGGAGACTTATTCAGTACTACTGTTGGACCAGGAGACCCTTATCCGGTGAGAGAATATTGTTCCACAATTTTCTTGTTGCTTCCATGTTTACACTTTGAGAAAGTAGTGATCGTTATTCGTTGAACACCTTATCTTGTGCCTGGCTTTTCCTAAGTTTTTAAGTGGTCATTGTGTACCTTTTAACTGACACATAACCATCAAAAATGACATACGACAGATTGGAACTACTATTGCGGATCAAATGGATCTTCTTCATGAGCAGACAAAAATACTTCTTGGAGAAGTAGCATTGCGTACCAGTTCATTAAATCGGCTTTCCGAACAAGCCGCTTGCAACCCTGAGGATTTCCATATCAGAGTGAGCTTTTCGTCTGCTCGTCTTTAACAATGCCAAAATTCTTAGCTAGTGCTTCTTTCATGTTTAAACTGGGGCGACTGTAGGATCAAATACAGAAATTAGAAGATGAAATCAGCGAAATTAAGGATCAAATACGTGTTCTCGAGCAACGAATTATTGAGATTTTCGGAATGACTCCCTATGCCGCAGATTCTCTTGGAATGTCCCAGGTAAAATAACAGATGAAGAACAAAACAAGAGTTTAGAAGTAGAAACAGTTTCATCTATCTGATTATATGAATCCAATTCAATACACTTCTTGGATAATATTCTCATGTTTGCTTGATATAGGTTCTGTCAAAGCTCACAATGCAACTAAACGAGAAAATCTTTGAACATGAGGTACTCATCCTTCTTTCTCTTTGCTCTCATTACTTCTCACTCGGTATTGGTATAAATCAGATTCACTGACTCAGTGACAATGTATTTTGCTATGAATACCCTTTTCAAGATCAAGTCTGCAGACAATAGGATACTTCAGGAGCAGTTGCAGATGACTGTAAGTTAAAACTCCATATAATGGTTCTGTATTTTCAAAGTCCGAAAGGTTGAGAATTATCAGTTTAAAGTTCATTATTACCCTAATTTATGCAGAAATCAGAAAACGCTGAGATGCAAGAGACAATCATTCTACTAAGACAACAACTAGATTCGTTAGCCGAGAGACAATCAACACAGCAAATCGCAGGAGATGAGTCATCAGGGAAGAATACTCACAACAGAAATTGTGAGGAGTCAGAAATATACTCTGGAGCAGGAACACCGACCAGCGTGATGAGTTTAAATAGAGTATTTGCTCAGGAAGAGACTAAAGAGATCAACAACGAAACAGCTCTCAACTCTCAGGTATCTTCCCCATACAAATTTGCTCCTTCATTCATCTACCTGACACACCAAGTCATCGTGGTAAAAACATTTTTGTGGGTCTATATTACATCATTAGGCATTGGAAATAGAGAATCTGAAGAAGGATAAGATGAGATTGATTGAGGAAAAAGATGAGCTTGGAAAACTTAACAAGAAACTCACCGAAGAAGCTTCTTATGCTAAAGAATTGGCGTCTGCAGCAGCAGTAGAACTCCAGAATTTGGCTGAAGAAGTTACCAGACTCTGCAATGAAAACGCAAAACTCAGCAGGTGAAAAAGTTTCAGGTCTCTCTGTTGTTGCTCGGAGACTCCAGATTCAAGATAAATGCTGCAAAGTAAATCATCATGATTGACCTATAATGCAAATCTCAGACTACTTGGAAGGTGTTGATGTTGATCCATCAAAGGGATCAAGAGATCATGATGCTCCCAAAGGCAATCCAGAAAAACTGGTTTGTATTGCTTCGATAGTATTTTGATTCTAACGTCTGATGACAAACACATGATGTAAATAATTGAATATTCTCACAAATTTGTTTTCTTGTTTGCAGTGACCACTATTTTTGTATGTTCGTCTTAGGTTGAATCGATGATGTTGCAACAAGTTCCATAGTTAGTTTTTCAGCTTAACTTTGTTTAGCTATATCTGATTTGATATTTGAAATTGGCATAACCAAATTAAGACGAAGATGTCCTACATATTCTCTATCGTAGTTTGAAGTTTTTTGGTCAAAATCTCATTAGATTTTTGGAATATGTGATGAAGATATATAAATTGAACATAAAAAAAGTTTGCAAGGAAAAAAGCTTTATAAGAAAAGGCAAAGCATTGGAATGATGATAATGGAGATGAAAGCATGATGTTGTTTGTGAAAAAAGGAGATATAGGGACTAGAAATAGGTTGATATTCCATAAATCCAGAAATACTAAAGTACACTCACAAGTTACAACACCCCCAAGCTTTTTCTTTTCTTTTCTCCACAACCACTATTGTTTTCTTACTTCACCAATTAATTTATAGAATAAAAACTCATAAATTTTCACATCATCATCTAATCTTTGTTCTTCTTGCGGTTTTTTCTCCAACTTGAAATTGGTCGTTACTCGTATTCACCTAATCGTTACATATAATATTATGTCTTTTTGTTTAGTTTATGCTAAAACTGAAACCAGATTTGGCTATCATAGTAGCTGGATGATGCACTGAAAATAAGAAACTCAATACATTAATGAATGAAGATAGTAGTATTATCTTATTTTAAGACTGTCTTACCTATTTTATAGTATTTCTCAAAGTCACAATTGTTAGCGAAGAGAGAGAATGATGAATCGAGAGAGAAAGTTTGTTACAGACTTAGAAAGATTCTTCTCATTCAATTAGTCAATAAAGCTGTACAATTGAGTGTATATATACAAGTAAACTAAACCAGCTAAACCTGACTAAACCAAGTAAACCGACTAATTAATTACACAAGTAGATAATACCCTCCAATAGGCCCCCTCAAGAGGAGACGAAGATGTTACAGAGACTCATCTTGGACTGTAAGTGAGCACACTGTTGAGGGAATAAAGGTTTAGTCAGTATATCTGCTACATGATCTTCTGTTTTCACATGAAGCATTTTGAGGAAACCTTTATCCAGTTTTTCCCGGACGGTGTGGCAATCAATCTCAATGTGTTTGGTACGTTCGTGGAAAACTGGATTGGTAGCTATATAGATGGCAGCAGTGCTATTTGAAAAGAGAACTGGAATAGAAGGAGTACCAATGCGCAAATCAGAGAGAAGAATAGCAAGCCAAGAGATCTCACAAGAAGCAAGAGCTAGAGCGCGATACTCTGCTTCAGCAGAAGAACGAGAGACAGTGTCTTGTTTCTTAGAACGCCAAGAAATGAGAGAGGAGCCCAAGAACATTGCAAATCCTGTAGTTGAGCGTCTACTATCTTGACAAGAAGCCCAATCAGAGTCTGCAAAACCTATGAGAGTGAGATCAGGATCCGCAGAGTAGAAAAGGCCTTGACCAATAGTTCCTTTGATGTACTGCAGTACTTTGTACACAGCTGTAAGATGAGATATGCGAGGTGCGGAAGAGAACTGGCACAACTTGTTTACAGCAAATGTGATATCAGGACGAGTAATGGTGAGATACATTAATCTCCCCACAAGACTGCGATACATCTCTTTATCCTCCAATAACTCACCATCAGTCTTGAGCAATTTCTGATTTGGAACCATTGGGACTGAAGATGGTTTACAACCAAGCATGCCTGAAGAAGTGAGAAGCTCCAGAGCATATTTTCTCTGACAAATGGATATACCAGAGGAATTGCGGGCTATCTCCAAGCCTAGAAAATACTTGAGAGGACCAAGTTTCCGCAACTTAAAACTCTGTTTCAGTGCCTCTGTTAACTGAGTAGCTCCTTCTTCTGAAGTACTAGCAATAACAATATCGTCAACATAGACCAATACTGCAATGAATTCATTACCATGACTGCGGACAAACAATGTATGATCACCATGACACTTAATGAACCCCAGATGAATAAGAGAAGCTGAGAATTTTAAAAACCATTGCCTCGATGCTTGTTTTAAACCATAGATAGACTTCTTCAATCTACAAACAACATTCTTAGGCAGAGAGGCCCCCTTAATGTCAGCATATCCTTCTGGTAATCTCATGTAAATATCCTCCTCCAAATCTCCATTTAGAAAAGCATTAGAAATATCAAGTTGGTTAAGAAATCACTTCTTGGAAGCTGATAGCTTGAGTAACATTTTCACAGTGGCCATCTTTGCGACAGGTGAAAAAGTCTCTTTGTAATCTAAGCCTTCCTTCTGAGTGTAGCCCTTAGCAACAATTCTGGCTTTATAACGCTCTAGAGTACCATCTGCATAAAACTTCAGAGTGAAAACCCACTTGCAACCCACAACTTTCTTTCCTGGTGGCGAAGTGGTGATCTCCCAAGTATTTGTGCTTTCCATTGCCCCTATTTCTTTATCAATAGCTCCACACCATTCTTTTGAATTCTTTGCCTCAGAATATGATTGAGGGATTGGAATTTGAGTAATGTTATTTATGTATAACATGTAAGATGGAGAGAGTTTTGAGTATGAAAGAAAGGAGGAAATGAGATGATGAGTGACATCATTGTCAAAAGAATAACAATGAAAATTATTTAAGTGGGCAGGTGGTTTCCTGACTCTGTGATTAGAAATTTGTGTTGATGGAGAAATTTGAGGTGATGAAAGAGAAGGAATAATGGGAGTACCTGAAGGCAAAGAATTCATTGGTGTACCAATGGCCACAGCTTCAGTATGTAGACCAGACAATGGAAAAGGGTCTTCATGAAACTCCACATGACGAGATATATAGACTCTGTTAGTCTCCAAATCCATAACCTTGTAACCCTTATAACCGGAAGGGTATCCCAAAAACACACAAGCACGAGACCTAGGCTGAAACTTATGTCTTTGCTGTAAAGATGTAGATGCATAGCATAAACAACCAAAAGTCCGTATGCGAGAATAATCAGGGATTTTACCTGTGAGAACTTCATAAGGAGTTTTATTTGACAAAACCTGAGAAGGAGTCCGGTTGATAAGGAAGACAGCTGTTAAGACGCAATCACCCCAATGAGACATATGGACCTTGGACTCAAAGAATAAAGCCCTTGCAACATTCAATATATGTTGGTGCTTGCGTTCAACCACAGAATTTTGTTCTGGTGTCTCTGGACATGAGTGATAAGAGACTATGCCATGATCTTGATAAAACTGAGTAAACTGAAGCTCTTTTGCATTGTCAGAGCGAACTGCTTTGACTCTTGTGTTATATTGATTCTCAACTCGTGTGATGAAAGCAGGGAAGACTGTAAGAACATCACTTTTATTCTTAAGCAAATATATCCAAGTCGCTCTGGAGTGATCATCAACTATGGTCAAGAAATACTTAAAACCTTCAACTGTTTCCACTGAAAATGGTCCCCAAATGTCTATGTGTAATAACTCAAAGGTTGAATTACAAATGTTATTCTCTGAAAGAAATGACAACTTCTTCTGCTTAGCTAAATGACATATATGACAAAAAGCTAGCTTCTTATTCTTATGACGAGTTGTCCCTAAAGTGTCTGAAATAACATCCAGTCTTGAAAAAGATGGATGACCCATTCTCTTGTGCCACATACCTATGTCCACCACTGCATTCACTGAAACTGATGGAGACTCTGTATCAAGCACATAAAGAACCAATATCAGATATCAAGGAACTGATGCTGAGGAGATTCAAACGGAATTCAGGTATAAAAAGAACATTCTGGAGAAGAATGTCTTTATTAAGCCTGACCAAACCAACACCACTGATTTTCACTTTTGGACCAGTAGGCAAGTTCACAAAATTCACCACAGTAGTATCCATAGAACTAAAATGATTTCTGTCATGGCACACATGGTGAGTTGCACCAGAATCAATCACCCATGTGTTATTTGACAGTGTATGTTGGGAAACTGCCAATATACCAACAAAATAATATGTTGAGGTAGAGAAAGAGATACCAGAATGATCAAGAGCTGTCTGAGAAGTACTTGTTGCAGGAGTAGTTGCAACACTGGTAGACAACTGAGAAGAGAAGTGAGCAATAATATTCTGTAACTGATCTTGAGAAAGATTACTCGGAATGCCTGCAATGTTCACTGGGGGCTGAGCAGGAGAAGGAGAGAGAGCAACCTGAGCAGCTATCAGAGAAGGTTTCTTAGCTTTGTCAGCAAACTTCCCTTTTGGTGTGAAACCAGGAGGAAAACCATGCTTCCTGTAACACCTTTCAGCAATGTGTCCTACTCTGTTGCAGTATGAACAAATTGGTCTTCCTTTGTTAGGACCATTTTGAACATACATGACAGTAGGATACTGTGAATCCACTTGAGTAGGAACCACCTGAGAGACCTGAAAAGCTGTAGGAGGAGGAGCAGTAGAAAACACCTTCTGGCTATCATCTTGATCCAAAATATTATAAACTTCAACCAAGCTAGGTAAAACTTTCTTTGCTATGATTTGACGTCGAACAATAGCATAAGAATCATTGATACCAGCCAAAAACTTGACTGTTTTAGCTTTCTCTGCCTTCATTTGCAGACGAGTAGCTTTGCTACATACACATGGTTCATCTGGTTCCTCTAAACCTTCCAAATGATTCCAAAGTGTTTTCAAACGAGTATAGTACTCAGATAAGGTCATTGAACCTTGACGAAGATCCTGAATCTCCTGAGTGAGGTTATACGTGCGTGGAAGATTAGTTAGATGAAATCTACCACAGAGATCACGCCATATATCCACAGCATCATCCATACGTAAGATGCTACGGTAGATCTGAGGAGAAACAACATTCAACAACCAAGATTTTACCATAGAATTGCATCTAGACCAAGATCGGAACATCGGATCCGTAGTTAAAGGTCTAGGCAAAGATCCATCAATAAAACCAATTTTATTCTTAGCATCGCATAGCTCCAATCATCATAGTTTGTATCATCGAGACGAAGAGAAATGATGTTCAAACCTCGATGGTCTGCACTGTGCATGAAAAATGGTGACTGTGAAAGATCTGAGAGTTCTGATGATGGAACACCTCGCGATAG